ATTATGGTTGCCAACTCCATTGGAAATTTGAATTGAGATTATGACCATATCTTGAGGGAAAGAATTTTTTTGGGGAAAAAAGGGGGGGGGGGGGGGATAAAAAGAAATTGTGGGGGTGGGCAATTTTTTCTCATTTCAGATTTCAGAAATTAAAAAGAATTATTCTTCAAATATTATTTTTTTTTCAAATTTCAAATATTGAAAAATTTCAAGAAGTAATCTTTAATTGCACAGTATGGCGCATTAGATTTGTAAAATCTTTGATCACATTTATTTATTTGTTATGCCAAATCTAACAGTGTTTTTAGATTTTTAATTTTGGGTCCTGTTTTCAAATTGGTCTACATTAAGGTCCAAAGGGTCCAAAATTAAACTTTGTTTGAATTTAACAAAAATTGAATTCTTGGGGTTCTTTGATATGCTGAATCTAAACATGTGTTTAGATTTTTGATTATGGGCCCAGTTTTCAAGTTGGTCCAAGATAGGGTCCTGTATTTAAACTTTGTTTGATTTCAACAAAAATTGAATATATGGGGTTCTTTGATATGCTGAATCTAAACATGTATTTAGATTTTTGATTATGGGCCCAGTTTTCAAGTTGGTCCAAATTGGGGTCCAAAATTAAACTTTGTTTGATTTCAACAAAAATTGAATATATGAGGTTCTTTGATATGCTGAATCTAACCATGTATTTAGATTTTTTATTTGTGGGCCCCGCTATCAAATTGGTTCATATTGAGGTCAAAAGGGTCTAAAATTAAACTTTGTTTTATTTCATCAAAAATTGAATTATTGGGGTTCTTTGATATGCATAATCTAACCGTGTTTTTAGATTTTTAATTTGGGTTCCATTTTTTAAAATTGGTCTTCATTGAGGTCCAAAGGGTCCAAAATTAAACTTAGTTTGATTTTAACAAAAATTGAATTCTTAGGGTTCTTTGATATGCTAAATCTAAACATGTGTTGAGATTTTTGATTATGGGCCCAGTTTTCAAGTTGGTCCAAGATAGGGTCCAGTATTTAAACTTTGTTTGATTTCAACAAAAATTGAATATATGGGGTTCTTTGATATGCTGAATCTAAACATGTATTTAGATTTTTGATTATGGGCCCAGTTTTCAAGTTGGTCCACATTGAGGTCAAAAGGGTCCAAAATTAAACTTTGTTTGATTTCAACAAAAATTGAATATATGAGGTTCTTTGATATGCTGAATCTAACCATGTATTTAGATTTTTTATTTGTGGGCCCCGCTATCAAATTGGTTCATATTGAGGTCAAAAGGGTCTAAAATTAAACTTTGTTTGATTTCATCTAAAATTGAATTATTGGGGTTCTTTGATATTCCAAATCTAACCGTGTATTTAGATTTTTAATTTTGGGTCCTGTTTTTTAAATTGGTCTACATTGAGGTCCAAAGGGTCCAAAATTAAACTTTGTTTGAATTTAACAAAAATTGAATTCTTGGGGTTCTTTGATATGCTGAATCTAAACATGTGTTTAGATTTTTGATTATGGGCCCAGTTTTCAAGTTGGTCCAAGATAGGGTCCTGTATTTAAACTTTGTTTGATTTCAACAAAAATTGAATATATGGGGTTCTTTGATATGCTGAATCTAAACATGTATTTAGATTTTTGATTATGGGCCCAGTTTTCAAGTTGGTCCAAATTGGGGTCCAAAATTAAACTTTGTTTGATTTCATCAAAAATTGAATTATTGGGGTTCTTTGATATGCCAAATCTAACCGTGTATTTAGATTTTTAATTTTAAGTCCCGTTTTTTAAATTGGTCTACATTAAGGTCCAAAGGGTCCAAAATTAAACTTTGTTTGATTTTAGCAAAAAATAAATTATTGGGGTTCTTTGATATGCTGAATCTAAACATGTGTTTAGATTTTTGATTATGGGCCCAGTTTTTAAGTTTGTCCAAGTTGGGGTCCAAAATTAAACTTTGTTTGATTTCAACAAAAATTGAAAATATGGGGTTCTTTGATATGCTGAATCTAACCATGTATTTTGATTTTGGACATTGGACCATAATAGGTAAATTTAAAAAATTCAAGTTCTTAGACCACATTCTTTCTGTGTCAGAAACCTATGCTGTGTCAAGTATTTAATAACAATCCAAATTCAGAGCTGTATCAAGCTTGAATGTTGTGTCCATACTTGCCCCAACTGTTCAGGGTTTGACCTCTGCGGTCGTATCAAGCTGTGCCCCCAGCGAAGCATTTTATTATTTGAAGAAATTATTTTTAATACTTCTATTGACTCGATCCAGAAATTGCGGGTCGTTTCCGGAATTGATTTCGAGTCTAGGTCAATTACATGTTTGAAGTTCGGTTATTCTTCCCTTCCTGTCGAGTGTTCATCGGACTCTTTAATGGTAAAGCACATGGAGATTGTTTACAGGTATCCACGAAGTCATGGAGGAGTACTTTATTCTGTCGTCTTCTGTCAATTTTAAGACAAATAATACACAGAAAAGTTTCATAGTAAACTGTTTATACTGATTCAGGCAGAATTGCACACGGAATGATGTCTTCGATGATATCATTGACTATGATGCAGCGGATATTCATAAAACCGACACGATCCGTTTCTGTCTCAAACAAATCGGATACGGAATCTTTTGAAACTGACTTTATGGAACCAATATCAGTGGTTCAACAATTCGACAGCAGCCTGAAATATGCCATATTTTCTTTAAATCGTCGTGAAGACGATCTAAAGAAGAAACCACTCCTCCGTGACTTCATGGATACCTGTAAATACACCTGTACGGTGGAAGGACGCATTTGAAATGTTAAATCAATAAGAAGCCACACAAACTACACAAAGATGTAGAGAAAATGAATGGTTGGCTTGAGAAATAAATATATTCTCTCTGTATCAAATCTATCTTCGATTGCAATGAGTATGCTACTTTAGGATAAGGGGCTGTCCCACTCATTGGAATTATTCTCCCTCTTACAATATTAAATATACCCAAAATGTGTGGCCTGTGTGAATTGAATTGAAATATGTCCTTAGCTAGGAGCTATGCTGCCATTTTTTTCATGCAGTCAAAACATTTCAGTACAGACCATTTACTTTTAATGGGGTGCTATGGATTTCACCCCAATCTTTAATATCTACATTTTTCTGATGCAAATACTCTACTCATGAAAACATTCTAGTAAAAATGCATATATGTCAGTGAATATGTTTCTTTACAACAATTCTAGTCGTTCCTTGTTTATAAGTGTTCCAGTATTTCATAATACCATAAATTTATGTCATAAATTGTATAATGACACTATGTTAAGATTCAGTTTTGGTTCAAAAAGGTGTTTACCTTAAAATGCCTGTTCATTTCATGTTGGTTTTCAGTGTTTGTTGTTTTAAAATGTTTTTTCTTCACTAGAAACTTGGTTTGTGTTAAACTGCTTGTTTAAACTTTATTTTAGCTGATAAAATAAAATATTTTTCCTACCTACCGACCCTGCAGTCTGAAGGTACAGTCGGAAAACTGCAAATAAACATATTTTTAAGGTTGGCCTTACTTTTAGTTCACAAATTGTCATGTCAAAATCCAATAAAATGTGACAGTAATTTTCCTAATCATTAATAAATGTTAATATTACATGTAGATGTTTTTATAGTGTAAACATAAACTACAATTCCAAGAGGTAATTTCTTCTCAATTTTGAAGGGCCAGTAAAATTCTGGAAATTTCTTACTTTATTTTCACAATAAAAGATAACTTTTAATGAACTAAACACACTAAAACTCAAATCTGGTAAATTTGATGTTTTCCCAATTTCATTGAAAAGCGCGTGAAAAAATAACCAAAACTGGCCAGGGTCCTTTTTCCCAAAATACCCAGAAAAAACCCTGCAATTATATATTTTTTTCAAGGAAATCAAATACATAACAAAATGGCATCAGAAATGAAAAGTTGCCTCAAATGACTCATTATGGGAAAAAGAAAAAGAACAGATAGCAAAGCATTGATTGATGAAAATAATGTGTTTATTTCAATATAAATAATTACCTGCATCAAACTTTTTACAATGTGCCTGGGCAGTCTGGCCTGTGAACAAAATTTGAATCTCCTGCAAAATACCTGTCCTTACCCAATCACAACTGGCTCAGTTTTATGTATGGGCAGCCATTCTGTCTGCAGCCTTATTCACTCTTTTGTGATTAGCGGGATAAGTTTAATAGGATTTAGTATCGGTTTTTTGTTTGTTTGAAGTGATTTTTGTCTGTTTTTTTTCAAAAAACTATGCTACAGGAGGAAGAGATCTCATGTTGTTTCTTTACAAAGTCTTAAAATCATATTTAAAGTAGATTGTAATCCATAGGAATGACACTGAAAGTGATTCTCTCTTGTTAACATATCAGAAGGGAGTATGCTACAGGAGGAAGAGATCTCATGTTGTTTCTTTACAAAGTCTTAAAATCATATTTAAAGTAGATTGTAATCCATAGGAATGACACTGAAAGTTATTCTCTCTTGTTAACATATCAGAAGGGAGTTTGTATGGCTGCATCTGAGAACACATTTGCAAGATAGATTGTTTGTCTGATACAGTATTTTTTGAACAATTGAATATATCACGCTTCTATGTTTGTGCACATGTGTCGACACTGGAAATTTAGAAAACATTTTTGCTTATGTAGCTTCTCTGTTCGGATAGGCCTTCCCATCACCTTACTAGTTATATTTTCTTAATTTATAAAAAATATTAATGCAGGTAAATGGCCCTGGCACATTACAAAAAGTTTGATGGAGGCAAGTACATCTATTTATATAGTTCATAAACTGAGGTCAAACTTAAAAGTCACAATTATATCCATTTCTGAAAATACAATCACATACTTACACTAACTGATTTATATTAGGGTAGAAACAAAATCTAGGATTTATGGTCTGAAAAAAAAATATGTTATGAAAAAATGATGTATGGGTGTTTTTACTCTGGAAAATGAATTTTAATTTTTGCTGAAACTTTTGTAGAGTCCAACACAAGCAATGACTGGATCTCCAGCTTATTACTACACAACTATGCAGACTGCCTCACCTGAGCTTATGTATGCCCAGCAACAACCACAGTTAACCATCCCGACAGGTGAGGTGTCTGATCCTGGCACTGCACTGATAGACGCTTCCTCTATGGAGGTAATCCCTCACTATGCATATTAATCCTTAACAAAGTTACAGAACTAGAGTCTAAATCGTATATGTAGTAAATTATAACAACTTGGCTGTCAAACATCTCTCAGTATCTCGCAGTTCTGTAACTAATTTGCATAATTCATTGTTCCATATAAATAAGTGATTTGTATGTTGTAAGTTGTTACAAGCTGGAAACTTCCAATGTTATAACCTGAAGTATATATGTATATGGATATTCTTGTTAATGTTATAAATAACATTATGTAAAGCAAACATTACATAAAGCAAGCTGTTCTCATTTTAAGGAGTGCAGTACAGTGCATGGTCAGATCATTCCATTATTTTTTATTTACTTTCGGGTTTGATTGTGATTAATTTGTGATGCCTGCTTGTGTGTTGCAAGAATTGATATAACTAAAAAGAATATATTTGTTTACTATTTATTTATTTTAATGTTAAGTTTATTTTAAGTGTTTGATTGAGTATATTCCTGTATTTGTTTTAATTTGGTTTCATCCTTGCTTTTGATTAACCCTGGATTAACTACACAGATTGGGACAATTTAAGATCGTTAGATTCAGGGTTCTGAACGATTTTGAGTTTATAGAATCTGTTTAAGATTCTATTCCTCATTATTATTGAGATTTATGTTTGAAGTTTTAATGATGTGAAGGAGGAGATGTTTGGGTTAGTAAAACTGCATGTTTGTAATTGATTTCTTCACTTTGTAGGTACGAGATGCTAACCAAAAGTGTGTCATGTCTTATCCATCCATGATTCCAAGGCTATTTACATAAACATGTATTATGCATTTATAAACAATAGTGCATGATGGCTGACTTTATTGCTCTCTCTAGCTTAGTATAGCTAATGCTATTTCTTGTAGTCAAATAGTATTAATAGCATGGATTTTCAAATATTAGTGCTTAGATATTTAAAAATAAAGGAAAACAAATTCTGAACAAGTTTTTGGAAGTAGGTTGATGCTAAGGCTGTTAGGTTATGTTTGATTCAGTAATCAGTTAATTTGAATTCTTTGTTTGTGTCTCAGAAAACAATATACAGCCTTTGTGATATCCAACTCTATATAACTTGTTGGTATTTACAGCATTTTTAACCACATCATTTTTGCAAAACTAAGAGATGCTGAACAGCTGATTTGGCAGTGGATCTGCAAACTGTATAAAGCAATATGTTTCAGAAGATAGAAGACCTGAATACTTCATACCTTGTATTCAGATGCCTTATGTTCTGAAGTTTCCATTGGTTACATGTACATTGGCCTCATTTTCATGGTTCAGCAACTGCCTTTAGTTTTTTATCACATGAATTTTGCACTTATGAGTAATAGGATATCTAAATTTTGTATATTGGGAGTGTACAAGGTCTACATGTCAAAGACGGGTGATCAAAGTGAAATCGTCTCAGATACTTTAAGCAGCAGGTCAACTAAATATTATGTGTTTGGAATGGTTGTAGGAGGTATGTATCCCCCTGACAAGATTCATCTGACCTTCACTTTATTTTCATGGTTCATTGGACGATTTGAATTTTTCTTTGTTCAATCCTTTTTCAGATACAAGAAGCATTTGGTTAACTATATTTGGTGTATGGAATGATGATGAGGTGTACATGACATTCTTGTGGGGTTCATCTGACTGATCTCATTTTCAAGGTTCATTGATCAATGTAAAGTTTTTGTGGTTAGGTTGGGTTTTTAAATGCATAGGTCAACTATATGGGGTGTAGAGAATATTTGTTAAGTGTAATGTCCATCTGAACTTGATCTCATTTACTTGGATCCTGGATAATGTTGAGCTTATGTGATACGTGTAGTAAAATCTTATCTTAAAAGTCTTTCAACATAAATTCAATCATAATCCGTTAAGCAGGCAAAACATTTCAGCATGTGCATTCTCGAGTGTGAGATTTCTGCATAAAAATTCTAGTGAATGTTTTTTATCAATTCTGTCTTAAAATGTTTGAATATATGTAACATCATGATGTGTTCTACAGTTTCAATAACAAACCCTATGGTAAAATGTTCTCTTTCTAAAAACCAGAAAAAAGAGAGTATGTTAAGCACCAAAAAAGAGGGAAATATTTTAAAATGAAAACTCATTCATACATTTTGTGATAATTGGTTGCATTTGTTTCTTTGAAATAGTTTTCATAAATGAGTAAATGTTGTAAAATACTGAAGAACTAAACTTCACACTAGTGCTAGATGCTTATAATCATGGTGTATATATTTTTTTATATTCTGCATATTGTTTCACCACACTAACATCTAATATCTTGTGGCATCAACTGCATATACACCATTTCTTAAATATATAGACTGGTTTCATTTTGTTTTTCATTAGTTATATGTTCTTAACACTTAGTATTTCACTAGTGTTTAATAGTGAATACTTAGCAAGAAAAGTTTCTTGAAGAAACATGAAAATGGCAATATTATAGTTTTTGCTTAGTTTTAAACAGCTTTTCAGTTTTGACACATTCATTGTGTGAAATATATGCTGAAAATAACTTGCTAAAAGGGCATTAAAAAGTTTAGTCTAATTTCTCTAGGTTTTTTTTTATTTTAAATAATTGTGGAATATACTTACAGTAGATCAGTTATTAGGGTTACAATGCAAACAATTTCTAATTTGACAAAAGTTTCAGGGCTTTAAATCAAATTTAAGATGCAGTTCAGGCAGTTTACTTGTCTGTTTTAATATACTGTGGATTCATTTATTTTCGTGGGTACCAATTTTCGTGGATTGCGGAAAACTTGCCTTTTCGTGGATATGTGATTTCGTGGTTTTGCCATATTCTGCATACAACCTGATGGTAAATTTGTACTTGGTTGAATATTTGAATTCGTGGTTCACCTCTATCCACGAAAACCACGAAAATTGGTATCCAACGAATATTAATGAATCCACAGTACTTAGTAAAATTGTTAACAAAGGAGTAAGTTCGGTAAGGGCCATATTTGGCCCCGATTATAAAGTTCAATGTTACAAGATAAAAAATGATTTAAGTTGACTTTAAGACATGTAAAAAAGTTAAATAGAACTATTTGTGTCAAAATTTTATTCTAAAGCGTTGATTTTTACATCCCAAATAGGTTAAAATAAGAGATTTTGGCGAAATTTGGCAAAATCGGCCAGATTTCAACTAAATTTAGGACCAGGAAACATAGAGCGCAGGCATCGACAACCTAAATATTCAAGTAAGACATATAAAATGTCTTTAAAAACATTATTTTAAAAGATCTTTTTTGTCGACGTATGCGCTCTATGTTTCCTGTCCAATAATCCATGGAACTTTACCCATTTTCATTGATTTTTTTGTGGAAAATCAAAAAGAGTACTATTTGTGACGTCATGAATAAACGCAGGAACGTAAATTTTCAACAAAAAGGCTTATTTCCTATCTAGTCACTGTATTAGCTATGATTCATTGTGATTTTGGTCAATAAATCCTAATTTGAAATATAAGCTAAAAAAGGGGGCTATTTTAAGGCCTTATCGAACCTACTCCTTTAAAGAAGGTGGCTTTTAGAGAAAAGGAGATGCAGAAAACAGCCACTTTCATTACCCTACTTTAAAAAGTCCTGAGGTTTCAGTATCATTGAGAATTACAACTGAGTAAAATTTATTAAAAGAAGTGCTGTTTGCCTAGCTTATTTTATACATGTCCATGAGGTTTTTTTGGGGAAATAATTTTTAGTTATTTTCACTACTTTTCTTCTTTGGTTATAATTTTATTAAGTCATTTATGTTGACATAAAAAAAAAGCAAACAAAAAACAAAATGAATAGGGTTCTGAATTAATGGAAACTGTTGTATACAACTAAAAATTATTTGACAACAAAATCAGCTAGTATATATGTATAATTGCATGTAATATATTGACACATTAAAGCTTGAGGAATGCACCTTGTTTCAGGGCAGCTTAGTCCCGGTGTGCCCTGCAGACCTGCCCCGCACATATGTCTCTGATGTCCCAGACCAGCCTGTGAGCACCACTGTACCTGTCTATCCATCATCAGTCTGTTCTACAACACTGCCCAGTAAGTCTACCACCACTGTACCCTCTGTTGCACCTTACACCAAGAAAACTGTAACCACAATCCCAAGAAGGACATTCAGCAGTCCTACAATTCTTGTAAAGCATGGTCACAAAGTTCAGAGAGTCATGATGCCTGCTAAACCTGTTGCTAACACTGGAGCTATACCTCTTTATAGACCTGTTGAGATGGGGGCTGGGGATGCATCGGATGCATGTGCTCAGTACAGCTACCTTGCAACTTCACCACCTCCAGAGTTCAAATGAAGATACTAACAAACAGTTTATGACAATTTTATTTTTATATGCAGCATGTAATATAACTATCAGGAAAGAAATTTTAAAAGTGGGTATTTTATTGGTACATTTTGTTACATAACTTCTTTTATCCAATCCATAATGGTCTGGTTTATTGCATAACCAATCTCTTTGTACTTTAGAAATGCTTTGTAAATCTCCAAATTTAGGCCATCTTTTAAACATTTTCAAGATCTGTCTCGTTTGAAGAAATCTTTTTTTTCAATAAAACAAATAGAAACTTTTTTCTTATTTGTAAAAGTGTTTAATAATGTATTTGAAATTGGAAAAAAAAAAAAAAAAAAAACATGATGGATTATGTAGGTTTGAAATATCTTTAAAATGTTTTTCGAACAAAAAGGTTGTCTAAAGTTGTAGGTTCAGTGTAGCATGTCAATGTTTAAAATATGTTCTAAAATGATTTTCAGCTCTTAATATCGACTCAATTTGATCTCAAGTTTGTTGTGTTGTTCATTGAATGATTGTTCTAGAATGAAAATATAAATAATTTTAATAAGGGTGTACTTTATATACAGAATTTATGTGTTATACTTTGTATTGATTAATTTTCAATAGATTTTGACTGACAGCCTAATTAACCTCTTTCAAAAAGAGTTTTTTTTTTTCAAATGTAAACTGCCAAAAAGGTTCAAGAAAAAGATAGAGCTGAAAGCCAAGTGTCTAATTTCCACAGAACATATTAATTTGCTGCCTTTAAAGCTTTTGATAAAATGGCACATATCATTTAATAAAGCATTTAAAAATTGCCAGTGCATCTTTCTCTTTTTTTTTTTTTTTAAAATAAAGAACTTGGATATTTTTTGGAGTTGTTTCTTTTCATGTTGTGACTTTTTTTTCAGTCACTTATTTCTTGAAAAGTTATGCAGATATTTACAATCATTTTCATGGTAAAAAGAGCAAAATTTCTTGGTACATTTTTGTTTATAAATCGTTAAAAAGTAGCCTCTCTTAAGTATTTTTCACCTTGTCAAGTAAGTACAAATGAATTCTGGCATTTTACAGGTTTTGATATTTATTCTTCTACAATTAATGTGCTTTTGATTTTACTCACATTGGATACAATTAAGTTAAATCTCCTTATGAAAACTACCAAAAATGGAAAAAAAAAAAAAAATCGGCATTAATACTTTTGGAAAAAAGAAACAACTTCAAGATAAACTTGCTAGCAGTTTGATTTTATGTAGTGAATAGATGGGTATAGTGATTGCATCGTAATATAATAAATGTTCTACCTTATTTCACTGATGACTTGGAGTGTAATAATACATATGTACTATAATTGTTGAATTTTATGTATTAAGGGGTGGAAAAAGTTAATGTCTCAGTTACCTGCAGTGAGCAGAAATTGTACTTGGCTGCCTGTTGTGGCCAAGATGCTGATGTAAGCAATATGTCTGCTTGGCCACTGTGAGAAATTATCTGGTATCTTCCCCTGACTTTGTTTTCTACCAAGACACTAAAGGCAAAGCATCAAACACTAGCAGGATTAGCATGTTTAGCTAGCATCAGTAAATTTAACAATAATTAATCATGTTAATGGTAAGAGTTATAATCTAATGCATTTCAATTAAAGAAAACTTACTTATTAGATCATGGCATTATAGCATAAAAACCTGTTAGAATATCTTTAAAGGGTTTGTTCAGCGCTGGTCTGGAAATTGAGTTAATGAAATAAGAATAAACTTTGTTTACAAAATCTTAATTTTTGATCTGCTAAAGTAAGACGTTTACTCCATGCAACCCTAATAGTTTTGTCTGATTAATCATAACTTTACGCAAATTTGCCACTTAAATAAAAAATATTATAGAGAACAGTTTTTCTACTCAAAAACATTTTCTTTGCAAAACTTTGTGAACATTAGGGAGAATGAACGAGAATCATGAGAGAAATAGGGACTCGAGAAATGTTTTTGCTGCTGTGCCTTTATTGTGTAGAAATGTACATTATTTATGAAAATTTTCTGTTTTTTTTTTTTTTTTAAATTCTTTTCAAATTCATGACAGCATAATTCAGAATGTTCAGTCTTTATGTTAAACATCCTAGAAGTTTAAAATAATGATAAACTGGAAGTTAGGTTATTTTAAATTAAAAACCAAAAGCAGATTTTTAGATGTAACTTTTATGCTGTTGTTAATTGTTGAATTTTGTTTACAGATGTAAAGTACATTTTGTACTATATCTGCAATGCTCCTTTTAACCCAAAACAAATTTACACACAACGATTAATGTATTTTTTTACAAATTGTTGTTTGATACACCATTTTTTCTGTAAAATTGTTATTATACAACTAACTATACAAATGTTTTAATTATTGTAATCAGATATGTTTGTTAATGTATGTCCTTTAATGATAAGATTATTTTATAAGAAAACAAAACTCGTTCCAAGCTTAATATTTTTAATGGTGAAAATTAATTGTTTCCTCATTCTGATACTCATTTATCTTCCCTATTGGAATGAGTGGAAGGAAAAATAATCAAAAACTTGTCAAAGTCAAGTAGGAATTTTGAAAGGTATTGTTTTCAAACAGTTTGTTTCATTTTGTCATTGGTCATCAGTTTTGAAGAAAAAAAACTTGTATATTTATATGAACACTTCTTGATTGTCATTTTGTGTCTAAAAAGATCATTCCCATTTTGTAAATGTTCATTACAGTGCTTTAAAAGTTGTTGTGTACATTATATGATTCTATGCATAATGGAGAAGTAAAGTGCCTTGTATAACATGTAAATTTACAGAAACTTTGTACTTTTGTATGATATGATTGTTTGATGTATGTATTGTTTGGTATCATTGTCATCTTTTTATTTTTGATATTGCAAATACTGGTATTATAGTTCTCAAATAGTAGATTACAACTGCTCATTTTGTATTGGGAGACAAGTTGTAACATTTGAAATAGATAAAAAATTATTTAAAAAAATAAAAATGATGGAATGTTACAGTAGACATATCTAAGATTGAAATATTCTAAGATTTTACCATGTACAGTTATTGACAATTAATATAAATATAGACCACCATATGGGAGTGACACTGGATATAGGTACTAGCTGAAGTGGAGAGAGGTTGTAAAATTTTGTAATCACAGGCAAGAATTCAAATTTTGTTTATGCATTTGTAATTATTGCACATATCTAAAGATTCATATAATGATATGTTGGGAATTGGCTTGTTCTCTAAATCATTTAGGAACCTTTGACATCAGCGTGAATTAAATCTGAAAATAAAAAAAAGATACCTTCTAGTACTGGAAAAAAGAGTCACTTCAGATAAAAATAAAAAATAGCCAGTTTAATGCTTGTAAAGATTGGATATTTCAAACTATTATTCAATTATGACTCAGTATAAATACACAAGACCATAATTTTCATAAATTGTCTTATTAATCACAAAGACAGCCTGCATTTTACAACCTTTCTCCGCTTCAGCTAGTACCAATATCCAGTGTCGCTCCTATACAGTGTAGACATACACAAGTAATGTCAGAAATCAGTTAAGCTATTGCTTGCATATTTGTTTTACAGTATTAAGGTGTTAAGATTATTGTCTAGTCCATTGTTGAGGTGCTATTTTAATTTTGGAAAATTTACTGATGTTGCGAAATATATCAACCGTCCAAAAAGACCAGCAATTGTTTTTGTTGCATGGACTTTTTGAACCGTCCAAAATCTGACAATCAAATTATATTAAGAATTTATGTTTTTTTTAATTGATATATAGTGTTAGTATACCTCTGGTTTATGAATGCTTGTTGTGTGTACAGTATATTTATCTTATTCCATGGGAATATAATCTGTCCTTTTTTACTGAATGAATGACATCCAAGCAATTGATTCAGGTTAGACTTTCTTCTAAGTTTAAAAAGTTATGCCCCTTAGAAATATTAATTACATAGAAAATTGCATTGTTAACACTCTCACACTTACATTTCATGTAGGTTAGTTATGAACTTTATACCATAGTTTCTGAGTGTTTATTCATCGAAAAATAAGTTGCTCTTTGAAATTGAGAACACAAATTAAAACATTTAGAATGGTCAGTTTAATATAAATTAAAGAGATGTGTTTTGTATATCACAAAGAAAATTACTTTATTAACACAATAAAATGACATTTAGGGTGTTTTAATGTTTAATGTTACCCAGTGTTTGTCTTTTACATCTATTGTGAATATACCTAAAACTATTTCCATCTCTGTATTCATTTCAGTTAATATACACCAGTATAGATCAAACAACCAAAATGCTTTCCTGGGCACTGATTGGTCAAACTTCTGATCTTTAAAAAGTTGTCAGTATTTTTAAGCCAATATCTTTTTTAACCCACTTAAATATCCTCTGCACTTTCTTGACAAATATTTGAGTGTTCTGGGTTAAGGTAAATAAATACTTGCAAGATGATTTTGCTCTAATGTGTCTTTAAACCTTTAGCTCTAGAGGCAAAAAGAACATTGTTTCATTCAGTGAATTTGGACATATGACATAGTGAGCAAATTGAATGGGGTTCAATGTTCGGTTTAGACGAGGGTTTAATTCTGTTATGGCCTATAAACTCAGGGTTTAACCAGAGGTATAATATTGGTTGTGTGTTGTTGTGTTTGTCATTATTTTGATGTATATTTTGGTTTAAGTTATTTTGTTGGCATAATTTATTACACATTTTGGTTTTTTTCCCTTGAATGTGAGATATCCCATTCATTCATTTATATTTTTTTTATATTTCATGTTTTTAAAAATGTTTAACCATATTTTTTTTGTTTTAGAAAATATATTTCTATACATGTCATCCTCATATCTATTGACCTTAATGTTTGTAAAATGCTATGAAATTTCAAGTATTATACAAATAAAGAGAACAAAATCATTTAGTCAGTTGATGCAAAGCTTGACTGGTAATACAATATCTTTGTCTGTATAGATAGCCTTCTGGCAGACAGAACAATAATTTTATCAACTCTATTCTTTACCTAAACTACATTTAAGACCTTTAAGGTTAAGTCTTCCTTCAGATTAAAAAAAAAAAGTAAATAATCAAACACCTGAATCATATTTTGAAAGGAAATAGTGCTTGATAATATATATTGTAGTTCATATCTAAAGAAAGGTATTTGAATAGGGGAGTAAATTGCATATTAAGAAACTTAGTCTCTGTATTAAGATTGATATGTTTTACTTATTATAATTTTGTGCTTATATACAATGTCTTTGAAATCCTATGTACATTCCACATTTTAATGATAAATGTATAAAACCATAATAAAAATATTTTGCAATTGTATTTCAGTGTGAAAATCAGTATATTATGGAGGAAAAAAATTGTCGTTTCTTTGCATTTCGTAGATCATCTTATGAAAAAAAAAAATGAATGTTGCTATGACAGGAATTGATCCTTGATTAAAATAAATGCTCAGAAATTTTCTTTTTCTTCATAAACTGAGTTGTCTTGTCATATTGCCACAGGGTATCATTTGCCTTTAACTGGCACGTCTTATTGCTTACCCCTGTTTGTGTGAAAATCATGTGTATGTATGTACTACGTATGGTCAAGTAAATAAATGTCTTGTCTATTTCGTTTGTTATCACTGAAGCCGTTTAGAATTGACTTTAGCCATGTGAAAGTTGTATTTTGATTGAATATTTTTACTTTATACCTGTACTCAATTTCAAATATAAGATAGTTTTAATCTGGCCACCTGCATGCAGAAAGATCACCTGTGATGCCACTGTAGCATAAATAGTTCCCAATTCACATGTTATGAAAAGATTTCTATAATAAAATATAAGCAGCAGCCTTAACCTCAAGAAATATTTAACTTGCATCAACATATTAAGGAAATAAAATGTTTGACAATGTTGTGTTCAAAAGATAACATTCAACAGGTCACTCTAAAGACCAATTGATAAATTGGACAGCCAAACCTTAACACCACCAAAGGCCCTAAAAGGAACAGTTAAACACCATCTAAGGTCAACTTTGCCTGAGGGAGTTTCAACCGTAGCTTTATTACACTTGACAAAATAAAAAAGAATGGAAATTTACAGAAAAAATGTATCAATTGAATCATGCCAAATCACTGACTACTAGGTAGGATGGATCATCAGCAGTGGTAGAAAACCAATATATATTATTACAGCATGCATAGCACAGCATTTTGAATAACTTTCATCTGGTAGACTTGTGACTAAGGCTTGTAATATATGAACGCACAAAAACATGAGAGCAGAAACTGAGCATTTTAAACAGTCTCGAGGTTTTAAGCAACCTTAGCATTGGAAGTGGCAAAATACCTTTTAGATATAATTTCACAAAGTTTTTCCTTTGCTAATGAAATTTATAATCACTGTTTTCATGAATTAAGTCTTTAAAAAGTGAATTTAATACATTAGACTATTGGACACACTTTAATGTTTCACCTGCTTTACTGATCATAGCTGAATTTTATGTTGGAAGTTTGAGTTCCAAGGTTTTCCTACAGATATTCAACAAAATGAGGTCAAGGTCAGATGAATCCTGTCAACAAACAAGAGCACCTTGCACTGCATACCAAATAAAGCTTTATTACAAATTGAAGTCTATGAAAATTTGATGTTAACTTTACTGAGAAACTAATCTAATCGGAAGCAGATATTTAGGTGATAAATGAGTCATTATAATCAGGGTCAAGGTCAATTGAACCCTGTCATAACATGTACATCTTGCAATCAATCTATAGACCAAATGTAGCTGACCTGCAGTAATTGAAAAGTGAGATGACATGAATTTTAATGAACAATCAAGGTCAGTTTAGTTCTGCCTTGTACATCTTGTAATGATTCTAATTACAAAATATAACTCTCCTATTAAAGCGATCGGGAAACCGACAATTTGCAACAAAATTGAAAAGAACAATGAAAATGAGGTGAAAGTCAGGTGGACATGTACACCTTGTCATTCTGTTCACCAAATTTTTAGACACAAAAAACTACTGGATATTGAGCAACACAAATCTAACCTATAACCAAGGCTTAATTTGGATGCTGGTGTTGTCCAAACCCCATTGCTAAAGGTATGCTACAAATGGAGCAAACAGACTAATCAGGAAGTTGAAACCTTTATAAAAGCACCATCTTCAACTTGCTGCAGTTTATTTTTTGGAAAGTTGTGATTACATTTAAGGCTCAATTTCACATTACTCACAAAACACGACTTGATTGATATATTTAACAATACCTGCAGATATTTTGAGATATATGTATTCTGTATTTTTAGCCAAGTTGCAACAAAATCAATATGATGAATGAGAGGTGTCGACATTTCTGTTTCTGGCCAACATGTTTTGAGCCCCATACAATATTTACCAAACTTTGTGTGATAATGCCCTGTGCAATTAGGACTGCTATTGATTTTGGGGTCAAAGGTTAAGGTCACAGCAGCTATTGATAGTCTGAAATTTGGGTAAGCATGATTTCTGGATGTTATCTTTGAACAATGTATCTTGTACCAAACTATTAATAATGCCCCACGAGTAATGATTTAGGGATCAAAATGGTCAAGGTCACAGCAGCTATAAAGAGACTGAATTGAAATAACATTTTGGTTTCCAATTGGTATCTTTAGAAGCATATGTCCACACCAATCTTCATACCAAAATTTATATGCAAAACACACTTTTCCATTCTTTGAAGATGATATTTTGGCTCAAAGGAGTGATTTTCAGTAGGATTGATTGACACATTAAAAATGAGGACGATGACAATCTATTATCATAATGTTAAACTGTATTTTGGCGGTTTTGGCCCGCTTTCTTCATAGAATGTGACAGGGATTACAATCCAGCGGCGGCGGCAATAGAGTAAACTATTTGTATAAAGCTTTATACTTCAGAAGGTAGAAAACCTGGATGCTTCATACCTTGCATACAGATACACTATGTTAAGAAGTTTCCGTCCGGTATATGTCCATTGTCCTTGACCTCATTTTCATGGTTCAGTGACTGCTTGAAACAAAATTGTTTTTTTGTTAAGTGATGGTTCAGTGACTGTTTGAAACAAAATTAGTTTTTTTGTTAAGTAATATACTCACTTAATATGAGTAATGCGATAACTATATTTGGAATATGTGTTCCTAGCAAGGTCTTCATGTCCGTCAAGTAGGGTTCACCTGACCTCGACCTCATTTATTGAATCAGTGATCAAGGTTATAGTTGTGTGGTCAAGTCCGTATCTCAGATCCTATAAGCATTAGGTCAACTATATTTGGTGTATGGAATGATTGTTAGATGTACATATCGGACTGGCAGGTTTCATCTAACCTTGACCTCAATTTCATGGTTCATTAGACATTGTTTAGTTTTTTGTGGTTAGGTCTATTTCCCAGATACTATAAGCAATAGGGCCACCATATTTGGTGTATGGAGTGATTGTTAAGGTGTTCTTGTCCGTCTGGCAGGTTTCATTTGACCTTGACCTCATTTTCATGGTTCATTGGACCATGTTTAGTTTTTGTGGTTTGGTCTATTTCTCAGATATAAGCAATAAGTAAATTATAATTAAGTGTATGGAACAATTTTAAGGTGTACATGTCTGTTTATTAGGGTTCATATGACCTTGACCTCACTTTCATGGTTCTTTGATCAATGTCAAAATTTGTGGTTTGATCTGTTTCTCGGGTACTATTAGTGATAGGACCACTATATTTGGTGTATAGAATGATTGTAAGGTGTACAAATTGTAACACAAAAAAAACCCCTAAAAAATTACTGACTTTATGCATGTAGTGACTGTGTAGATACACTGTACTAGTTTTTTGGTATCAAAAGTCATGCTTTTCCCAGACTGCTTATGGTGTCTTTAGCCTAAAACCTAAATCTATTTGATTTGAACCGAATGATAATTTAGTTTGGGAAAACAGGGTCTATTCATTAGCTTGGACTTTTAATCAGCTTTTAGTAACTGAGTATTCATAGATGAATACCATGTGTTTTTTCCCATTTGGTTATTTTTGCCAATCTGAATCCTTTTCAACTGATTAAAAGTTTATTCTAATGTATCGTTACACTACTGTCACAGGTTTTATGGGAGGGTTGATCATTTTCAAACATGTTTATCCCCACTTCGTTCTTTATGTGTATGTCCCAAGACAGAAGTAAGTATTACAATGTTTGTAATTGGTTATTGTCGGCCATGGTTGTTTTGTTGTTTGTTTGCTTAAATCATGCCATTGGTATTTTCTTTTGAATTGTTTCACATTTTGTTATCTTGGGACCTTTCTATAGTTTACTAAACAATATAGGTTTTGGTCAATGCTGAAGGTCATACGGTGACCTGTGGTAGTTTGTCCTTTGAGCTTTGTTGGACAGCTGTCTCATCGACAAGCCTGTCACATCTCCTTATTAGCTCACCGGGGCCCAAAGGGCCCCATGTAAGCTTATGCCATCACTTGGCTTCATTCATTGTCCGTCGTCTGTCGTCGTAAACTATTTCAAAAATCTTCTCCTCTGAAACTAATGAGCCAAATACCTTCAAACTTTATCTAAATGTTCCTTAGGGTATCTAGTTTATAAATTGTATACGAAGTTTTGATCCATCGATAAACATGGCCGCCATGGCTAAAAATAGAACATAGGGGTCAAATGCAGTTTTTGGCTTATATCTCAAAAACTAAAGCTTTTAGAGCGAATCTGACATGGGGTACAATTGTTCAATTGGTCAAGATCTATCAGCTCTGAAATTTTCAGACGAATCGAACAACCCATTGTTGGGTTGCTGCCAGCGGATTGGTAGTTTTAACAAAATTTTGCAGTTTTTTGTTATTATTTTGAATATTATTATAGATATATATAAACTGTAAGCAGCAATAATGTTCAGCAAAGTAAGATCTACAAAAAAGGTAATATGACAATAATTGTCAATTGACCCCTTAAGGAGTTATTGCCCTTTAAAGACAATTTTACACAATTTGTTCATCAAGTTTGCTAACATTTAAAAATCTTCTCCTCTGAAATACAGGTGAGCGATTCAGGCTCTTGAGAGCCTCTTGTTTTTATTTACATTAAAGCAGAATATACAACATAGCTTTCATATTTTATTATCTTAATAAAACACATCTGATATCACAGATAACCAGTAAATTTTTTAACTCAAAAACATATCACAAGTTGGCACCAGGTTTGGTTCAGCAGGATGGAATGAAAATATTGGTTCTATACAATAAAAATCTAAATCACATCATATTACATTAGAAAATATTTTGTATCTGACTTAAATAAAATATTTGTATATTTCAAGTAATAATTAAAAAATAAATAAACAAATCATTATTTTAAAAGATAGTTTTCAACAAACACAAAATTCAGCAGTCATAAAAAATAATTTTTACAAAAACAAGACTATAAACAAGTAACGGTATCACAGTTCAGCAGGTATTGTTTGTCATTAAGCACAATCATTACATACAATCATAAAACTTGTTTTACTGTTTTGTATTTAGAGGTTTCTATAAAATCTATGAATATTAGACTGGACCTCTATAATGTCATAAAATACTTTAAGGTTAATTTACATTTTAACATCATTTGAATCTTAAGATTTAGATCCTATCACAAGGTGAATCCAAACCTTTTTTCAATTTTGTATAAACAGCAGTGAACAATATTGAAATCTTCCAAACTTATAAACTAATACATATATTTAATATTATTATTTCTGATTGCTGCTCAGACTACTTGACAAAAATACTCTATGCTGGCACCAAAAACATGGTGGATCAAATGTTGGTAAAGGCAGATTTGTTACCAGATATTTATCACCATGACTACGGGGATCATCAGAGCAGTAGACTGGACAGTCATATAATTCATATTTTCTTGTAAACTTGGACGGAGAACTGACATCAACTGGTTTTAACCAGATATAAGGCATGAGATGAGGTTGTTGATTTTCAGAATCATTTTCCATTAAAATGGCTCTTGTGGAATCCCATAATGCATTGTGCAATCTTAAACCTGTGATGTATACCCCATCCTTAGGTGGTACGGAAGGTTTAATTCCTGTTGGCATCACCTGGAATAAACAAAAAAAAATACTTTTGAGATGTTTGGATTGTATCTACTACAATTACCAATTTTGTATATTTTCTAGTACTTTGCTATTATAAAATTGTTTAAAGAAAATGGAATGTCATTGGAAAATTACTCCTTTTTGTATAATATACAATCAATTATCATTCCCATGACACAAATAATTCTACACCCTCATAAAGACTACACACTTTGTAGAGATACTGAGTGCAGGTTTAGGGGGGATATGTAAAGTAAGGTTACAGTATCTTTTCAAAGTTTGTTATGTTAAAAACATAAAATAAAGGAATAATTTGAGATCTATGTATTAATTTTTAAAAAAGTGCAATGACTTCCTCATATTCCTCAAGTCTTTATCATCACTGAAGACACTACATCAGAATGTTATAATAGAGACATATATATGTCTCTGGTTATAACTACATAACAATATATCAATTATCTTGTATTGTCATTTAGTTTTACTCTCCTTCACTAAGTGTCTATTCTATTTATTAGATAGATTTGATATAAGCATGATACATGTTTTTTGGCTACAGTCTGTATGGTATAGTTCTAAGTTTGATGTAATTTTCTGCATCATTATGTACCCTTTCTTATCAATGTGGATTAATTGGTATCTGTTTTACAGTGCAAGGTTAACTGTCAGGGACTTTCAGAATTTGTGCCAAGCATCACCTGACAAGCTTCACATTCTTTATAGGTATCAATAATATCTATTGGCCTGTGGTCTTTTAAAATGTTCGGAAAAACTAAGTCTTGCATCCTTCTTATGAAATTTGTAATGCTCATATACTGTCCATTCAGATACATTTATCCCCAGTTTCAAGTTTCAAATAAAAAGTAATGTTGTAAAAGTATATTGATGCATGGCAAAAGTGTGGGTCACAGTGTTTAAAGGCACACCAAGGAGAGGGTATTGGTGTTCATAGGACTGGAGTATTAATTACTATCTAAAAAGAATAAGGGTAGCATTTATCTATGCTGCATTAAAAACAGACAGACTCCAAATTGTATAGAGAAAAAAATATGTGGCCTGCACATGCATGCTTATCTAAGAGGCTTTAGCCTTTCATGGCATCTATAGAACTTAAATTTTTAATTCATTTCATAAACCACTAATCAACCAATGGTCTTTTCACCATTTAAAACTACTGGTAACAACCTTTTCAGCTGATCAATGTAAAAAAAAAATTGTATTACAACTTTAAAACTATTGGCCCATTGGTAAGCACAGTTTATGATTTAATACCAAGTTAGATGTTGATATTTTAACCAGAATTATCCATTGATATTTAAGACTTTCGTAAACGTGTGTTATATACTATTACTGACAAAATTAATACCTAAAATGGGAATTGTTTTGTTTGATCACTGAAGCAGTATAAAACACATGTTTCTTTACTGTATAGTATACAATAAATATATAAAGTAAAAGTTCTACTACAATGTCTGTTGTAATCATAGCAAATAAAAACTTATGATCAATGTTGTGTGGGAATAATTAGATTAACAGATTCTTTGTGGTTTAATTATAGAACAAGGAACAGAAGATAAAATTAAGTAAATAATCTGATGGTAACTATTGTTAGGACAATCAAATATTTTTTCTGTTTTCACAATTTTTACTACAAATTTGTTAACATTGACACCTTAAATCGAGAGTGACAATTTGTTTCATAACAACTATCTAACAATTAGTTTTCATTGATTTCAATGTTAATCAATCTTGGATTTATAAAATTGCTTATAAAATCCGCTTTATTTGGATTCTGCTAGATAGTTGTTCACAGTGTCGGATCCAGAACTTTTCATAAGGGGGGGCCCGCTCCAGTCATGCTTCAGTGATTCCCTATATAATCAACCAAATTTTCCCCACAAAAGGGGGGGGGGGCCCCGGGCCCCCCAGGGCCCCCCCCTGGATCCGCCTATGATTCATATCACATCATATCACATCTCTTATTGTATAAGTATTCTTTATTGGTAATTTTCAATGAGTTACATTTAATATATACTTTTTAGGCATGCAGTACTTTTGTTTATAAATAATAATTTGACCATGTCCATTGAAAGTTGATTTCAGGTATCCTATATTGTATGTAACTTGTAGAATACTTTTTTTCTGATTTTGTTGAAACCAGAAAACTTAAATCAAGAAAAGGTCAAAATGTATACATAAATTAGAAAATATTGATAGCAAATTAATAAAACTATTATTATTGAAAGAAAGATTTTTTATGAACTGACATAAATTGGTACCAATAAAATTTAAATAATTTGACAAATATCCACAATTTTAGGAAAACATTTTAAAGTTCCAAACATAATCTTATATTAATAATGTCTAAGTTTGGTAGGTCTGGAAAGTCATGAGACAAAAATGAAGTGTTACCAAGTTTGGTTGATTCGTAAGATTATCATATACGAGGTATAAAAAAGACACCATAAGGATGACTATGGTCAATTTAGTTCCAATGGGCTCAGTAATTCAAGAAAAGATATTTGATAAAGTAAATTAACCATAAACAGCAATGGGCACAGTAATTCAAGAGAAGATTTTTGATAAAGTAAATTAACCATAAACAGCCATTGACAAGCAAGCAATACAAATACTTTGGGTCCTGTAGGCAAATTTAGAAAAAAAAATATTAATAATTTTTCTCTTGCATGCTTATATTGAAGACTTATTGCTTGGTATCTGTAAAACTAATGCAAGACACACTCTAACAAAATTCTAGGAAAATTGAGTTTCAATATTGTTCTCTACAATATTATTGAAAGTATTCAGATCTTGTTCGTTGTCTACAATAACAGTCAAAACAGTCAGTTCTTGTTTTTGTCTAACACTAGTCAAAATACTGTGCTCCAGTTTGTTTTTCTATACTTGACAAAACATCATGTTCCAGTTTGTTGTCTATAATTGACAAAACATTATTTGACAACAGTTTGTTGTCTATATTTGACAAAACCTTATGTTCCAGATTGTTGTCTATACTAGACAAAACCTTATGTTCCAGTTTGTTGTCTATACTAGTCAAAACAGTATGTTCCAGTTTGTTATCTATATTAGTCACAATATTGTGTTCTAGTTTGTTGTCTATACTAGTCAAAACGGTATGTTCCAATTTGTTGTCTTTACTAGTCAAAACATTATGTTCCATTTTTGTTGTTGAAACTGTCAAAATATAATTGATTTCTAGTTCGTTGTATATACTAGTCAACAGATGGTGTTTTCTAGTTCGTTGTCTATACTAGTCACAATATTGTGCTCCAGTTCGTTGTCTATACTAGTCAACACATTGTGTTCCAGTTTGTTGTCCATACTAGTCAACACATTGTGTTCCAGTTTGTTGTCTAGACTAGTCAAAACATTATGTTCTAGTTTGTTGTCAAAACTGTCAAAATATTGTTCCAGTTTGTTGTCTACAATAGTTAAAATAAATTCCAGTATTTTGCAGAATATTGGAACATCCAATAAATTTTCATTTTCATTGTTACTATATAAGATAATTGAAATTTCAGTTATGATGGAATTGGGAAGAAGCTTTATATAAAGGATAAAACAAGAAAAACAGTTATTTAAAAACTGAAAAGAAAGTGAATTTGTTGAAATATCCTGGATAAAAGTTCAATAACCTGTTGTTTTCTGACAGATCAATTAAGTGAAAAAGCATGTACTGAATGTAAACATCATTAAACAAAGCCTTAATGATAATAACAAGTTTATAGAAATACCAAGAAAAAGTTCAACTACAATTGATGATAATGCTTACAACAATGTACTTATACAAAAATAATACAACAATTGTAATCTTGTCTTGTTTGATTATTTCTAAAGTTACCATGATAATGATCTACATATCTGTCTCAATGGGGGTCTACAGGAGATCATTTATCCAAGTTAAAAATATAAATGTATTTCTTCACAGAACACGGCAATCAGTTATAGTTATACTGAAGAGCTTCTAATAGCATACCTCATAACGAGGTAAACAAGTCTGGTCCACTGAAATACATCGTATGGAATATTGCCACTGCACAAAGTTTCATTGAACAGTTTTATAAATTTGAACCATACAAAAGGAGTTGTGCTTAGATTGCTTCATAATAAAATAAAAATCAATAACCCTACTTAAACCAGAATCATTTTCTCCAATACTAGTATTGAAACTGGCATACTACCACCGGTAAAATGTACTATCAAACTTGTAACAGGAGTTGTACATACAATGAATACCATTGTTCCCTCTGGCTTGTTCCATGATAACTAAAAGTCAAGTAGGAGAAGAAATAGTCTCCTATATAGCATAAAAAATGTGTTATGAGGGGGATGGTTTTTATAATATTTAATGAAAAATCTGATTTCAGGTAATGAACTTAAAACACATTCAGTATAATTCACCAACTAAGATTAACTTCAATCCAGTTTACAATGTAACAGTTATCAAATATCAACAAGATATACATTCTCATTTAGTCAAATCAAATTTCTATGTTAAAGATATTATTGATCAAATCCTTTTGAAATTCCAATTCAGAATTATGATATTAAAGTGAAAGAAGAGAAGTTATTATCTTTTGAACTCTTCAAGATTAACATATAAATGTTTTACTATAGCTAGCAAATTGAAATAATGCTTCCAAAAATAAGATACAATTCTGAAACCTTTTTTATCACTATTATATAAATTATCGATTTTAATTGAAATAACAGACTTTACATAAATACTTCAAAGTGTTTAAAGTGTTCAAAGATATAAATCTTCTTTCTTTAATCTCTACAATCAGTCATGTAGTGATCTGGTACTGATTAATTGGAGATCATCCAGTATAATTGTTTAAGTAATCACAAAACCATAAATCAGAAACACTGAAAAAGACTGAGGAATTATCAAATTGTGAGAAACATTAGAATCAATGCTGAGAAAGAAAATTTATATATGTTTGTGTCTTTCTCCTTTTAAAATTACTTCTATTAAAATGAAGACCTCAAAATGTTGAAAAATTTATTAATTGAAAATAAAAAAATAAAACAGTTCACTCAGAATTATATCCAATTGTTTGAAGTTATTCTTACTGACTACATGCAGCAAAGAATCCAGTCATTTCTAAAACATCTAATAGTTAAGACATTACAACACAGTAATTAAATTACATCATCATTTTATTTATTAAGATTGGTTAATAATCGAAGAATATTAATTTTCTTGGACTAATTGTCTCTACATATTTTCTCTAATTGGGTTATAATAAAAATATTGGTACGAAGTTAATCCTACATGATTAAGTATTAGTTAGAAGATATAGGAAGATGTGGTATGAGTGCCAATGAGACAACTCTCCATCCAAGTAACAATTTATAAAAGTAAACCATTATAGGTCAAGGTACGGCCTTCAACACAGAGCCTTGGCTCACACCGAACAGCAAGCTATAAAGGGCCCCAAAAATTACTAGTGTAAAACCATTCAAAACCATTTAGGTATATTTTGGGGCTTTTATTTACCATGTTAATTCAATGGAAAAAATATGTTTGAATTAAGAACCATTGGTAGTTTTACTGTTGCAAAATGAGTTTACCTGGCGACCTGTAGTGGAGACAGGTAAACAGATATTTGAGACAGTAAAACTACAGATGGACATCTCCAAAGCTTCAAATACAATACAGTTCTCTCTATTATGATTTAAAATAAACAAATCATTCAATTTTATTCATTATTTTTGTGTAAAATTTTCATTAAATGAAAATTCCATGAAATATTGTTATATTCTTTTGCACCTAAACAAGGTGACATCATAGGTATGCTTTTGGTGTCATAAACAAGGGCGTTTTCTGAATTCTTGCTGCCTCAGAATGTAATAAAATTTGATAAAAAGAAGATTTCTAGGTGCAAAATGTGAGGCTTTTTTGCTAAATATTTGAGAAATTACATGTCAATACATTCCTGAGTTCAAAATGTCGGCTTCCCATAGTTACAGATAGGTAGATAGAGAATTTTACGCTGATTGTCATCCAATCAGAACAATTGATGCAAAATAATAGCATTAGAATCCATCATTATCATCATTTATGAAAATCAGGATAAAACGTATATTTCTTTAGTCTGGATGACTAAATTTTACTGTGGCAACATTCAAGTGACATAATTACCGGTAGGTAAATATGTCAGATTTGCAAAAAAATAAACAAATGTCAATCACATTTTGGCCAAATTTACATGGAGCACATGCATTGCCCCAAATAGATTTTGCTAAAGAATAGATTAACACAACATAACCTTCCTGCGTTACAATCCTTTTGTGAGCTAGTTGTGCTCTATTAAAAACTTCTCAACATCAAAGTCAAAATTTTGTATATCAACATTATGATATTTAGATATCATGGCATGAAATATCAATATTTAAATTTTTGTATAAATAAAATGGTGAATATGAGAGTTTGAAGAAACTTATAAATAAAAGTTTGATGGGAGCATTGAGAGACAGACATGTAACCAAAGGGAGATAATCCAGTAATTTTCCTGGGTTTGTGAAATTTCAGAAAACCACCTTCCAGTGCAATGAGCTGAAATTTGTCAACAGATGATCAATTGGAAAGAACAAAAATCTTACAGGAAGTTAAAAAAAATATTGCGCAATGGTATTCTGAACAGTTAAAGCTTTGATCACAAACACAGTAAGAGGAAATATTTGACTTTGAACAATTAAATAAATAGTTCTTCAGCAGGAAATTAAAAGGACAGAAACCTTTCTTTGGGGTCAATGGGCACCATGATTTTTACTGACAGTATAAACTGCCTTGATTTTGCTCTGTATTTTCATTTATTCAAAAATAAGCTTACTTAAGTTAGGAAATGTAATTAACATGCTCCAGAAAATGCTTCATAAATCCTTTCTAATTAGGTTCTTAATATTTATATATCTGTTTACTTCAAGAAATAATCTGTATGTAGTCAAGATAAAAAAAAGAATTGTAGAGTTTTGACTTGTTTTGATAACATCTGCATAAATTAAAGTTCATTTTTTAAACGAAAATAGAAGCTCTTTGAAAATCTAAATTCAGCCAGGAAGTTTGTAGGTGTAGGATTATATTTATGGTATCAATAGATTAACAGGTATGCTTCTTTGTTCTTAAGCTGAATAATTCTTACCTGCAATTCAAATTCTACTGAGTTGATATCAACAAAATGTTTTCTGGCAAATGTCTGCTTGATGGCCTCGATGAATCTGTCAGGCCTGAGAAACATGGAGAGATTGTAAGCCACAGGAGAGGGATCATTCACTAATGAAGAAATGATTTGAATCTTCACAGGAAGTTCTTTTATCCATTTGGTCAGACTGCTGCCTGATGGGAAAGTTTGAGCTAGCCACAATTGTGGCACTCTATCTCTGTTCATTGAGTGAATGACATCATCATAATGTGGCGGTGTAAGTATTTCACCTTTTGACCTCCGCTGAAGTAAGGACAAATCTGATTGAACAGTCTGAATTAAAGTTTTATATCCCTCAACTTCGTAATGAATAAAGACATCAATAGGATACATTTGATTTTTGTTTGTCTCTGGCAATACAGCACATTTCTGTAAAGTGGATATCAGGCTTGGTAATATACTGTCTACAGATACTTCACGATAACTAATGGCAGTGTTCACACGTAATAATAACTCGGGAGCTCCAATCACTTGGATCATATCCTTTATTAGTACCCTGAAAATAAAACACAACTTTTTTTAAAGTTAACTGATTAAAAGAAGTGAAGCTGTATTTATGGACTATTTGTTACATACTGATAAAGTTAGAACTATTTTCATACTTTATTTACTGTAAATTTCCATTCAAAATCTGATAACATTAAATGCGTTGCTGAATGTGAACTTTGTTTAGCACTGACCTGCTGTGAGTATACATGACATCTTTATCTGCTGTTTCAGGAAGACCATAGTTCTTGGCTGTTAGTTCCTCAAGTGAGTCTACAGCTTTCTTTAGAGTGAAGTTCTCTGGTGATTCCATCAGTAATGTATTCAGTAAGCCTATAATATCATTGGACTTTTTCTCTGGGACCTGAAATATCATTAAAATTATGTCTAATAATTAAGTTACTCAAACATTTACACCCCAATATCATTATCTATTTATGCAAAATGAAATATCTACCAAGATTATAAACAAAGGCATAACATTATTTACTTAAATATGTAATTAGCTACAATTAGGATGTTTTTTTTTTCTCTCCATCAAGTTATGAAATACAGGTTTAAATGAATTTTTCTTTTCATTACAAATTGTTTCAAAGTGTGTCTTGAGTAAGGCTAACTGACTTACTTGTTTGCCAGTGGCATACTGAACCAGTATACTGACCAAGGATTGAACAACCTTGGCATCAGTACTATCAGTACAATGGTCAGAGTAAGCTCTAGCCACCATGTCCATTATTTTCTCTGTCGAAGTAGACTTTGACACCACTTTTTTAAAAACATCAACAGCCATGGCCAGGTCACTCAAAGTCCAGTGGTGGTCATTAATAAATGCATTACGGCCATAGAAGCTTTGTTGTAACAAGAGAGAATGGAGTAAAGCCAAAGGCATTATTTTGTCTTGCTTCCCAGACACCTGTAACAGATGAAAATAAATATTAAGTTTAGCACATTCATTTAAAAATGTAAATACTGTGAGATATAGGGATATGGCAGCAACCCAGCATCTAATCTGCTATATTTAACCTTTTTTCACTGATTTAAAATAATGTAAATTAAAGACTTCTTGACACTGCAGCAGAAATGTTATAAACACATATTAAATTGTTTGGAGAAGTAGTATAAATAAAAATCTAGGAATACTAATAAAGATACATCTAAAAATATTAAAGGATTTCTGACTCCAGAAACTAATTCTATTTGACTTTTACAAAAGCTTACACTGTCATTAATATGTTTCCAGTTCTGTAAAAGGAATGCCACACTTCTATATGATTTTTGTATTGTAGATTTAAAGTTACCAGTCTTCTCGCACGTCACTTTAATACCATACTGTACAAGAACACCTGCAATTTATATAAAAAATAAAGTATAAAAAACTTTATATTTTTTTTTTTTAGGGTGGGGGCATAATAAGGAAATATTTGCATAAGATAACATTGTTCCACAGTGTATGTTTTTCTAATATTATTTTAAGAACACAAATTTATCAAAATTAGAATGTGTCTGTAAACTGATTGCATCTGAATATATCACAGTAGTTTGGCATTCATGAAGAAAATTTAAAAAATTGTATGTAAAGGAGAAAATATGATATGGCTACTTTTTTGACCCCTTCAATTTGAAGATTAAAAAGTATTAAAATCTCCTAAATAACCTCCTCAGATGTTTATAAGACATTAGACTGATATCAGTATTGATAGTATTGATTTTGTTTTACATATTTGCATTTAGGCTTCAAACTTCTTGAATTTGCTTTCATCTGCAAAACCTACTGAAATAGCCTTATTTTGATATCTTGTCATTAGCCTTATTTTGATATCTTGTCATTAGCCTTATTTTGATATCTTGTCATTAGTATTATAATATGAGCCAAGGCTTAACCCAAAAAGATATTTTGCTACAATTTTTTTCTTATTAAGATGTTAATATGTGTAACATATCTTTTTGGGTAAAGCCATTGTCCCAAAACTATGTGTAAAAAATAGAATTTTTTATCATGTATGTCATCATAGTGACATCAGAAGTGACTTTTCTGTTCTAAAGTGTCCAGATTATAGAATAGATATGTAATTCTTACCTGGAATGAGTCTACCACTGTCTGCCTGTGTAGTGATCCACAATCTCAATGTATTGTTGATATGTAATTCTTACCTGGAATGAGTCTACCACTGTCTGCCTGTGTAGTGATCCACAATCTCAATGTATTGTTGATATGTAATTCTTACCTGGAATGAGTCTACCACTGTCTGCCTGTGCAGTGATCCATAATCTAAATGAATTGTAGATAAGTAATTCTTTCCTGGAATGAGTCTACCACTGTCTGCCTGTGTAGTGATCCACAATCTCAATGTATTGTAGATATGTAATTCTTACAATGGAATGAGTCTACCACTGTCTGCCTGTGTAGTGATCCACAATCTCAATGTATTGTAGATATGTAATTCTTACAATGGAATGAGTCTACCACTGTCTGCCTGTGCAGTGATCCATAATCTAAATGAATTGTAGATAAGTAATTCTTACCTGATATGAGTCTACTACTGTCTGCCTGTGTAGTGATCCATAATCTAAATGTATTGTAGATATGTAATTCTTACCCGGAATGAGTCTACCACTGTCTGCCTGTGTAGTGATCCACAATCTAAATGTATTGTGGATATGTAATTCATTGTCTTCATCTCCTGTTTTAGAGAAAGTAACCAAGCTATTTCCATCATCAGATATATCTGTTTTCTGTCTCTTTCTCTCCTGTTTTATCCATTTACTGTATACAATATCCTGTTAAGAGTAAATTCATAGAGATGACATCCTACACACAGGGTAACAATAGTAAAAGAAAAGGTGTGATAGGAGAAATTATCAGTTCCTCAAATTCCAAAATCACAAAGTGATCTATCAATTGTATTTTGGGATATTTTAGAATTTTTAGCAAATTTACATTTCATACAGTCAATAAACATATGAATAAACTCAAAGAAATTTGTTCAATTAAACAATCTTTTTTTTTTAAATTAGAAACATATTTACCTTCAGCAAAATATAAAACTCTTGCTCTGGCTCTTCTGCCAAATGATAATTCTGTAAAAGTAACCAGTAACCATTCTGTATACAATCCTCTAATGCATGTCTCACTTCACACATCTGACCTGGTACCCCAAAGTTCATTACTCTAACTTTCCCTTCCATACCAATTTCCTTAGCTAGCCTCTTCACCTCGTGAGTGGGACTAACATAAGAATAGCCTGAAATGATTGTAATATATCAAATATATCAAATATACAAATATATACCAAATAATTATAATATACCACTAAATATCATTATTTACCCACAAGGAATTAAGAACAGAATGTTAATAATCTAACTGCCAAATATTTGACCCTCATTTATTTAGAGCTTTGTTTTTTTCTGAAATATTTTTATAATTTTATAAAAGAGAGGGGAAGGATACCAATGGGATTTTCAAACTCATAAGTCTAAAACAAAGTGACAATGGCATAGCAAAAAACGAAAAACGATCAAAAGACAAACACAGTATACAAAACACAACATAGAAAACTAAAGACTGAGTAACATGAATCCCACCAAATACTGGAGGTACACCAGAACTTGCTGAAGGGTACACATATCCTGCTACACATATTAAACATGCAAGTACAAACCCAGTGATAAGTTTAATAATATAAATCATAACTTTTGTTAAACAAATCAAAGTCATACTTTTGTTTTAGAACTTTGTTCTGATAAACTTTTTCAGTCTTTATGCACATTGAAGTTAATATTCTTAACAGATGTTTGCTAGTACATGAAATACTTTCAATTACAACAATGAATCTTACTTTTTCTTTCAATTTCTCACTTCATACCTTTAGATATGTAGAATATCACAATCAGGTCTAATACACCTTTTTAAATGAAAGAACCTTAGTGAGCGCGTTCACATACCCCACATCCCTACATTGTCATTGGAGAAATAAAATAAGTGTAAGAAAAAAAATTGTATCAGAAAAAAAAATTGAATCATAATTACCTGTCAATATGCACATCTACATAGTATGTCCTTATTATCTACACAGTTTCATGAAATTCTGTTGTGTGGTTTGAGAGGAGTTGCAATGACAAAAGGTTGCAGTAGTATATTGGGCAAATAAGTTCAAAGGGGCGTAACTCCTGGGAAAATAATTGAATCGTAATTTCCTGTCGATATGCACATCTACATAGTATGTCCTTATTATCTGAAAAGGTTTCATGAAATTCTGTTGTGTGGTTTGAGAGGAGTTACGATGACAAAAGGTTGCAGTAGTATATTGGGCAAATAAGTTCAGAGGGGCGTAACTCCTGGAAAAAAAATTGAATCGTAATTTCCTGTCGATATGCACATCTACGTAGTATGTCCTTATTATCTGAAAAGGTTTCATGAAATTCTGTTGTGTGGTTTGAGAGGAGTTGCGATGACAAAAGGTTGCAGTAGTATATTGGGCAAATAAGTTCAAAGGGGCGTAACTCCTGGAAAAAAAATTGAATCGTAATTTCCTGTCGATATGCACATCTACGAAGTATGTCCTTTTTATCTGGAAAGGTTTCATGAAATTCTGTTGTGTGGTTTGAGAGGAGTTGCAATGACAAACTGTTGCAGTAGTACATTAAAGTAAATAAGTTCAAAGGGGCGTAACTCCTAGAAAAAAAATTGAATCGTAATTTCCTGTCGATATGCACAACTACATAGTATGTCCTTATTATCTAAAAAGGTTTCGTGAAATTCTGTTGTGTGGTTTGAGAGGAGTTGCGATGACAAGAAATAGGACTGACGGACTGACTGACGGACAGACGGACGGGTCAAAAACATTATACCCTCCGCAACTCGTTGCGTGGGGTATAATAACCTTCTCTTTCGACACAGTGCAAGCATGGTTTATCAAACTATTATGTATTATGGTCCTTATTACCTGTTTCATTGGGCATAACATCTTTAACAGTTACCATGCAGCATGCATGAAAACTTGATTGAATTATGGTTAAGTAAAGAATTAAGGACAAAACTGCAAGACCATTGTCCAGCTTTTAGTTAACATCTAGTCTAAGTGGTCAGGAAAAAACAGAATGAGAAGAGAATATTTAAAGGGACTATAAATGAAACAGAAAACATGTTGAGTGAACAACACATATACTGACCTTTTGTAGCTGATGATGATCCTTTATGATGTTCTGTATTTGGCATCATAAACACGACTGGTGTAGTATTGTTAGTGTAGGCATATACATCTCTAATGTTGTAATTGTCTGGTAAACTACGTATGCTGCCCATCTCATATAGAGTCATGGCACTGGCTAACTCACAAAGCTGTAAGATAAAATACTCATAGCCTAAAGTATATATAAATGCTACAATGTCTGGCTGACAATGAGCATCATAAATATAGTTTAAAGTCAGGAACCTTGTCAGTGGTTTTCTTTTGTTATATCTAATCTTTTGGAAAATTTTGTGTTTTCTATTGAGGAAGTTATCTTTTTTTATGACCTCTAAATGTCTTTGTTTTTTTTGTGTGGTACAGTATATTTGCTTTTTCTTTGACATATATCCTACATTTTTTTCATATAATCATATTATTAACCTAGAGAAAAGTGATGCTAAATATAGATTAGCTTATAGACTTTTACATTGGTACAAGTGGATTATCAGATTCATCCAATCAAGATAGTTAAATTATCGAATTTCAAAGTCTGAAATTCGATAATTTAACTATTGAGAATGGATAAATCCAATAATCCACGAGTAACTATGTAAGAATCTGTTTCTCTAATGATTATCAAATATTTTAATTTTGATAATCGAAAATCCCCTTTGAGTGGCTTCCACATTTAGTACTGCAACCAGAGTTCATTTTTTTAAACTTTAATGTTCCGGAAGAACACACACCTAAATCATATATCGATGGAAAGAGGAAAACGTGTACAATAAGAAAAGTTTGGTCGTAAAAATCCAGAGTGGTCACATTTTGGTAAAATTGAGGTCAAAGGTCAGACCTAAAAATATCAATATTTCAACTACAAGGACAAAAAGGAGAAATTTTCTGATATATAGTCAATGGAATGCTACAAAAACGGTTCAATCATAAGCATATACTACAAACGATGATAAAACGACAAATTTGACTACTTATATGAAGAGCTGCCATTACAAAATGGCGTTGATTTGGAACCTTCTGATTTTTTTGCCATTTATGACATAGCAAAAGAAGAGGTGGCCTTGACCTTTTCACATCCATAAACTTTCATATTGTTTATACTTTTTCACTTCAGTATATTACAAAATTATTTTCTAAACTATAAAACACCAGTTTATCAAACTATTTCAATATTTTTCTATCTTTGAAAAAAACAAAATTCAAGCACTGAAACAGTGTTTTTAATTTTGTATCTAAAAGGTTGTGTATTTTGTGAAAATTAGTATCTAGTTATAGATAAGTACATATTGTGTATTTGCAAAGTCTGGACAGATCAGTTATAACACAAAAAAATACCATAGTCAACCGAGGCGAATGCGAGGTTTAAAAAAAAATCATATGTGTGACTTGCATTGAGTAAGCGTTTGTTTGAGTGTAAAACAAAGTCAGTTTGGTGCATGAACATTGTCTTAGTGGGATTATCTGTGCAAAAAAGTGTAGACTCATCAATTTTTTAGAGAAGTGATGGAAAATAATACAATGTAATGTCAATTTGCTAATGTTGTAATTTAAAATCAGTCATGACCCTTATATAACTTGTCTTATAAAAGCGAAATACAATAGCCTTAGTTTCATTAAATACTATTTCGCTTTTCGGAGGGTCGACAGAGGGTGCAAAGATTTTATAATTTCTTTAGAAATATTATCTTATCAACTTTTTCTTGGACGAATCGTTTCTCAACTTTGTAACGTAACTAACAGTCCTGCTGAAAATATTTGAGGTAATGGAATGACTTTAACACGATTAGTCATTAGCGTAAGCCATGGCAATGTTCTCTTGTTTATAGCCTACCTTTGCCAGGAGGAACTCTAATTAACAATTAAGAACAAACATTTTAAACGTATTTTGATTTTAATTAATTTCTCTTAATAATTTTTTTTTTTCATAATAGATGGCAATGTGCACCATTCTAACAAAAACCGATTAGTCGAGTATCATTTTGGTATTCGATACTCGGTACTACCGAGCGATACTCGAGTACTCGAGTACTCGTTGACATCCCTATTAAACAGGGATGTTAATCAATCAATTCGTCATCATATGCGGATTCAGCATGCGTATTATATTTACAACAGAGTTTGTTGAAAGCAAACACAGCTTTTGAGCACAAAGATTTGCCTTAGCAGGTACACAGATAATCCTGTAAGTAATCTGATGACATTTGTCACATGACAAATGATGGGGTTTATCCACTTTTGTCTTCCCGGTCGAATTTTTGAAAGAATTCGGAACACGAACAGGACCTCTATTACCTTCGGTATAATGAAACAGGCGCCAACGATGATGCACTGTCAGTCAATTGAAAAGTGTTATCTTGACCTCTCTTCACTTTCATCTGACGCATTCTGGATTCAATTGCGGATTGATAATAAAATTGAGAATGGAAATGGGGAATGTGTCCGAAAGAGACAACAACCCGACCATAGAGCAGACAACAGCCGAAGGCTACCAGTGGGTCCTCAATGCAGCGAGAAACCTGAAAGTCTGCTCGTGCCATGGAATGAAACGTTCCTTACTATCAATTGTCTCCGTGTTGGTGACTATATTGTCAGCACCTTTTTGTATCAAACATCCCCCTTGGTGTTTTGCAACAATGCAATCTGGAGCGAAAATACCGTCTTGATTCGGCCAAACTCGTGCATGGCAATGCTTGTCAGGTATAGTCTTACCTCTGCATAGGAAACACAAAAGACATGTGAGTACAAAGTTTCTATCAATATTCGTGACCCATATTCCCATATTCATGATATAACTGCACGGTCAATCCCAAATGTAATGGGACGAATGTTGATACAGAAACGATTTATTTTCTAATAGCCATACATTTACGATTTTTTGTTATCTTTAGGGACAAAATACGGTTCAGAAGCGCCTTTGTGTGATTTTTTATCAATTAACTAACAAATGAACTACAAAAGCGATACAGGCATCTTTTCCATAGAAACATCCAACGAGCTCATAAGAGCGCTGGCGGCACAGTGAAGTAATTGTTCTTCTTTTTATGTATCCTTGATATCTTCAGACAGACCTTGGTGTAATTCTGAAAGTCTTAACATAGACTTCAATTTTCCTGCAACAGATATGGCATCCCCTACATTGAATTCAGAGCTAAACTCTATATTTGATATCCATTGGCCTTGCTGTGTCTGAATTGTAAGGTGCCATTATATCTAGTTAGTTAGTTCTGGAGTTTTGCAGTTTGGTAAGCATCAGAGACAATCTTGGGTGAAAGTGATCGGTATATTTCGAGGATGTGCTACATGAGGAAAGAACAGACCATTACTTACAACCAATTTCAAATTCTAATTTTAGTAACTGTTTTACCTGATTACACAGGTGTTGACTTCAATAAGTACTTGGTGATGCATGCTGAAAGGTAGACTGAATTTGAAAATAAATTTGTACTCGCGATTATCTTTACCATGCCATGCATGGATAAATGATTACTCACACAAGCACACCTCAAATGACCGTCAACACGTTCAGACGACTCAGTTTTGTGTAGTTTTCTGTAATTTTTAAAGCCAAACTACAAGGAGGAAACTGAGCGCGAGATCGAATAAAAGTGTCAGGTTGTGAGGATACATGTGCATCAGTTTGATCACATATATGGCTTTCTGTTGTTTCTAATTAAAAGAAGCAACAATTTTGCCTTCTGGTGTAAGTCTTATAACATCACTGATGATTCACAACTCTTTCGCCCAAGAAAAGCAGAATATCAAGAGAAGTTGGTTGTATCATTACCTTGTTACACACCAAATCTCTGCAAAACTTCAATAGTACTTTCCCCCGAACCGCTTGCATGCATATTTATTGCTTTGAGGTTGAACATTGACATACAATGTATTTTTCCCACACAATATCAACTAGTCATTATCCGGAAAAACAACTTATCCGAAGGATTTGGTTAACTTTTATAAAAAGTCAAAATTTTATTAACTAAAATATAACTTATTAACAGAAAATACACGAAAGAACTACTATATATATTCAAATCTCTCAAAAATAAATTAACTTATCCTAGAAAATGTACATAATTTCATCGAAACTATCAAATTCATTGTTAAGGAAAAAATAAATGGTGGAGCTGATTGACGGATAGGAAATTTCCGTAATTAAAAAAGGTACAAATGATGTTTTTATTTTTGAGTTTTTGACAAAATTGTTTGGAATTTGCCCAACAAAATTTGCATGCAGTATTGCAATAATACATTTTGTCCTCTCAAATGTCTAATACTGTTTTTGAATCATATGTTTTCTCGTTTTCAAAGAAAAACGCGTTAAATTTCCATCTGAAAACAGTCAACTTTAAGTTTGAAAGTTTTACTCGGGGATGGTATTATATTTATGGCTTCATCATTCAAATGATCCTAGATGATATGTGCATCGAAAATTTTTACGAAAGTGGCGGGAAATTTAACAAAAACATTTAGTTTTGGGATTTTAAAGTGAATACCCAAAACCGTAAATTGAGGGGTACCCCATTAAAGGGCTAAAATACAAAAATGTGACCATAGAAACTTTTTACGACCAGACGGAAAATAAAATATAGATATTATTCTATCATTTAAAACAATTTGCGGCCGTGTGTTATTCCGGAACATTAAACTCGTTAACTAAGCGTCTTTTTCGAGGTCAGTTGCAGTACTATTCGTGATTTCTAGGTCATACAAAAGGTAAAAGATGTCAATTTCGATAATTTTTTGGCAATTCAACCCTTTCTGGACCCATTGTTTAAAAAAATTTAATCAACTTGTGGTTGCCGATGATCTTAGTAGATTGTTGTCCAAGTTAAAAGGTCATAACTTTTACCAGCTCTATAATGAATCGAAATGTGCTAACAGGTATCAGAGAAATTGACAACCTTATATTTGTATGACCTAGAAATCAGGAATGTGGAAGGCATTATCAAAATTGAAAATTTATTTGATAATCATTAGAGAAACAGATTCTCACATAGTTACTCATGAATTATGGAATTTGTCCAATCTCAATTGTTAAATTATCAAATTTTAAAGTCCTTACCAAGGCTTGGACTTTAAAATTTGATAATTTAACTATCTGGATTGGATAAATCCGATAATCCACTGGTACCAATGTAAAAATCTATATATACATATGCATATATAGTCAAAGTTTCTGACATTGAGTAAATAACAAAAACTTTTAAATATGTTTAAGATAACACAGAGCTTTTGATGGTCATGCCAGTCTAAATCAGCAGAACTTTATTAATGGTAAAGAAATAATGTGTGATATAAGATTTTGATTGTGAACTATGATTTTGTTCATTAAGATGATAAAAGTTGTAATTATACAATTAGTAAAGTTCTTTTGAAGAAGACAGACATGAACCTTGAAAAGCTCTAGGTTATCTTTTAGAGATTTCGTTATTAACATATATTGGTAATATGTTAATATATTTGCAAATTGCCAATTATGCTGCTGAAAGCAAAAAGTTGATATAAAAATCTAGTCTACCATGAATTTTATCTCAGGTGAGACAAAAACTTCATAAAAACTATGTAATATTAAACTATTTACCCTTTGAGGTGCACAAATTTTCCACAAAATACATTTCTGGAATACTGATAGCTCCTGCATAGTCATACCAGGCACTGGGTTCATTATAGCTATGGGATGCTGAAAAACCAAGAAAAAAACTTGATTCAAATTCATCATAATCAGCACAAACCAACATTTTTAAAAAAGAATCTGTCGACATAAAAAAATAGAAAAAATAATGGTCTGAAAATAAAGATTTTACATAAAATAAACAAATTGACTTCATTTTAGTTTTGTAGATAAATTCTTTCTTATTAACCTCTATGATAACTAAATTGGGTAATTATAAGTCTATGAATTAACTATTAGCACAAGTAAATAAGAAATGGTATGTATCTCCTACCTGAAAGTACTCCTGCCACTGTATGCTATTCTGTACCAAAGACTTCCTCAAACCATGATAACAATGGTGAAGTTGTTCTAGCACTAAACAATCTATCCAGATCTATAATATTATAACATTTAATGTAAGCAACAGACAACAAATCAGTTCACTCATTAATGATATCAGCAAAAGATATCTGAACTTTCATAGAAGTTTATTCATTTACATCTTCGCTAGCCAAGGGTTACGATCCAGTCCCCTCCTCTCCACCCGTGGCAGATTAAGATAGAATTTCGGATCCACGAGATAATGATTTCCATTGGTAGCAGTTGTAATTGGCTGCATCCAATCAAAAAGCGCCTTTAAGATGATCACGTGTAAATATAGACAAGAGTGCACACGCTGAAATGTTTTGCCTACTATACTGACCATTGATTTTATGTTGAAAGTCCTAAATATGAAGTTTTACTACAAGTATCACATTTACATTTATGATCCAAAAAAATGAGGTCAAGGTCAGATAAACCAAGCCAGAAATACATGTATACCTTTAATACAATCATTCCATACACCAAATATAAATGACCTATTGCTTATAGTAAAAAAGAAACAGACCAAACCATGGAAATTATATATTGACCAATGAACCATAAAATGAGGTCAAGGTCAGATGAACCCTGCCAGACAGACATGTACACCTTAAAATCATTCCATGCATCAAATATAGTTGACCTATTGCTTATAATATCTAAGAAACAAAGTTGACCAGGAAAACTGAAAATTGACCAATGAACCATGAAAATGAGGTGAAGGTCAGATGATACTAGTGTTGGATAATCGGTTGAAATTACTAACCGATTATCTATTACTATCGGTTGACAGCAACCAACTGACTATGGGTTATAATCGCATCATTATACTTTGTCCTTTTTTTAAATGAAATCATGCATTTAGCCACATTGTACATGTCTTATGCGTATATTCCATATCATTGCAGAGTTTTATATCTTCATATTTGATCTTTTGTTTCCTTTTCATATTTTATTTAGTAATTAAAACAGTGAATCAAGAAGAATTCAGATTCAGATTGAACTTATTTTCAATTGTCTTATAATTACAACATTTACCAAATATGACACTAAAATTTTTAAATTTCAATGGTATCATTCACATTATAATTTTAAATACATAGCTTTATCAAAATTTGAATGCTTCTCAGTAAAAAAGACATCATAGTATAAAGTATTTAACTTTAAGCAATTCAAAATTAATCAATAAATAAAACAAGGCATTTGCATTGAAATATATACATTTAACTAAGGGGAACCAACCAATATCTGTTAATTCGTGTGGTATTCATATTTTCACTTTTGTGATCATTATCCTTCTGTCAGCTGTGTCGTTCGTGCGTCTGTTCTTATAATCGTAAGAATGCGGAATTCTTTCATAGTTGGTCCGTATCCGATCCGTGATACGTATATATTTCAATGGCTGATAAACTGGGAAAATTTTCAAAAATAAACGATGTTTGAGAAGCAATTTGGGAAGAAATATGACGTTTTTACACAACAAATGGATGAAACAATAATAAAAAGCAGTTTGCACCACGTTTTAATGTAGCAACAAATTTATTTTGTTGAAAATCAGAATGAATTGATGTACGCTCTCGAGTAACATTTACAGTACCAGAATTGGAAGAAAGTATTTCATAAAAAGTCATTTATTTTAAATAACATACGATCAATCTGTAAAATCAATGCTTTTACCGCGTTTATAAAGAAAGAAATTGCTTATGTCCTTAATTATAGGATGTTTGATTGTTATTGTCATCTACTGATATTTTTCGTTAATTTGTTCGCATGTAATATGCAAACCGGAAACGGACCAGAAGTTGATATGCTAAAAGTACGGAAACTATAACGACAATCGATTGAACAAAATCCCAATCGATTATCGACATCGCGAAGCCCAACCAACTGATTTCCGACTTATTCTGATCATCGGAACAACACTAGATGATACCTGCCAGACAGACATATACACCTTACAATCATTCCATACACCAAATATAGTTGATCTATTGCATACAGTATTAGAAAAACAGACCAAAACTTAACATTGAGCAACGAACCATGAAAATGAGGTCAAGGTCAAATAAAACCTGCCAGACTGACATGTACATCGTAAAATATTTCCATACACCAAATATAGTTGACCTATTGCATACAGTATTAAAAAAACAGACCAAAACACAAAAACTTAACTTTTGCCACTGAACCATGAAAATGAGGTCAAGGTCAGATGACACCTGCCAGTTGGACATGTACACCTTACAATCATTACATACACTAAATATAGTAGACCTATTGCTCATAGTATCTGATATATGGACTTGACCACAAAAACTTAACCTTGTTCACTGATCCATGAAATGAGGTTGAGGTCAAGTGAAAACTGTCTGACAGGCATGAGGACCTTGCAAAGTACGCACAAACCAAATATAGTTATCCTTTTACTCATAATAAGAGAGAAATTAACATTACAAAAAATCTGAACTTTTTTTTTCAAGTAGTCACTGAACCATGAAAATGAGGTTAAGGATAATGGACATATGACAGACGGAAACTTCATATCATAAGGCATCTATATACAAAGTATGAAGGATCCAGGTCTTCTACCTTCTAAAATATTAAGCTTTTAAAAAGTTAAATAACGCTGTCGCACCTGTCACCGGATCACTATCCCCATGTAGAGCTTTCTGCGACAGAAGTCGCAGGCTCGACAAAGATGTAAATAAACAATTGCCACATGCTGATTGTGCAACAAGTCTTTACCCCCAAAACATAGGACGATATTTTGTGACAATTTTAAAGTTCTTAATCAACTAATTGAAGTTCCTGGGTATGTTTCAAGCGCATATGTTGGAATGTCAACCTATATTTTCGTTTCCTGCTTCACGAAATTTGTAAACAATAGACACAACAGTTTTTACACCTCCCCACTGAAGAGAGTTCAAGTGCTGCCATTGGTCAAGAACGGTGTAGTCAAATGGGCCGTGACTTTAATCTACCGGTAGATGGCGCAGCATTGTAATTACAAATGTTGGCTAAATCTGCCAAAGGTGGAGAGGAGGGGACTGGATTGTAACCCTTGGCTAGCGAAGATGATTCATTTATGATATAAGTAAAAATACAATATCGTAAACAGACCACCAATAATTCACTCATTTATGATATATCAACTATAGTTAGCAAAAATAATTAAATGCAATTATTGGCCCCATTAGATGTTTGTTTGTTATATATATAACAAAGTTATCTCCTGAGTCCTGATGAATCAACAACATTCCATTATACAATTAACAGCCTCCTATTTTTATACTTGTGCATGTAGGTTTACCTGTCCTGCCATCCAAACTGGTTTACTGTCCATCAAAGACAGCTCATCTATTCCTTGTTTATCAAAATTATTGATAAATAAACTTAGTTCCTTGGTTGTAGCTTTTCCAGACATTCTTAACCTCTCCATGGAAACCAGTAACTGAAGCAATTGATAGTGCTGTTCAAACATCATCATAGAGACATATTTAAAGATGGCTGCTGATGAGGCATCTGCTAACTCTTGTGCTCTTGCTTGAGGTGCCCCTGTGTTACAAAAAAAAAACCAACAATAAATGTAACATAGCTTTGACAAATGTAATACTGATAATTATACAATGGTTACTACTTCACAACAAAATCTGAAAATCTTGAAATAGCAGTAGTAGATGATAAATAGAAGTAATGTTTTGAAAAAAATAGAATTTACCAATCAAACAAAACTTGATCTGCATAAAAGTGATCTTTTTAAAGTTGATTTGTTTGTTTGATAATGTTTTTACATAAGTTACCAGATAGAATGTCCCTTAGTACTCAATGTTGGGTCAAAGGTTACAGTTTACTCACCCACACTTCCTTTGCCCCTGTCCCTACTTGTCATTACACAACTAAAGATCTCCACAAATGTACTGAATGGTAGGTAATAGTAAGGATGTAACACACACATCTTCTTTATCATGTTGTATAAAACAGTTATGTGTGTGATCATTATACGATAGTGTGCAAATTTCTCTTCCAAGTGGTCTCCCATGAAACGAGTTTCTTCTAGTATTTGCTTGTTCTTATGAATTTCCTCATGGCAAGCTAGCAGAGAATTCAGCATTGTCTGATCTTCCAGCAGTGGTCCATCCAAGTTCAAGGTCTTCTCTCTGATCAGTTCCTGTATAGAAAATATATAATAACATCAATATTTAATTATAGTTCATGTATTATGTTGTCACAATAAGATGTTTGACAATTATATTGTGGAACACATAATTTTTAAGAAAGCTGTTCTTGTACAGATTTCAATTGATAAAACAAATAGGATAACAGAACTGTAAATTTCCTTTAATTTCTGTCAAATAGTAAATGTTATATATCTCAAAGTTTTTGCTTTGTTTGCCAATTGCAATCTACCACAAAATTTACCAACCATGATTATTTCACTGTCCATTTAAATAAGTTGTATAAGGCTGTGTTACACCAATAATGAACACAATTAAGATCTAAATGCCCCTTCTCGAACGAACCTGATGCTACATAAGCCTCCTACAACCATAGGTGGGAATTAACAACTTACATGTTCTTTAGCTAGCCTTTGTCTATGCAAGATAATGTCATTTTCATTGGATCGTTTTTGTCCTTCAAATTCTTTCTTCTCTACTTTCATTGTTTCACTAAGTAAGTGGTTCATTATAGCTTCATCACTGAGGGCCATGTTTATTACACACATTCTGTGTATTGGGATACTGTGTAGTCCATCACCTACAATATCAAATTTATATGGTACCTAATGAAATTTTATTAATTCTTGCCATAAATGTTCATTTTCTGGCTCTGCTGTTTTGAGGCCGGAAAATTCCTGTCACTAAATTTTTTTACAATGGATAATATGTTAAAGGTAGATCAGGGGACTAACTAAAATCGATAGAATTTTTCAATAATTTGCCAAAATGTAGTTTCTGTCATGCTTTTTTCAGAAATATAATAAAAAGTATGGGCTACAGAGCTTTTTTCAGGCTACAGGATGTACAAAATTGTCAGATTTTGTATAAATTAAAAATGAAAAAGAAACATAATTTTATGTGATAGAAAGATTTAAGATAAAATATATGAGTTATCTCCCCTTATAAGGCAAAGTTGAAGAAATTGAATCAATACAAAAAATGTTCTATAATTTTTTTATATAAGACACCCAATTTACCTTTAAAGTTGTGAAACACCACTAAGTTGTCTCCCCTATCTAGTATATTTACCTTTTAGGAAGAGTGGTACAGATGTACTAAGGTAAAGTTTAAAGTCTGGATGATATCTGAACTCGTATGTTCCAACTTTTATGATTTTATTTCCTTCCTTGTCAACAAAGAAATGTTTCAGCAATAAACCTCTAAATACTGGATCTAAGGATTTCCTCTCAATATGTGTAATCAGAATAGTTATACCTAAATAAAAAACAAATAAGAATGAATCCTATTAATAGGTTTAAGGGCTTCCTCTCCATGTCTATGAATTAAATTATATTTCTTGTTCTTGTGCAAATTGTTTATGAGTCAGATTTGTTTTGTTAACATTCTGAATGACATTTAAAAGTTTATAGGATCAAACATATACATTATATGTTTATATCTAACAAAATTGTGTAAAATTATACACAAAATAAGTAAAATACTTTTCCTTTATAAACAACTTTTTGCCATATGGTATTATATTGTTTCTATAATGTACATGCACCAAGTCATCAACAAAGATCAGAGAAATTTCTTATCATGCAAATTTACCAAAAAAATTCAAAAGAAATTATGTTATCTGATATTCCAAACTCCAAAGTACTGCAAAAAGTACTTTAATTGACAAAATGGTGATTTGTTTAAATTTTTGTTTTGGCAAGTTTACTTTTCAAGATGTTAGAAACAAAAATTGAGTTCTGAGACATAAAGAATCTGAAATGAAAGAAACCTTAGTGAGCGCGCTCACATACCCCACGTCCCCACATTGTCATTGGAGAAATAAAATAAGTGTAAGAAAAAAAAAATTGTATAAGAAAAAAAAATTGAATCATAATTTCCTGTCAATATGCACATCTACATAGTATGTCCTTATTATCTACACAGTTTCATGAAATTCTGTTGTGTGGTTTGAGAGGAGTTGCGATGACAAAAGGTTGCAGTAGTATATTGGGCAAGTAAGTTCAAAGGGGCGTAACTCCTGGAAAAAAAATTGAATCGTAATTTCCTGTCGATATGCACATCTACGTAGTATCTCCTTATTATCTAAAAAGGTTTCATGAAATTCTGTTGTGTGGTTTGAGGGGAGTTGCGATGACAAGAAACAGGACTGACGGACGGGTCAAAAACATTATACCCTCCGCAACTCATTGCGTGGGGTATAATAACAATTATATCTACGAGGGATAAGTATATCTAAGATATGCTTGTGATTGGGTTGACCCAGGTAACTAATTTAAACTTTATTTGTAGGTTTAAGCTACATGATTGAGTTAAGTAAAGCTTGTTAACATTTCAGTGCATTGTCAAATTGATTTAATATAGTACAATTACAATTTACTGGAGTTTAGAAATAACTATTTAACGGTCAATTGATCCTCAGTCATGATAAAAGATAAACATTCATTAAGGAATCAACATCAACTATATACAAGTACATAAAGTTCTATCAAACAATTCTATATTTTCAACTAGTCTACAAGTATGAAAAGTATCTCGACTTACCGTGTACAATGGCATTTATAAGTTTACTGTCCAGTGAAGGATCATCCGCTTCTATTATCCACAAATTACTAGCTGGACGATCTAAGTTCTGTTCTGTATGTAGACTGAAGTTTTCCCAACTATTAGTAACAGAGGTGACAGGACGAAGTTCTTCACTGTTCCATGTGTTACGAGAATGTCTTCCCATTGTACTGCAATCATAACAAATCAACTGTTAGTTAAAATTAAGTTATGCCAGCAAAAATGTTTGGAGGAGTATAACATTAAAATAATGCTTGATAAAATTGGTGAGTCTGAAGCACTCTTTTGGCTTTACCTTCATCAGGAACTCTCAAACCTCAAAATTAGTAGACAAGGATTAATAAATACTTCAAAACTTGTGGAACTCTATGACCAAAAAGAAACCTAAAAAGAATAAAACAATCCAACCTCAGGTCAACTTTACCAGTGAGCGTTGGAAAATTAGTTTCTAATTTTATTAACTACTAATGCTTTTTACTTTAAATAATAAATAATGACTACAACATATTAGATACTTGTACATCTTTGAGGGTAAACCAGTCAACTAAAGAAAATCACACTAATTTAATGTAAGTAAACACATCAAGATAAGTCACATGACTTAGCATCTATTTTCAGAAGATATCAGGTTAATAAAAAGATGAATGGTAAACTGACAGAGTAAAGATGAGAGCGTATATTGTGATAAGTAAACATGCCTAAAGCCTTTAACAAGAAATAATCATTCAAAACTGATTTCTGCACGCAGATACTGCAGTATACTTTTGCATTGCTTCTCATAAATGTTAAATTTGATTAGCTGAAAACTACTAAATTATAACTCCCACTACAAGAAAAAGAGCGATCAGCTGACTTACGACTCATCTGATTGAAAATGAACTCTAACACTGTCCTCTCTGAAATACACAACTTTACAAATTGTATTTAATCTGTAAACTTATTTAATCTATGTTATTTCTATACTCCATCTCAACTACTGACTCATTTATGAATAAAAGAATAAGGGGAAATATATAGTTTCTAAAATAACCTTGAATTCAGGGGAGATAATAAACAATTTGCACACTTTTTCATGACATAAGAAAACAAATAGATACCCAATTTAACTTTTTCACTTCTTATATATCAGCCAAAAACCAATGTTACTATTATTAAAGTTTTGTGTTCATAAAAGAATTATTAACTCAATAATAATGAAATAATTCTAAAATTAAAACTATGATCTAATGTTTTAATCAAACTTTAAATAAACTTTATACATTTATTTTTTCAGGAAAATATAAGCAAAATCTATAATAAAACAATTTAAGTATTTATCTACCTCACAGCTGTCATAAGTTTTACCCTCCCAAAATTGGATTTATTATAAATATTTTGTGATATCTTACCTCTTGGTATAATCTGTAGTTGTAAGAGTATTGGTAGAAGCTGTACGGTCATCAGTATACACATCAGAGTATGTCAGAGTTGTTCCTCGACTAGGAGGTAACTGACCTGAACTACTCTTACTTCTGTTGGATTCCAGGGGAATTCCTAAAATAATATCATTTTATAGTACCCTTAAACAGTACACCTTAGTAGATGTTGATAAATCAATAATTTAAAAAGCAAAAAACACCATTTTCAAATGAAAAAATTTTGAGAATATTTGTATTTTTTTGATGGAAAGATTTCCTTTAATATATTTATATGTTTTTGAAGAAACATTTTCTTTTTTTTAGTTTATATTTTTTTTTCTTTTTCTATGAAAGTCAAATTTTAACAATAAATTGAAATATTATTTTTATATATTTTCAAACAAGGGACCCCATTGGTAAAAAGCTATACTATGTAAGCTTTTATGGGATATCCCATGCTTTTTTCTAAGCACTGTTTTTAAAATATATTATACTATTTTAAAAGTATATATGCATCTATATTATTGTCTTGTCTTGTGAATTTTTGTATATGTGCTTGAGTTTGCCTGAATAAAACTATACTATTCATAAAATTACCAAAATTTATCAAAACATAATTCAACACACCTTAAACAACTTTTCAAAAATTATGTTCTAGCAATTTTCAAATACCTCTGCAAATTTGAGAAAAAGAAATAGAAAGAAAAGAATTCAATAAATAATTGTAAAAAAATAAATCTAACACATCTGTCTAACTTTTTACAAGAACAAATCGATAAAACTGACAGTGGAAAAATAAAATAACTATTCATTCTGTTTTGGCAGAAACTACTGTAAACAATCAAATTTGAAAATATGAAGGAAATAATTTTGAACTCACCATCTAATTCATCAGGAGTACTCTCTTGTACATCTTTCTCTGTAAATACATTCTTACTATTCTGAACTGTCTTTACCCATAATTCAGCCTGATTGTCTGGGTCAATCAACATCGGCCAGCAGTGCTTACGATTGTGACAACTCACTCTCATCAAAAGTGCATTCTGTATGGAATGTAGGTCAGTTGGTAGATTGGACAGACGCCAATTACTCAACTCATCAAAATCACTAAGAATCTCTTGTAGAGTAAAATTATTCCTGTTCATTAATGTGCTCTGCTCATCTTCATCATCGGAATCTTCAAACTCAATAGTTTGTGTCTGATCATACTCAAAACTTTCTTGTTTCTTTAGTTCTGATTTGTAATATTTACTGGTATCATACACAGCAGGTGGGTACTTGTATGTTTTTATTTCTGGTAGTGACGGCATGTCCAAAGTACTCTCACTATCTACACTACTTTCTGTAACAGTACGAGACATACTACTAGTGGTGTCAAATTCTTTATGTCCATCAAATAAACCCTCTAAGTTGGAACTTAAAGGGAAAACATCTTCTCCAAGTTTCTTTGTCATTTTGTAATTTCCGTGTTTAGATCTGTCCTGCCAATCATGCAGAAGTTCAGCCCGCCATTTATCCTCGAGAGGGCCATGATAACAGACACAAGCTGCTGTAATCAGAGCATCACCAGGTGACGTGAGCACATTACGACGAGCCTTTCTTAACTCAGATTTCCACAAGTAATGCTGCATAGACATATGTTCCATCAGATTTACAGCTCTGGCTATTTTCCTCTCTATGGCCTATAACAAATATCTCAGTGTTAATAACATATAGAATAAGATCACTTTCAGTGTACTAACGATAAGGTGATTCTTGTTTCTAGAATGTTAGAATTATGTAAATATCTCATCTAATGACGAAAATATGTCTGTAAATTGTATCTTGTTTAATGAACTCCCAGATCGATTTGAGAGCCTGTAGACTTTAATAATTAAAATATTTTTAAACAGTCCCAAAATCCTTTTTAGCCATCCAATAAAACTATAAAATCTGCCATTTTGTCTACAGGTGCATTTCAAGACTTCGCATATAGCTATGAGCATGCATTTTCTAAAAGTAAAATAAAAAACCTTTCAAAATTGAAAAATTTAAATTTGAAATAATTAGCTTGGAGAAATTAAAAAAAATTCGACCACATTTGATTAAAAGATCAAATATCAAGATTTTGCTTTACTCTTGCAGTAAATATGATTATCTCCCATTAGCAATTACCTTTCCATTGACAAATATTTTGATATCCCAGAGAAACCTTACAACATTACCGCATAACTCACTAACCTGCATATGCCTCTCTATTGTCTTTGCTCTCTTGACAGCAGCTTTATGTGATGTAATCACCCTCTCTAGAGCACTCTTTATTCTGTTAGCTTCCACTCTCAACTGACCTAGCTTAGCTTGAGCCTAAAACAATAAAGTTGTTACTATGATATACATAGACAAAAACTAAGCTAAATACTGTCAGTTTATTTATAAATATGTCAGGTGAAAATAGTCAAGCTTTGAGAAAATAATATTTTTATAGAATTCTATTTTCACTAATTTTTACAAAAATTATGCAGTTTTGTTATTTTGTAAGTTAACAGAAAATTTTGGACCATATGAGTGATCTATTAATTTAAAATGTTATCTTTCTGACTTTGCCAAGTGAACAGATCTAACCAACAAAAAAAAATTGTACATAAGTAGCAATTGCTAACAAACCTGAGTAAATTTATCCTCATGTTCCAACAGATTTCTTAATCTTGGTTGCATGTTACGATGTATGTGGGCATATTTATATACAGCATGTACCCAGATACATACGTTAGTTGCTGACAAACTGACTTGTTTGACTAAGTCAGGATCAAACAAAGGATTAAATACAAATGTCTTTAGTTCTTCAAAGATGTCATCTGGAATGTGGTCCTTGTCAAAAAACATCATCTCATCCATAAAGTTATCTCTGATTAATAATAACTTGGCATTCTCCCAACTGTAAAAATATATACATAAATGTCATAAAACATCATCTCATCCATAAAGTTATCTCTGATCAATAATAACTTGGCATTCTCCCAACTGTAAAAATATATACATATATGTCAAAAAACATCATCTCATCCATAAAGTTATCTCTGATCAATAATAACTTGGCATTCTCCCAACTGTAAAAATATATACATATATGTCAAAAAACATCATCTCATCCATAAAGTTATCTCTGATCAATAATAACTTGGCATTCTCCCAACTGTAAAAATATATACATAAATGTCATAAAACATCATCTCATCCATAAAGTTATCTCTGATTAATAATAACTTGGCATTCTCCCAACTGTAAAAATATATACATAAATGTCATAAAACATCATCTCATCCATAAAGTTATCTCTGATTAATAATAACTTGGCATTCTCCCAACTGTAAAAATATATACATAAATGTCATAAAACATCATCTCATCCATTAAGTTATCTCTGATCAATAATAACTTGGCATTCTCCCAACTGTAAAAATATATACATAAATGTCATAAAACATCATCTCATCCATAAAGTTATCTCTGATCAATAATAACTTGGCATTCTCCCAACTGTAAAAATATATACATATATGTCAAAAAACATCATCTCATCCATAAAGTTATCTCTGATTAATAATAACTTGGCATTCTCCCAACTGTAAAAATATATACATAAATGTCATAAAACATCATCTCATCCATAAAGTTATCTCTGATCAATAATAACTTGGCATTCTCCCAACTGTAAAAATATATACATAAATGTCATATTTGACACCAAAGGAAAAGCACATTCAAAGAATTTAAAACTACTGTTTGGAAGGAATTCATAATAAGTGCTTACATATTTTATGTGATGTGGGTCATGAATCCACTATTTGGAACAGACAACTATGTTATACTCTATGGTTGTGGTTGGTTGCTGTCTTGTCAGATTTGTTTTTCTTCTGTTGTTTTTTTTTCATACATCAGGCCATTGGTTTCACATTTTTCATGTCGAAGCCTTTCAAAGCTGACTAAGGTATTGGTTTTGCTCATTGCTGAAGGTCATATAGTTGCTTGCATCTTTGTTCTCTGGTCTCCTGTGGACAGTTGCCTAATTGGCAATCATACCACGTCTCCTTATCATATATCTTTAGAGGACATATACAATTGTAACTATAAGAGATTGAATAGGAGCTTTGATAAATCTACCATCTTTTAAATGAGGTATTGTAGTGAGATGAAAGTTATGTAAAAGTGAATAAATTTGTAGTATTTTTAAATGGTATTCTGAAATGTATATGGTGGAAGATTATCTGAGTAAATGGTTATAATCTTATTTTCTGTTCTAGCTAGAAAGTGAAAATAAACACCTTTTTCATAATCAAAACTGTATTGGAATTCACCTAGAAGTAATAAATGGGACAAGAAGAATGAACTAGAGGCTCTAAAGAGCCTGTGTCGCTCACCTTGGTCTATGTGCATATTAAACAAAGGACACAGATGGATTCATGACAAAATTGTGTTTTGGTGATGGTGATGTGTTTGTAGATCTTACTTTACTGAACATTCTTGCTCCTTACTATTATCTCTATCTATAATGAACTTGGCCCGGTAGTTACAGTGGAAAATACTTTGTAAAAATTTACAAAAATTTACAAAATTTATGAAAATTGTAAAAAACTGACTATAAAGGGCAATAACTCCTTAAGGGATCAATTGACAATTTGGTCATGTTGCCTTATTTGTAGATCTAACTTTGCTGTACATTATTGCTGTTTACAGTTTATCTCTATCTATAATAATATTCAAGATAATAACCAAAAGCTGCAAAATTTTCTTAAAATTACCAATTCAGGGGCAGCAACCCAACAACGTGTTGCCTGATTGGTCTGAAAATTTCAGGGCAGATAGATCTGGACCTAATGAACAATTTTAAACCATCAGATTTGCTCTAAATGCTTTGGTTTCAGAGATATGAGCCAAAAACTGCATTTTACCCTATGTACTATTTTTTAGCCATGTCGGCCATCTTGGTTCGCGGGCGGGGTCATCGGACACATTTTTTAAACTAGATACCCTAATGATGATTGTGGACAAGTTTTGTTAAATTTGTCTTAGCAGTTTCAGAGGTGAAGATTTTTGTAAAAGATTACAAAAATTTACGAAAAATGGTTAAAAATTGACTATAAAGGGCAATAACTCCTTAAGGGGTCAACTGACCATTTTGGTCAAGTTGACTTATTTGTAGATCTTACTTTGCTGAACATTATTGCTGTTTACAGTTTATCTCTATCTATAATAATATTCAAGATAATAAACAAAAACGGCAAAATTTCCTTAAAATTACCAATTCAGGGGCAGCAACCCAGCAACGAGTTGTCCGATTCATCTGAAAATTTCAGGGCAGATAGATCTTGACCTGATAAACAATTTTACCCCATGTCAGATTTGCTCTAAATGCTTTGGTTTCAGAGATATAAGCCAAAATCTACATTTTACCCCTATGTTCTATTTTTAGCCATGGCCGCCATCTTGGTTGGTTGGCCGGGTCACCGGACACATTTTTTAAACTAGATACCCCAATGATGATTGTGGCCAAGTTTGGTCAAATTTGGCCCAGTAGTTTCAGAGGAGAAGATTTTTGTAAAAGTTTAAGGACGACGGACGACGGACGCAGGATGACGGACGATGGACGCAAAGTGATGAGAAAAGCTCACTTGACCTTTCAGGTCAGGTGAGCTAATAATATTCAAGATAATAACCAAAAACAGCAAAATTTCCTTAAAATTACCAATTCAGGGGCAGCAACCCAACAACGGGTTGTCCGATTCATCTGAAAATTTCAGGGCAGATAGATCTTGACCTAATGAACAATTTTATCCTCATCAGATTTGCTCTAAATGCTTTGGTTTCAGAGATATGAGCCAAAAACTGCATTTTACCCTATGTACTATTTTTTAGCCATGTTGGCCATCTTGGTTCGCGGGCAGGGTCATCGGACACATTTTTTAAACTAGATACCCTAATGATGATTGTGGACAAGTTTGGTTAAATTTGTCTTAGTAGTTTCAGAGGAGAAGATTTTTGTAAAAGATTACAAAAATTTACGAAAAATGGTTAAAAATTGACTATAAAGGGCAATAACTCCTTAAGGGGTCAACTGACCATTTTGGTCAAGTTGACTTATTTGTAGATCTTACTTTGCTGAACATTATTGCTGTTTACAGTTTATCTCTATCTATAATAATATTCAAGATAATAACCAAAAACAGCAAAATTTCCTTAAAATTACCAATTCAGGGGCAGCAACCCAACAACGGGTTGTCCGATTCATCTGAAAATTTCAGGGCAAATAGATCTTAACCTGATGAACATGTTTACCCTTTGTCAGATTTGCTCTAAATGCTTTAAACTATATTTTTTACCCCTATGTTCTATTTTTAGCCATGTCGGCCATGTTGGTTGGCAGGTGGGGCCATCGAACACATTTTTTTAAAAAGATACTTAAATGATGATTGTGTTTAAGTTTGGGTGCATTTGGCCCAGTAGTTTCAGAGGAGAAGATTTTTGTAAAAGTTTACGGACGACAGACGACGGACGACGGACAACGGACGCCAAGTGATGAGAAAAGCTCACTTGACCTTTCAGGTCAGGTGAGCTAAAAACGCAAAATTTCCTTAAAATTACCAATTCAGGGGCAGCAACCCAACAACGGGTTGTCCGATTCATCTGAAAATTTCAGGGCAGATAGATCTTGACCTGATAAACAATTTTACCCTGTGTCAGATTTGCTCTAATTGCTTTGGTTTCAGAGATATAAGCCAAAATCTACATTTTACCCCTATGTTCTATTTTTAGCCATGGCCGCCATCTTGGTTGGTTGGCCGGGTCACCGGACACATTTTTTAAACTAGATACCCCAATGATGATTGTGGCCAAGTTTGGTCAAATTTGGCCCAGTAGTTTCAGAGGAGAAGATTTTTGTAAAAGTTTACGGACGACGGACGACGGATGCAGGATGACGGACGACGGACGCAAAGTGATGAGAAAAGCTCACTTGACCTTTCAGGTCAGGTGAGCTAATAATATTCAAGATAATAACCAAAAACGGCAAAATTTCCTTAATATTACCAATTCAGGGGCAGCAACCCAACAACGGGTTGTCCGATTCATCTGAAAATTTCAGGGCAGATAGATCTTGACCTAATGAACAATTTTATCCTCATCAGATTTGCTCTAAATGCTTTGGTTTCAGAGATATGAGCCAAAAACTGCATTTTACCCTATGTACTATTTTTTAGCCATGTTGGCCATCTTGGTTCGTGGGCAGGGTCATCGGACACATTTTTCAAACTAGATACCATAATGATGATTGTGGACAAGTTTGGTTAAATTTGTCTTAGTAGTTTCAGAGGAGAAGATTTTTGTAAAAGATTACAAAAATTTACGAAAAATGGTTAAAAATTGACTATAAAGGGCAATAACTCCTTAAGGGGTCAACTGACAATTTTGGTCAAGTTGACTTATTTGTAGATCTTACTTTGCTGAACATTATTGCTGTTTACAGTTTATCTCTATCTATAATAATATTCAAGATAATAACCAAAAACAGCAAAATTTCCTTAAAATTACCAATTCAGGGGCAGCAACCCAACAACGAGTTGTCCGATTCATCTGAAAATTTGAACATTTTTACCCCATGTCAGATTTGCTCTAAATGCTTTAGTTTCAGAGATATAAGCCAAAAACTGCATTTTTACCCCTATGTTCTATTTTTAGCCATGTCGGCCATGTTGGTTGGCAGGCGGGGTCATCGGACACATTTTTTAAACTAGATACTTGAATAGTTTCAGAGGAGAAGATTTTTGTAAAAGTTTACGGACGACGGACGACGGACATCGGACGCAGGACGACGGACGACGGACGCCAAGTGATGAGAAAAGCTCACTTGACCTTTCAGGTCAGGTGAGCTAAAAAGGAATTGAAATTTGGCAGTCAAATAAAGGAATTCTATGATGATAATATTGCATTGAACTAAATGGGGGAAATAACTCGGATCCAGTTTCTGACAATTTAATACCTTTCAATGATTTTAACTTTTCTAGTAATTTTGGAAAAAAGCTTTCATGACAAAATATAAAATTGTCAATTACTCACTATGAACAATAGAGAGAAACTTTGATTATAAAATAATTACTTACTCTTGTGGTACTTTGAATTCACTATGAACAATAGAGAGAAACTTTGATTATAAAATAATTACTTACTCTTGTGGTACTTTGAATAACAAACATAATGCTTTGACAACAAATTTGACAAGTTCTGGTGGTTCTCTAAAAGACTTCACTTCCTCCAGATCATTTCTATTGATAACATTAAGGGCTGTCAGAGCTGCTTGGTAGTTAGGGTTCACCTGTTAATATCAATAATTGCATGTGTATTGTTTTGTCTGGGTTGTTTGTAAATACAGTTATACTGATTCTGTTGTAAGTTAGATTATGAAATGATATCTTTGATAATTAAATGATATTTTATGTAAATATGCCTTTCCATCAACAGCAAAAATATGGAAAACTAAAAAAATTAACATGAAACTGGGTAAAAATTGTACATCATTATATAAAAAACGCAGATGTTTGATGTCCCTTGTTATGTGCCACCTCTGCTTTGGATTGCAGCATTCAAGATTTGGTTGAAAGTGTGATGCCATGTAACAGTATTGCATATTCATTTCAAGTCTTTTGTTTGAAGCAAATTTACCAACTATACGTGCATAACATCAACTAATTCAAATCACACTAACTCATATAATAACCACAGATTAATTTGAATCAGCTAATATCATAAAAATATTTATCAATTTTTCATTCTTATTACAGTTGAAATTTTAAAGATTTTAAAATTTCAGTTGACATGTAAATTTAGTTTTGAACAGTTTCTAAAATATCTAAAATATAAATAACTTTATAAATTAAATTTTTAAAGAAATTCAACAATTCCACTTTTTTTGCAACAACATTGGCTTATCTTATATAATTTAGAGTGGAAAATTTGTCTAAGAGTGTCAAGATTAATTTTGTATGAGCTAACCTCAAATATAGCAATGAAAAACAACCTAATTCTATGACAAGTAAACCGACTTTGTGGTATTGTTATAAAGCCATATAAAATGTGCAGGCAATATGCATTCAGCAAAAAGCTCACTGAATTCAAATGTCTATAGTTTTCAAATATTCTACAAATTGTGGAACCAATTTACCAGTGACATCATATTCTAGCAAATAAAACTACACACAAAAATAGTTTTAATTTTACCCTATACTGTGTTGCAGTGAAATATTCAACAGTCTCCGAGCTAGGAGATCTCTTGAAGAACGACTGAAGAGAAAGATTAACATAGTACTAGGTGTAACTTCAATCTGAAGCAGTTTTCATTTGTCTCTAGGTTTAAAAATTCACAGTATTTGTAACATATTGTGTACATTTAAAGATGAAAAAAGTTTTGTATTTCTGCTGAATATATCAGATATCCAGAAAGCATGAAAATGTTGCATAGAAACAACAATAAAGTTAGAGAAAAAAGTAAAGCATAGATATATGGTCCTTTACTTATCATCAAGAGGTTTAAGTTTTTACTATGCTAAGGAATAATTTTGCAAAATAAGAGAAAAAAGAAGAATGGGGATATCACTTTCAGAGCAAAATAATTTATAAAATCAGATTATATACAAATATCACACTAGCAATTATAAATAGAAATATCTGATACAATGTAAACAATGTCTTACCCTATCAAAATCTGTTTGTGCCTCTTTTCTCAGTTGTTCTAGAGGTCCCTGTAAAGCTTCAATTTTCTGTTCTTGGTCTTTGCATCTATCCAAGGCCTATCAAAATATAATTTTAACCAAGAATCTTTAATTTTTGACAAGTTACACTTTCCTGCATCATTACTAAGCAACACAGTGAGGTTCACTTATTCTAAGTCTTTCCTTGTTTAAATTTACATTAAATTTATTCCAGTTTTTAAATTTTGTGATAAAGCATCATAGAAAAATACTTCCATACCAGCTGATATCAAATAGAATACAGTTTTGAGTTGGGTTTTTTCAATCTTGTAAAAAACAAGAATGTGTCCATAGTACACGGATGTGCCATTCGAACTATCATTTTCCAAGTTCAGTGGACCGTGAAATTGGGTCAAAATTTGGCATTAAAATTAGAAAGATTATATCATAGGAAACATGTGTACTAAGTTTCAAGTTGATTGGATTTCAACTTCATTAAAAACTACCTTGACCAAAAACTTTAACCTGAAGCGTGACAGACGGACAAACGGACAAACTAAAGAACAAACAGACCGAAAAATATAATGCACCTCTACTATTGTAGGTGGGGCATTAAAACATTGGTCTAGACATAATTTAGAACTTGACATATGGTATGGACACTTTGTAGTTGGAGTCACACATACTGATAAATATCCACTTTTTAACAGAATATAACCTTAAATGTTCTAATCTGTTACTAGCCCCAATGTATTTATACATCTTTCTTTCCCAAACATCAGACCTTGAGTGTCTTAAGATGAAGCACTTTTAAAGTAGTGATTTGGATCCATTCAGTATTTTGGGATTAAATCATCAAACTATAAAAGTATTTTAAAAACTGCATGTTTCATAGTCATGGACTCATGGCTAAGGGCGTGGGGACAAATAATCTTCATATTAATGATATATGTCAATGCTAATTCAACTGCATACAAATATCATTGAATTACTGTAAATTCAGAAATTATTGTGTGCATTTATTATTGCAATTTTTGAAGAATGGGCTAAAATGCGAGTTTAATTATTGGGATTTCAGGAAAATCTGCATACAGATATAAGTATCAGATATCAGAATGCAAGTTCTAATTACTGCGATATTCATTCACTTGCATTATTCACATCAATAAAAAGGTCAAATAATTTCTGAATTTACAGTATTGTCAGCAGTTCCCCTAAGACTGACCTAATCGCAATTTTTACCAATGTAAAATATGCAAAATTTGCAAAGTCCAATAAACCTAGACTGAGGGGGCGGGGCCATATATTCTCCATGAAAATAAGGTGTTCCCATGCTAATACAACTGCTTATCAAACATCATTGATTTATTGTCAGCAGTTCCCCTTAGACTGACCCAATTGCACTTTACCCATGTAAAATATGCAATAAACCTGGACTGAGTGGACAGGGCCATATAATCTCCATGAAAATAAGATGTTCTTATGCTTATATAAATGAATACCAAATATCATATACTTACCATTAGTGGTTATCCTTAAACTCATATTCACAAACACTAAGATGTAATCCATGCAAAAATTTACAATTGTTTTAGTTGAGTTGTTGAGTACGGGTAGCAGTTTTATTAAAGTTTACTACACATCTCATGTGTTAGTACAGTTAGTATTCTAACTTAAATATAAGATATTTACAGCAATATATTGTTCCTTCTGGTCCTCTACTCTGGCCACCAGGTCTTTGATTTCATCTGTAGCAGATTTGTACTTTGGTGTCAGTTCAGAAACTTCTCTTTTGTATTCATTTATACTTCCAAATGCTTCATTCACCTTACCTAAGGCTTGCTCATGTTTACCTATATTCTCCTACAAAATTAAACATTAAAACAAGGAATAATATTTATACCAAAACCTTACATATGACTTCCTCGTGTTTACCTGTATTCTTTAAAATTTATAGATTTTTTTTTAAACTGGAATATATGAAAACAGTTTTGAAAACAGACAGTCTCTTATCTATTCAGATTTGCAGTTGTGTTGTACATATTTAACCACATTCCTTATAAAAATAATTTTATATTATTCTTGAATATCAGAATTGTTTTTTGAAAATATAAGCTATATAAGTTGATATCTATTATATTAATTATATTAATGTTTATTTTATTTCCTTATCCTTTTTATGTATTAGCAATACCCACTATATAATATATTATAAATGGCAACACTTACGATTTCCATTTTGACTATATGAGCTGCTATTAATCTAAATAAGTGAACAAACTCCATGAAGGTCAAAGGAGAATAAAATCTAAGTGGCTCCCTCTGGTGGCAGAACTGTCTTTCTATTACAGCCTTTGATGAAAGGTGCATATAAGCCATAGCATGGGCTGTCAGTGAAATCTGGTCCAACATTCTTGTAGGGTGCCACGGTATTGGTACCTGATTAAGACAAAATTCTTATAAAATTTTAGAAGGCAAGAAAAAGATAACTAACATTTCACATTTAAACAATCCACACTTATGAACTTTGTCAGAGCTCTCAGCAAGAAAAGTACTATCTCACTTTTAACATTATCTCTTAATAACAACATAGATTTCTCTAACTTTGATATCTTTGTCAAACATCCACTTATTCTACTAGTTTGACATTGGTTTCTGATATACCCTTAACTATCTTACCTTCTCCATTTGATCTCTTTGTCAGATTTCCATTATTTTATTCTGGAATTTCTCAACATCAACTATCATTATTTTTAATTTTGATATTACTGTCCCATATAAATTGTCCACGGGACGTAAAGCAAACAACAATCAATCAATCCATCCTATATAAACTATCTGAACTTTCACCTCTCTTAACCGCATATCAACTACCATAGCTTTCATCTTTGTTCCTCCAAACAGGCTTAAATTACCTCACCTCTTTTACACCTGAGATTAAAATAAGCTCTATTACCCCGACCTCTAATTTAAACAGAAATTATCAGTTTGATCTTTGACCCCTTACCTTTGTTCTCTGATCCCTTAGCCACACTTCAGCTATTTTGACATAAGCTTCAAATGTCCATGGCTTGTACAGGTCTACAGATACTGCATGTTTTACAAGTCCTGGATATTCACTAAGTTTACTGTGTAAATTATTAAAATTGCTGGAGAAACTATTTCCTGAAGAAAAAAGGGATTTCAAAACATTAGACCTATTTAACTTATGGTTAAAATTAAGCCTGCCAAACATATCAATAATTTCTTGTTATAAATATCACATATAAATTGTTTTCCAGCAGAATTATGATTGTATGCTGGGATTTTATATAGAGCCAGATTTCATTTTAACCATGCAAATCAAGCAAGAATATTTTTTTCAGTCAATCCAAAGCAACAATAAAAATTTTCAAAAAAAAAAAAAAAAAAAATTTACATCATTCATGTCATACTTGCTGAAGATGAAGCCAGAATATTGTTTTTTAGAAACTGAATAGGCTAGATTTTTTTTATATATAATATCAAAATGAGGCCAGATTATTTAAAAAAAAAAACATTTACAGAAAGTTTATATTGTGAATAAAGTGTCACTAAAGGAGTTGTATCAACTAGATTAATAAACAGATCGACAGAAAAATCATCTGAACGGAACAAAGTTCGAATTTGAACTGTAACTTGTCATGGTTAAACTATATACAAAAATCAAATCAATATCTTCAAGCATGACGAAAAAAGTGTGGAAAACTGATTATTTGTTTGAATTTTCTAAGTCCAAGGACCATAACACTGCACAAAAACATCAGACCAGAACAAACTTCACAAACTTGATCTGTAACTGGTCATGATAAAACTATATATCAAATATCAAATCAATATCTTAAAAAACAAAGAAAAAATTGTAGAAGGTCCTGTAACAACAACACTTTAAGGAATGCTCCAGTAATTTATTGAGATTGACATGTTTCACCGATCCTGATGACGGTGGCAGGATCGGTGAAACATGTCGATCTCAATAAATTACTGGAGCATTCCTTAAAGTGTTGTTGTTACAGGACCTTCTACATTTTATGTTTTTATCGTAACAACCCTGCATACCCGAGGTATCCACTTTATGGAATCTACTGACAGAAGATTTACCAGGCGTTGGTTCACTTGCGTTTAATTTTTTTTTAAAAAGAAAAAATTGTGGAAAACTGATTTGCTGAACTGATGGATGGACAGACAGACAGATGGAGTACAAACCTAAATTCCCTATCCGTTATGCAGGTAGGGGACTAATAATGCAGTTATTACCTTTACTACTGAGACAAACAATCACATGAAGATTGTGTCTGACTTTCTTCAGGAATCGTTCAAATGCTTGTTCTATCTTATCTACTCTCTTGGTTTGGACACCACCAGGCATCATATGGGAGACTATAGACTGAATCTCATCATCTGTGTATAGTCCTGGACTTGTACCTAAATAAACAACAATAAAGTCAATAAGTTAAATGGGGAAATTTAAACTGTATTATATCAGCTGCTTGGCTGTTTCAGAAGAACAGTGGTTGGATGGAAAGGCACTTTATCCTGTAATGATTTCAGACAGTAATGTTGTCTAACAAAAAATCTATTTCTAGTTACTATGACCTTGATTTTAGGTTAAGTGACCTCAAAATCAGTAGGGATCTTCCTCTCATTATAAGCATCCATATATCTTAAGGTTGCAATCCCAAAGTACTTGATTTAACATCTGTAACCCAAAATGACTGACAGACTAACAGTTATAATCTGTATACCTATATTTTGTAGAATGGGGTATAAAAATAAACTAGGAATATGATTCTTAAAAAAATCAGTTTAACTTCATCACCCAAACATTGTAAATTTAATTTAGCCTGAAAAATAATGTCTCCTGACCCTGAATCCCCAAGTACAACCTTTGTTGACATATCTCTATGTATACTTATCAATGAACCAGAATCTGTAACTTAATACGGAACATTACATGCCACTGCCGTCATCAACAATACTATCTATTTAAATCAAATAATTCAGTAAAATGAATTTAAAAAGATTATCAATAAAATGTTTATGCATTTTGTTCTCCCCCTTTCCATTTTCTAAATTAAAATTATTGAATCATTTACAAATGCATCATAATGCATCATTTGTTATCTAAATTTCTTTGTACTAATACACCACACAAGTGTTGGCAGGATTTTACCATTGTCTACAGTAAACCATTGACAAATATACAAGTTCTCCTTGTAAAACAAAATAAGGAAAGTTTGTAATATAAAACAAACATGTAAACATGCAAAATATGTGAAATGAAACAGAACTTTGTTTGACTAATAAAGATTTGTCTGCTGCTATGGTATACTTCTCTTTCAACGTATACAATCCAGGGGAAGTACCTACATATAAATAGAAATACAATTGTTTCTTGTCTGAGTATACAGTATACTCAGTATACTATACTGTGGTTTTTCTATGATCACTAAAGTAGATTACTTCATTAAATATTATATAAAACACATATTAGAAAATATTTGTCTATTTATATCGTTTTTAAGAAAAGAATTATGAATATAAGATCAAAATCACACAAAACAACATCAAAAGGAATCAAATTAAAAGGTTTTTTGTTTTTTTAAATGATATTCAATAAAATTAAATAGCTAATTTTTGAAGATTTGGACTGTTATTCATCACCATAGAAACAAAATAAACATACCATCAGCCATTACACTGCAGATATCTTGGAGACATTCTGATCCAAGGTCTTCATGTACCAGCAGAACAGAAGGTTTACCCAGAATTCCACTGTGGTAACATGCTCTTTTGATGTGCTCTCTTACAATCAATAAGTTTTTACTAGGATCCGACTGAGACTTTGGTTCAAATAACTATAAAGAAGGTGTAATGAAAAAAATATACTTTAGAATATACATGTAGTAACTGAAACTGTTAATTTTGAATTAAACAAATAACTAAATATTAATTGGATTTTTTGCATAAAACCAGTTAGTTTAATTCAGAAATTATTGTGTGCATTTATTTTTGCGATTTTTGAAGAATAGACAAAAATGCTAGATAAATTATTGCGATTTCAGGAAGATCTGCATACAGATATATGTATCAGATATCAGAATACAAGTTCTTATAATTGCGATACTCACAATAATAAAAACCTGGCAATAATTTCTGAATTTACAGTATATAAATGTGAGTTATGCATTTTTAATACCAGAAAAAATTAAAATGTAAGTTTTGAATAAATATTGTAATGTTCATCCAGTTTATTTTCATTAATAGAAGTATCATATTCATTTCTGAATGAAAAGTTATTACATGTAATAGGGCAAATTTAAAATTGTTATCATGACAACAATAATATCTATAATAATACCCTGTGATTTAATTCACCAATTGTGTAAACAAACAATACCTTCACCAACCAACTATTCACTACTCTCCATCTTAAAAAAAAAATCAAATCAATTCCTGATCACCACCTGTACAATCAATGACATGTACTTATATCATCGACCTGTGCCCTGTTTATCAAAGCTGTGACACTAACTGATCATGGCCACATCTTAAACTTACCCCTTTACATCTCTTTCTACAGCAGTCTGAGGGTGCTTTCTGATAAATTATATCTTTGGGTTAAATATTGAATACACTAATTTATATCTTTGGGTTAAATATTGCCCACCATAATTGTATCTTTGGGTTAAATATTTCCCACCATATTTATATCTTTGGGTTAAATATTGCATACACTAATCATATCTTTGGGTTAAATATTGCTCACAATAATTATATCATTGGGTAAAACATTGCCCACAATAACTATATCTTTGGGAAAGATATTGCCCACAGTAATTATATCTTTGGGATAGATATTGCCCACAGCAATTATATCTTTAGGTTAGATATTGCCCACAATAATGATATCTTTGGGTTAGATATTGCCCCCAGTAATTATATCTTTGGGTAAAATATTGCCCACAATAATTATATTGAGTTAGATATTGCCCACAGTAATTGCATCTTTGGGTTAGATATTGCCCACAGTAGTTATATCTTTGGGTTAGATATTGCCAACAATAATTATATCTTTGGGTTAGATATTGCCAACAATAATTATATCTTTGGGTTAGATATTGCCCACAGTAATTATATCTTTGGGTTAGATATTGACCACAGTAATTGCATCTTTGGGTTAGATATTGCCCACAGTAGTTATATCTTTGGGTTAGATATTGCCAACAATAATTATATCTTTGGGTTAGATATTGCCAACAATAATTATATCTTTGGGTTAGATATTGCCCACAGTAATTATATCTTTGGGTTAAATATTGCCCACAATAATTATATTGGGTTTGATATTACCAACAGTAATTATATCTTTAGGTTAAATATTGCCCACAGTAAATGTATTTTCCCATTTCTTATGGAACAGGTGTATAGTTTTATTTCACATTTCAATTACTTCTGTACCTCACACTTAGTTTTCATTGCTATGGAAAACTCACTCTACTCAGACCTTTTATAACCTTTTGATGTGTACAAAAATATGAAGATTTCCTTAGTCATAACCTTTTTTCATGAAATATGAGGAGTTTCATATACCGGTATATCAATGAATATCAAATCTCTACTCCTCTCACAAGAGATATCTCTGGTTATATAAATTATATACTTCAATGACATATTATCTTACCTTACAGTGGGCAATATAAGCAGCGAGTCTGGCAAGGGTACACCTTCCTGTAGAATAACTCATACCCAGCAGAACAGCATGGCCTCCTTGTATTGCCTGTAAAAATATCAAGGTTATAAAAACATTTCTAAACATTGTAATTTACCAGTAGTGAATGAACTTTTATATATCATGAGTAAATTTCATCACTGTAATTATAATGAACAAAAACAGGAGCTTTATTCAAATTCTAGCACAAATCATTTCCAGCATGATATTGCAAAGGTGAAATATTATTACTGCTATTTTTCACAAACACGGTTTGTTACCAATTCTTTAAACCAGTGCTACTTCCAAGGAAGGGGAATAACTCTTTTAATTCATAATTTGGAGACTCAGGACTTGATTAATTAAAAACGGAAAGAAACTATGTAATAGTCTCTACAGAGGAAGTTAACTATTCAAAGAAAAAGAATAACCAACACTCAATTATGTCTAACTAAATGTCTGATAGCTTCAGAGAAAAAACATTAAACATAGTTTCTGTGACTTACCAATACTCTACTAAGCCTAGCTGCATGTCTGATAGCTTCAGAGAAAAACACTAAATCTAGTCTCTGTGAAGTGCCAGCATTATATACATTGAGACATGTAGATAAGGCCTCAGCTAAACTCTCCTCTGTCCCATCCATGTAGGCTGAAATGTTGTAATGATTATTATATCTATATATTATACATAATCATAAAGTCATAGTTACTCTGGGTTTTACTTGCTTTGGAGATTAAATTTGATTTAAAATAAAACAAAGGTTGACCAGTGGTTTAAAATAGGTATTTTGCAAATGTGTATCAAATAAAATAAAAAAAACACACTTTGTCCTTTAAAAAAATGTATGAAGAACATGTCCATGAGACACAGATGCCCCTGCTTGTAAATATATGGCAAATTCTGCAATTTTTCAATTTACAAAGGGAAATAACTCAAGAAAGGCTACAGCGACGCCACCCAAATTCAAACTTGATCTGTGTTTGGTGGTAATGAATATTGTGTATAAGTTTTAAAACATTTGGTAGAGGAAAACTAAAGTTGCAGTGTGGAAATGACAAATTTAGCAATTTTTCCATTTATAAAGGGACATAACTCGAGAATGGTGAAAGTGATGCCACCAAAATTTAAATCTATGTCTGGTAGTGATAGGCATTGTGTAGAAGTTTCATAACATTTTGATGAGGCAAAATAAAGTAAGATTGCGGAAATGGCAAATTTGCCAATTTTTTCATTTATAAAGGGACATAACTCGAGAATGGTGAAAGTGATGCCACCCGAATTAAATATTGATCTGTGTTTGGTTGTAATAAGCATTGTGTATAAGTTTCATAACATTTGGTTGAGGCAAACTAATTTTAAGATGTACGTACGGAAGGACAGACATACAGACGGACAAGGGTAAAACTTAATGCCCCTTCCCCTGCAGCATTAAAAACAGCATCTGCACTAATTATGAAATTTTAGAAAATTTGCTGACCTTGCCATTGAAAGCGTTTATCCAAAATTCATTAGGGGTGTTTAACACATTACTGTTAATTCAGAAATTTCTGTAAGCATTTATTATTGCTATATTTGAACTATCAACAATTTAGATATTTATTATTGCTATGTTTGAACTATCAACAATTTAGATATTTATTATTGCTATGTTTGAACAATCAACAATTTAGAGATGTATTATGGCTATGTTTGAACTATAAACAATTCAGAAATTAATTATAAAGATTCCAGGAAATGCTATATACATGTACTAGTTATGCTATCAAAATTTGAAAGAGATTTTATTCATGCGAAACATATCCTTTTGCAATTTTGTGCATTTAAATCATCTATAAAAATTATTACAGTATATTTAACCATATATCTAAGTTTAGTTCCAGTCCAGTGCAAGAGATTTGTCAGCTGGAAACAACCTTTCTGCACTGATTTTTGTCTATTTCTTCTCATTATATGTATAAATATAAGGAGCTGTGGTATGATTGCCAATGAGACAACTATCCACCAAAGTTCAAATGAAGTTTATGTAAGCAATTATAGGCAACCCTACAGCCTTCAACAATGAGAAAAACTCATACTGTATAGACGGCTATATAGTGACCATATATGTTTGGTTCTAATTCCAAGGTTCTCCTGTTATCATTAGAAACCCCTTTACTGAATAACCATGGGCTATTCTTAATATGGTGACCTTGACCTTAATATGAATCTACCTGTTATTACACTTAACGTACATCAAGCAAGGATCTCCAATTATCAATTAGATACTAAAAACTGACTGATAGCAGGAAGGTCAAAAGCTATATATGGTACACAGTACCATGTAGTGTGGTGAATAATTATTTGAATAAAAGAATTCAAATGAATTCTATAGATATATTTCTTTAAATATTATCTGCTTAAGAGTCATCTCCCTTGACTGGGTATTCAAGGAACATGTTCATTGTAGACACCCTTAGAATGAAAGGAAGATTTTTAACAAGTGATGCATCATTTGACATAGACCTTTTCATTCCAGTGAGGAACCAAACTATAAAACCCTATAAAACATCAGACAATTACCTTTTTCAATGGCCATTCCAAGCGTTTCTGTGTGAGTAGTCATATAAAACTTGGAGAAAATAAAATCAACCAAGCTGGTTGATGATCCTTTCAACTGAAAACAAATTATAGATAATTAATTTTAAACACAATCTCATTTATCTGAAGGTGATAAAAGAAATCTGCTGTGGGATGATTTTATTTTGATAACAGGAAAAACATTAAAATGATCTAGAGAAAAGAAGTAATTTGGTTTTAAATCAATAATCTGCTCATCTATCAATTTACATTTGTATTAAAATTCCAGGAGTTATTGGATAGAGTATTTAATCAAGTTCAACTTTGTCTAAATTCTATTCATTAAATTGCACCTTTCAATACTTCAGACCTACCTCATCCATGCCCTTTAAAGGTCAAAAGTAAGCCTTATGATTCCAATCAGCCAGTATTCCAGCTTTAAATGTGACCCACTTCTGATACACCTACCTCATCCATGCTCATTAAGGGTCCAAAGTCAGCCTCATGCTTCCAATCAGCCAGTATTCCAGCTTTAAATGTGACCCACTTCTGATACATCTACCTCATCCATGCTCATTAAGGGTCCAAAGTCAGCCTCATGCTTCCAATCAGCCAGTATCCAAGCTTTAAATGTGACAGACTTCTAATAGACCTACCTCATCCATGCTCATTAAGGGTCCAAAGTCAGCTTCATACTTCCAATCAGCCATTATTCCAGCTTTAAATGTGACACACTTCTAATAGACCTACCTCATCCATGCCCTTTAAAGGTCCAAAGTCAGCTTCATGCTCCCAACCAGCCAGTAGTCCAGCTTTAAATGTGACATAATTCTGATAGACCTACCTCAACCATGCTCATTAAGGGTCCAAAGTCAGCTTCATGATCCCAACTAACCAGTAGTCCATCTTTAAATGTGACAGAATTCTGATAGACCTACCTCAGCGATGCTCATTAAGGGTCCAAAGTCAGCTTCATGCTCCCAACTTACCAGTAGTCCATCTTTAAATGTGACAGAATTCTAATAGACCTGCCTCATCCTTGCTCATTAATGGTCCAAAGTCAGCTTCATGCTCCCAACTAACCAGTACTCCACCTTTAAATGTGACAGACTTCTGATAGACCTACCTCATCCATGCTCATTAAGGGTCCAAAGTAAGCTTCATGCTCCCAGTCAGCCAGTAGTCCAGCTTTAAATGTTACAGATTTTGTGAATTTAAGACTTCCTTGACTGGATCTGACTTGTTTTAGATTTATCTGACTTCCTATGTTACCAACTCTACTTGTTAAAGGTGCTCCTGGTGCTATAATAAAATACCATTAAGTTTGTTGGAGATATTCAAAATAACAATGTAAAAAAGTTGTTACATATTGAAAGACATTCCATCAAGAACTAATAGTAAGCCAGAAAATTGTGTACTTAAATTTGATATAAAGGGTTAAAATTTGACAGGTCAAAGTCCTCTTCAGACTTCTCATATATTTATAAAAAAAAAAAAAAAAAAAAATCTGACTTAAAATTTTAAGAAATGACAAAGATTTAATCAGATTTTTCATTGATGTAGTTTAAGAGGGGGAGGTTACTAGGCAAATTATTTGCTGTGAAATGGTAAGAGGCAGAGGAGCTCAGAATAATGACAACACATATTCAGTAGATTCATTTGTAAAATACAGAAAAAAAATGTATTTATCATAAAGAAGCTTCTGTCCATGTTTCATAACATTCCATTAAGGTTTTGCTAAAGTTATTGATACCTAACAAAAACTTTTATCTACAGACTGAACCTAATTTTTTTTTGCTGTAGACAACATAATGTAGGATCACTATGTTACAGCTTCTGTGACTTTATCCAAGCAGAGACAACAAAATAAGAGATAATACAGCACTGGACAGAAACACTTATAATAACCTTAAAGGGAAACTTCGCAAAAAAATTAAAAATTGATATTATGTTCATTCTGTATAAAAAAGCACAAATTCATAAATATTAAAGTTTTATTCTGCTATATAAGAGATCACCATCGATTTTAAATTTAGAGTATCTATTCTCTGCATGCAGCCATTTTGACATCTTCTCGGTTTAGAAACCACGATACATCTATAAACCACAAAGGACCAAAACCAGCAGTAACCTAACGTAGTCGTAATTGCGTGTCGATATCTTGTCAAGCGTACAGTTGTTTTATCCGACATGAAAAGCATAAACAGTTTCCCGGGTAACAAAAATGATTATAATAGACATGGTTGTGCAACCTTTCCAAACTAACATGATACGGAAAATGTAATTATTTTTTTTAATAACTATGGTCTGTCGTATTTAAACTGTTTTTTTTTTACCAAGGATTTGTATTTGTTACTATACAAATCCTTGTTTTTACTAAGTTTTGAAACAAGAAATTTATATGGGAATTAGTTAAAAAGTCAAAGTTCAAAGTCATAAATAAGTGTCCCGTGTATAATTGTTTTCGAAAATCTAATTTGTTCATAATTCTTTTATGTAATAAACTTTTATGTAATAAACCAAGGCTCCGTGTTGAAGACCGTACTTTGACCTATAATGGTTTACTTTTATAAATTGACAATTTGTGACTTGGATGGAGAGTTGTCTCATTAGCACTCATACCACATTTTCTTATATCTAATTATTTAAATAAATTCAGACCTTCCCTTATCTGATCACCAGCATGGCTAAAGGAATTATTCCCAGAGGTATTGTGAGGTGACACGTCCAGGTATTCATGCGATTTCCTGTCGGGCATAAAAACTCTTATTACACAATTACATAAAGCAATAAGGGTATTGATCAGTGTACACGGCCGGTAACTTGTAACTTTCCATTTTGAAACTATCAGGTGTAATATTTGTTTGTTATAATCTTTATGCCTCTCGGGGCCCAAAATTGGATAATAAAATTTATCTTATCTTATCTTATCTTATCTTATACATCTTTGTCTTGCGTGTCCGATAGTGATATACTAGTCATTACTAAACACATACGCTTGTTTATAAATAACATTTCTGGTGTAAAGAATGATATTTATGAAAATCTAAATAATTCCAAAAAAAGATTTGATAAAATTTATCGAACGGTAAATTGTGGAAAATGTAAGTATATACTCGTTGTCAATAATGATGGACATTTTGAAACATACAAATATTGATTTAACAAAAATGTACGCACTTGTCGATCATTGGTAAATACGCCTAGATAGAAAGTTACGGAACTATAGATAGTCGCAATTAAAAATACATACATGTTTTTGAATATAACAGAGAACATCCAGAACCAATTTGATTTAAATACAGGTTGATATCTTACTTGCTTTGGTTCATCGAAGTTATGGACATTGTAAAATCACAGATTTATATTTCATTTAGATTGTTCTCGAACAGTTAAAGAAATTCGTCATCACCACAATTGATGGGTATAATGTATAATGATGTGAACATGGTTCTAAAAGTACATTATGCTAACTTTCCTGTTCCGACATGCATGTAATATATATGCCACTGGACGTACACTAATGATCCCCAAAAAATCTATTTGAAGAAATAAAGAAACTTCACTCCGGATAGACTGATAGTATTTGTATTAACGTCTGATTAGCTAGATGGTTGATTAATTTATTTAGTTGGCTTGTTGGGGGGAATAAACTATTCCCAAATATTGCACTTATGCATAAAATATTAAATGAGAGTAATATGAGAGAAAATATAAATACGAAAAGTCGCATATCTGGTAAAAGAAAGTCTCACTGGCAACTATAGAATTTCACGTACAATTGTCATTCTTAATCGAAATAATGCATGTACACTTTGATAAAAAGGGGTGCCGCAGTTGCATATTATTCATCATAAATCTATTTCAAGTATATACTTTCCTGTCATTCTTATAAGTTAACGCAGAGACATGTAACTATACATCTCTAGTTAACGACAATCAACCATATAAATATTTGAATCTGATGTGACTTACCGTTCATCTCTTTCTTTTTTCTTCTTTTTTTTTTTTTTTTTATTTGGGCAGGTACACAAACATTGTAATGTTAGATATACTGTTCCCAGGTTGGGAGGGGGGCGGTGGTTGGAGGTAAAGTATATTGAAAGTTACAAAATAAGAACGTTGTATTTATGAATTTACATGAATAATTCTGATCTTGGACGTAGGTTTCTTTTCTTTTTTTAGTTCAGTGATTTAAATTGAGAGAAAAAAATCTAGTCAGAATTTAAATCGTACCGGCAATTTCCACCTAAGACTCCTCTAAAATCATGAATGGTCACGCTTCACAATCATCAGAATATTCTTTGCATTGGTACATTCTGTATCGGTAGTGATTTACCTTGACATTTCCGGGTATAACAGACCTCTTGTATATTACCTGTATATGGTTAGGTGACGTCCCATGAGGTCTTACGTATACAGGTTCACATTTATAATGGTTTCTGATAACAAGGTTTTATGACATTCACACATCTGCATGTTCTGTATACCAAATTCTTATCTTATTTTCAGACCAAACGAGGATGTGAATATTTTCCAGGAAAAATATTGAGTATCAAAGTATCAAATTAATTTCGGGATTTTTTTCTTTCTTCGTATTAAATCACAGAAATTTAAAGAATATACTGCTTGTCCGCTTGAGATGTATTCTTGTCAGATAAGACTGATAATATATGTCTCTGGTATAGAGTGGGTTTATGAATGAATGATAAGTCGTGCAAGATATAAAGCACATTGAAAATTGATTCCGCCGGTCTGTCTCCATTCAAAAAAGGAAAGTTGACGTTATATTGATTCTGTTATTTTTTTTAAACATCGTTGGTCAAATAGCTAAAATATGTATACGTTGTGAGATTTTAAATATTTTAATAAGGGCATTCCCGATTAGGTAAATGTAGATCGCTGTTGACGGACCAAGCTATATTAATCATGTAACCACGATAATTTTCGCTAAACATTGAAATATTCAAGGTTAATACCCATGATAATTTGGAAAAAGTAAGTACAGTGTTTGGTTTATACACTCGTTTTCGTGGGCCATATTTATTTATAAAATTATTTAATTGAAAGTAATACAGAATTTCGATGTTACAACAAAATACTCACCTATCTATTATAAAATTAAGCTTACGCAAAATATAAAGATTCAGGTATTTTGCCACCATATTCCTCCCCAAATAATTAATGTTTTTATCATTCATACGAAATGTTGTTCACATCGGTAACGGTGAACCGTGTTGGCTAAAATTCACTGAGTGAAGATCAAAAGAATAGAATTACAGAATGCTAATCTTTTAATTACCTTGAATTTAACCACGCATTCAACAGGTAGTCACTAAGTGTCACAGTATAATACACATTATATTTACACAGTACTAGTGGGAAATGTTTGCTAGACTGAAGTAAAAGCCTTCAGGTGAGAATACAAACATGCATTTGTAAAACAATATCAGTTTTATATGTTTGTTCAAAATATCCATCGGAAAAAAAAATCATAAAAATATATTCTATTGTATGATTTACTTTTATTACTATAATCATATCAGAAATCCTTTAAATATAAATCATACATATTAATTTTGAAAGTTGCACGGCTGATCACTTTATTTTCTTAATTATTAGTTGGTTAATAGCTACACCAAAAGTCGACGATGCGCTTTAAATCGCGTTATTAGATGATTAACGAACAAGACTTACAATGAGATTTATTCACTCCCGGCATGCAAAAAGACTTAAACTACGTCACATAAGTCAGGAAGTTCGAATAAATTAATTTATTAATTCCCAATTTTCTTCTTTATTAGTGTTCATATCCAGATAAAACTTGGTGAATATGTTTTTTATGGTATTATGAACATAATAAGATGAAAAGTAAAAAATCGTGATTTTTCCCTTTAAATCAAAGGATTAAAGTATGCTTTGAGTTTACATGTGATGGTCTTAAACACATATAATGGAGACATACAAAATACAATGCTTCTAAAACAAGAAAATCATTCTTATTATCAAATAAGTTAACATCTAGCAAAATACAACTACCTGTAATACTAACAGAAAGAAGATAAGAAAAAAGTAGAGATCTCTAAAAGACCTACAGAGAATAACGAGAAGACTATAAAGATGTTTTAACCTACTTTTGGTTCATCACATAACATCAACTAGATGTATGTATTATAGTCAACTTTACTTTTACAAGTTTGTTTTCAAGTTCTGTGATACTTTAGGTTGCAATTCTGTAAATACAGACAATGCAATTTCCCATAGGAACTCCCTTTGCGGCTAAAACTGTGACACTTTTACTATGAAGTTTCGTGAAAAATAATATCCCAGAACGGAAAGTTTATATGCACTACTATTTTATTCAAAGGTCAAAATATAGGGCTGTGCGGCATATTTTCAACATTTATATGCCCTGAACTTCTAAGAGTTTAAACTTATACTAAAATTCTATACTACCCTTACCTCCATTTTTGGACCTCCTAAGAATTAAAATTTAGCCGCTACCATGTTTATCTATACTGGTTACATTCCCAAGTGATGTCTCTATGAGATGAAACACAGAGATCATCAATGGGAACCAGTACGTTAACAAATTAACATACCTATGAATATTAAATATCTCCCCAAAAGAGGCGTGGTTTGAGAAACAGCTGTATTTACAAAGTGCAACCTATACAAACATTTATTCAAATAGAAAACTCTCTAAAAACACTTTTTCTCACAACAATACTTATTTATCAGAATTATAGCCTTAAAGAAATCACTACATATACTCTACGTCTCCTTTTACAGTACATTTTATACCCCTACCCCTGTTTCAATTTTTTAAAGATTTTGAAAACAAGACTCTAATTATTGCCAGCTTACCCTATGTGCATGTTTTCTGACATGAACTGTCTAAAACTTGTTTGAAACTATTCTGATAACAAATTGAAAGCATTTTAGAATACTATAAATGTTTTGTTTAGTAGTTAAGCATTCCAACATTCAAGATTATACAAAGTATCCAATCCTGCCTGTGTCTCTAGTCCACATCTTACTGTATGCCTATTTGTCAATGAAAGTTCACAATTTCTGCCTCAAATGGTCAGTTTAGAATTCTTGTAACAACAGTATCATCCCTAACCATATATCTAACATAAGTTAGTTAATATATGTCCTAGAAGTGTTTAAACAAAGGCATATTTGCAAAAGTTGTATTTATGAAGATATCAGTCTGGTGCATAAATTCACTAAAAGTTTGATTGAAATGACTGCTTACATCTGATTTTTGCATAACTTCCTAGCACAGTTATTGTTTACTTTATAAAAGACCTTTAAAATAAAAAAATCATAGCATTTACAAGTTAAATTATCTGTTTTATGACTCAGGGGTAGGCATTTTCCTCTGTTTTTTGCCCCTGGGGCCTCACATTTCCTAATTTTTTTCCCTGTTTCTAGCAATGTGAAATATTTACTACATATTTAGGATAGAACACACTATTGTAAGTTTTACTGAGGTCTTTTTGTAATTCTAGCTTGTACTTTTTTATGCCGCAGTCACAAAAAAGCACATTTAGGCGTTACGGCTTACTTTTGGGTTATCGACAGGACAAAAACACCCCACCAGAAATATTTAGGAAGGATCAATGAGTTGCAATTACTGCGAAGAGTTAATATAAGCACTTCTAAACAATTTAAATTACAAATAGGCATATATTATGAATTTATTTTGAATTCAGGGCTTTAAGTAAACCATGCATACTTTAAACTGTGAATTTATGCTGAGTCATCATAGTTAAGGCCCAGGATTTTCTCAATCTTCATGAAATATTTATAAAACTTCATATTTGAGTTAAATTCTTTAAAATCTCTGAGATAAACCAGATTTTGTGAAATTCTGTATGTTCTATTTTTTAACCCTATATAGGTTGCAATTCTGTAAATACAGACAATGCAATTTCCCATAGGAACTCCCTTTGCGGCTAAAACTGTGACACTTTTACTATGAAGTTTCGTGAAAAATAATATCCCAGAACGGAAAGTTTATATGCACTACTATTTTATTCAAAGGTCAAAATATAGGGCTGTGCGGCATATTTTCAACATTTATATGCCCTGAACTTCTAAGAGTTTAAACTTATACTAAAATTCTATACTACCCTTACCTCCATTTTTGGACCTCCTAAGAATTAAAATTTAGCCGCTACCATGTTTATCTATACTGGTTACATTCCCAAGTGATGTCTCTATGAGATGAAACACAGAGATCATCAATGGGAACCAGTACGTTAACAAATTAACATACCTATGAATATTAAATATCTCCCCAAAAGAGGCGTGGTTTGAGAAACAGCTGTATTTACAAAGTGCAACCTTTAATAAACTGTTAAAATCCTGTTAGAACATGCGTTAATTAATTTAGGTAAATTTAACAAAGAAAAAGGAATTTGGGAAGCACATCAAACTAGGAATTCCAGTAATAAAACATTTAAGTAAGGAGTGATAGATCAAATTAATTATTTAACAATATATTTACTTTGACCATATCTCACCAATGAGATTCAGTCAAAACATTACCATTCAACATTTTTATTATCAAAGCTATGAAAAAACACTGTACATAAGTTTTTTGTCAAAGGGGGTTAACAAGTTGTATCCTTTCATTTTATTACAGTTACCTGTTTGATCTGTGGGAGGGGCAACTTTAGTCTTAGCCAAACCCATCTGCTCATGCTCTACACTGTCTGTACCGCTTGACTCTGTATGGGGAGAGGTTAAATGTCAGAGGTTATTAGTATAAAAGTTGGAGGTAAACAAATAAAGGAATGCTTTAAAACCAGTTCTATATGATTCTGAATGTATGTAATAAATGTTAGACCAAGTTATTAAAAGTACATACTTGTTAACTTTTAATAGCAGCTTTGGCAATGATCTACGGAATTCCAATATAACATAAAATTAGATTTTGTGTTTGGGGTAGATTTTTTTCTCCCTCAAAGAGAACAAATAAATGGGTGAGACAATACACCTAAAGTGGAGTCTCCCTCAAAATCTTGGAGGTTAAGAGGTGAGAGACGAAACATTTAATTTTGGTTTTCATCATTGGTTCAAAACTTATTTGTATGTAGTTAAAATTTTAGAAACTGCCAGTTAATTTAAATACATAATAGAACTGGTTTCAAAGATTAACAAAGAATCTGAAAAAAAGAGGTAATTAAAATCCAAGTCAGAAAAAACATAATTTACTTATTCCACCATGTCTGGAATATCAATATGAACTACAAGTTTTCTGTTCATAATCATCACATGATATTTTAAAGTAGATGTTAGTCAGATTCGATAACAAAGGTTTACTAGCAAAGAGAAAAAGAGAGTTGAGTTCTATATTTCAGAATATACATAAAGTTCCCAAAGTAGTCTTAGCCATTCATAATATTCAAACCATTTTCTTAGGAAATAGAGAAATGTATAACATCATTACAAAATACTGTTTTAAAATTCAATGAGGTATTTTATTCAATGAGATATTGCCTATTTGTTTAGCCTGAAGTTTCTAATTGAACGAAGACACTTAAGCAGCTATATTTAACCAGAAATCCTTTTGGGTACATATATCAAATGTTAAATTTGGTGTGTGACTTTTTGTTTTTTACTCTCTCTTAATTTAATATCAGTACTTTTATGTGCAAGTTTATTTTCACTATTGGTACATTTCAAATATACTTTGTGAACTTCAAGTGCACTTAAATTCTTTTATAACAATACTAATAATTGCTGGTATTTTCATGAAATAAACTTCCATGAAATGACTGAAAATAAATACACAATGGACTCCAAATACTGTCTTCACAAATAATTCCTCATCTTTACTGTTTCCAAAAGTATAATGTCAACAATAAAAGGAAGAGATCCAGGTGCATTACAAAATATCTACCCTAAAGGTTAAATGATGTTAAACCAGTTACAGCTACAATCAGATAAGGGGAGGTAACTCTTACCTTTGTTAGTATTGACTGTTATTCGTGTACTTGCTGGTAAAAGGAATTAAAATGGAGGATTATATACATGCATATTAGATCACATTAACATTGTTACTGAATGTATAAACAGCAAATTAGGAAAAAAACTATTACAAAGTTAACTTTCTACACACATTTTTTTATTTGTTATTGTTATTTTCTCATGCAAGTGGATATTAAAAAAAGTTATGGATGGAATATTCATGTTCTACATTTGAAGACTGTTCCATAGGTGATAAACTGTTAACACAGAGGTATGTCTCTCCTTTTTTGTAATTTTGATAATGCAAATGATGAAATTAAAATAGTAATACTTTAACATGTAAGTTATGCAAATATTCAAAGTCAATGAACAGTGACTGAAGGTACATGGCTAAACAATCTCCATGGAAATGAGATGTGCCAATGCTAATACAACTGCATACCATTAGCGGTTCATCTTAAACTGATCTAATCACAAGCTAATACATGTAAACTAAGCAAAAGTTTCAAAGTCAATAGACCATGACTGAGGGGGCGGGGCCAAATATTCTCCATGGAAATGAGATGTGCTAATGCTTATACAACTGAACACCAATTAACATTGGCCTACCACTAATGGTTCTCCTTGAACTGATCTAATCATAAACTAATACATGTAAACTAAGCAAAATTTTCAAAGTCAATAGACCATGACTGAGGGGGCAGGGCCAAATAATCTCCATGGAAATGAGATGTGCTAATGCTTATACAACTGCATACCAATTAACATTGGCCTACCACTAATGGTTCTCCTTGAACTGACCTAATCATAAACTAATACATGTAAACTAAGCAAAATTTTCAAAGTCAATAGACCATGACTGAGGGGGCAGGGCCAAATAATCTCCATGGAAATGAAATGTGCCAATGCTAATACAACTGCATACCAAATATCATTGACCTACCACTAGTGGTTCACCATAAACTAGACCAAATCACAAACTAATACGTTGTTGCCGCCGCCGCCACCGGAAACTGCATACCAATGTTTTACTTTTTGACTCTGTCAAGGCGAGACAAAAATCTCAGAAGCAATGATTCCGTTCAATAGCTTATTTTGTTTCAGATACCAAATTGTAATATCAATAGTGTAAGGGTCTATGTTTGCTAAACACTAGTTAAACTTGTGAAAAAATGAAAAAAAATAAGATTTCATAAAAACTACTCTGGGTGTCAAAATATAAATCTACATAAAAGCATAGCTAGCCTAGTAAATGGGAATAAATTGTGGGAATATTAAAAATACCTGTAAAATAAGATGAAGCCCTGCTCTCTGATTGTTGTTTAGATAATTCTGTAAGTGGTGTTTTTTTAGCTGTAAAACATGGATTAGGCATGCAGTTAAGGTTAGATTATGGTGTCAGCTTACAAACAACTATTAGTTCAATTGAATTTGAGATTATTAACAATCTTGGTATTATATATGGTAACAATCTAGTATTAAGGAATAAAAAATCTCTCAAGGGTTCTATCAACAGGTGAGAATGAGATCCCTGTGTTTAATACAAAATATAAAAGAATAATCTTAAGTTAGTTTAATACTGACAATAAAGTGTAAGAAATTATTTCAAATCTAAAAAGTTGATTGTCCAATTATTAGTTTGTTAAACATTGCACACAGCCATTCAGAAATTAATATGAAACTTCCCCAAAAATGTGGCCTACTCTAATGTTTCCAGTTGACATGTACCTTTCCTTACCAAATTCTAACCAGTCCTAATATTACAAGGCTACAAAGAAGGCTAACTGGACTACTAACATAAATTCCCATGTCAACAAATTCTTCCTTTTATACTAATTACTACTGATCATGTTAAAACCATAATAAAATAAACAGCGATAGTCATTGTACTAAGTACCTCTCGCTGTGTCTACTGTTTCTGTTTCTGTTTCAGTCATTGATTCATCTTCACTACTTTCACTTTCTTCTGACGGTTCTGAGTCATACTCTGACTCTGATGTAGGATCAGCATTAGTTGTTCTATTGGTTCCTAACTCTGTATCAACCCCTAGAAATCATCAAAGCAATAATTATTACATTAAAGCACTGTCCTCTTATTTCTATGCAAAGTAATGAAAAATATTACTCATTATCAGTTTGATGTTATTTATAAATATGAAAGAATTAGTACAAGAACTGTCCATTAAGTGAAATCGATAATCTCCCAGGACTGAAAAACCTTTATGATACAGATGTACATCTGTATGTTAAGATGTAATGGTGTTACAGTATGTAAAGATGTAATGGTGTTACAGTATGTTAAGATGTAATGGTGTTACAGTATGTTAAGATGTAATGGTGTTACAGTATGTAAAGATGTAATGGTGTTACAGTATGTAAAGATGTAATGGTGTTACAGTATGTAAAGATGTAATGGTGTTACATGTCTGAAATATGTAAATTAAAACATTTGTGAGTTAGGATTACAGTTAAACACCTCATGCTTCAGTACAATATTAAACCCAGATTTGGCTAATATCAATCATGAGGCAGTAATATTAATGAATACTTCAAATTAAAATCAATACTTGGTCTGATTGAACCAACCAGAATACAAGAATATATCAAAGTGAATGCTTAAGTGTAAAATACCTCTCAAGATCTATCTAAACCTACCTGAAGCCCTAGTGCGACCAGTATCTGGTGTTCCCCTTGGACCAGGTGTAGACTCAGCTCTATGAGTAGATTCTCCTAGAGGTATAGGTGTATCCATGGGTGTGACTAGTTTCTCTGAAGATGTGGTAGTCTGGTCATCATTCTCTCTTGTTGTAGATACTTCATCTACAGCAGTCAACTCATTATCTTCTTCTTCTGATTCTGGTTCTGATATAGGTGGAGAGGTTGTGGTCTGAGGAGTACCACGCCCCTGTAATATATTATTTTGTTGAAAAAAATAGTCTAATTATTTTGAACTATGGAAAGAACATTTTAGTGATATTTATTGATGTCAATTTTTGTGGTTGGAGAAAATTAAGTTGATATAATTAGTTCTGATTGTTACTGTTTCATCATTTGCACCTTTCAAAACAACTTAAAATGTATTTTTCTTCTCATACTAAAGTTTGTAGTTTACTCATGAAAACCACAATAAATGGGTATCCCATGAATATCAAGGAATCTTTAGTAGATATAAACCATAAATTCAAATTAAAGAAAACTGCAACTATAAGCATGTTGCCTCTCCCCTTAAATCAACATGAACTCTTCACAACACAACAGTATACATCAATCATATATATTTTAATATCCTTTTAAAGTCCTTTTAAACATTCTTTGATGAATAAATGCTAATTTTTGTTCTACTTTTAATAACAAAATTTCTCTTTATTCTTTGTGAATTTACACTAGTTTAAACTATTTGGACAATTTTTTTAATAAACCACATGTTGATTATAAATCCAGCCAAACCTGATTGAATATTATACTCAGGATTTTTTCACTTTATCATTTTGAATCTGATTCCAAATTTCCAACCCAATAAGATCCTAGATTTTAACAAATAATCATGATATAAGCCACTTTTAATAGTTAGAATTTTTTAAATTAAAAAATGTTTGGCAGGCCTAGAATTTCCAATTTTGAAAATTAAGTATCTTGAGTGGATAACTATAATAAACAAAAAGGTATTTTGACAAAATCTTTTTATAAGAGCTTACAGTTTGTGAATGTGTTTCTTCAGAAATGGCAGCCATCTCTGATTTGTGATCATCTCTGGGCAAACAGAAATATTTCAGAGCTGTCTCCTCTAAAGTCTTTGTAAACCAATTGGAATCTAATAAAAAAACATGACAAAATCAAAAATGTATTTGTACCTTATAAATTTAATAAAAGCACTTACATCTACATGCAAAAGTAATTCATGTATCAATTCACTTGCATATAAATAGAAATACTACATCTATGTACACCAAGAAGGTCTTTGTACCTCATTTATATAATACAAGTAACAATTTATCTATATGGCCATACTTACTTGTACAGACAAAATTATGAATATTACAAATAATCTTGAACTCACAATAACAAATTTTGTTTATCGCTAAACAGCTTATCAAAAGTAAAAATTTGCAAGGTCTCTTATGCATAAATCAATAAAACAAAAACTTATAACTTGGACCCACCATCAGGAGAAACAAGTCTGTCAGCAAACATCCTAGTACATTCATGACACCAGAGTTGACCTATGACCTTCATCATAGGAGCAGAGGACCCTCCCTCTATAACATATCCACCACTAGCTCCACTGACTGTCCGAGACTTTGAATCTGACCATGATGTCTGTCTGGATACTCTACTGCTTCCTGAGGGATAAACAGGATTCTTTTCTCATAATATACTGTTGCAATTCACATGGATACAAATAACTGTAGCAAAAAGTGAGCCAAAATTTGTCATTTATCTTATTATTAAGCTGCCAAATGTACATAAACTCTGAAAAATATTAATAGCTCAAAGGATTTCTTAGCTTTTTATGAATATATTTAAATGAACTTGATCATATTTCTAATCTTTTGAATGGAATGAGGATATATCAAATTAATGAAAAACTTATAATTAAAAAGTATCCTACTTGAATCTCCATCCTTTTTCTTTCTCAACATTTTTCTTGATCTTGACCTTGGTGACATCAAGAGAATACCATGAACAACTCTAGCCACATCATGCAAGCTAAATAAATAATGGGCATTGCTTGGTGTAGGCCTGAGCTTTTCCTTTATACGACCATACAGGTCCAGCAATCCTAGAGTCATTGCCTAAAATATATAGTGCATCATCTATTAAAAACATTGTCAATGCTAAAAAAATCATAAAATCTGACAATAAAATGAATCAACAGATTTCAAAATAAAGATAAGTATTAAAGCACATTGTTATTATTATCAACCAAACTGTCTTTTCTCAATTTAGTAAAGGGGAACATGAGTATCTTTAAAAGTTCATTGGAAACATACCCTGGCAAATTCAAAATGATGCTCTACACTATATGTGGGAAATTCTTCTAGCCAGTTCTGTAATGCTCTACCATGCATACTGAGGAGGGTTTCAGGTGCAGGGGTAAACACAGTCAGGTTGACAAAGAGGCGTGTCAGTCTAGTCGACATCACATGACTTGCTTTCCCTAATCCATACCCTGTATAAATATATACATGTTAGACTTTAATATAATAATACAAGAACAATACCCTCGTCCATATCTTACACAATTATATAACTTGACTACAAAACAACAAAACATTGACATGTTTTCATGAACAGATATACTCTACAAAACATCCTTTTTATGATCACCTTAAAAATTATACTATGGGTTATATGCAAAAAGAAATGTACAGAAAAATTCTTGAATTCATTTAGCATTAGAGGACACTTAACAAACATCTTTGTGGGCAAAAACTATATGACTGTCAATTTTGGTTGGTTGAGTTCCACAAAGTGACTAAAAAATCAGAATAATTGATTAGTGCACACCCTCTATAAACCTCAACTGCAGAACAAGAAACAATAAAATCACTTTTCAAAACAGCTGTTTTTCCATTAGCCTTTATACTGTAGTCCAGTGAATAATACCTTAACTTTCAAGAGTGTAACATAAAAAAAGTTTACCTGCAACGCTAGGTGGTGTTGTAGAAGCTAAAAACATAGCCTCTTCCATATCCTGGAATTCTTTTCTCTGTCTGTCATAACATCCACGCTGAGTTAATATTTGACGTAACAATTCCAAAGGTGGCTGATACCCTGTATACAAAAAGAAATACAACTTGAAAGAAAGAACATATTGAACTTAAGCAAAAATTGGGAAGTTCCTTTTGCATACTAAATTGTTCAATGCTAATTCATTAAAAAGAGTTTTTTGAGCAGTTAAATGATATTCAACTTCATTGCTTCCTATGACATGGCTTAAAACAGAAAATGACATTTCAAATAATGGGTTAAGCTCTGGAAGTATAGCACAGAAATTACAATTTTACTTTAATGAAATAAATAACTAGTAACAAGCTTGCAAAAGACTTACCTCCTTCAACATTGGTAGGTGCTGTATTAAGATCATCTATGTAGAACAGATGTGTATGTTTTCCTCGTCCAGCAGTTACTCCGGAGGTTGGTAGGCTATTAGCTATCTTATGTTTAAGTTCTAAGATATGAGATACCATTGTGTTCTGGAAGATTGAACTGGTCATACCTCTGGACATCAGGATGTTAGTACTGGTTTGCTTTGACAACACAGTATTCTACAATATAGATAGGAATGAATATATATGAATATAAGACAAACATTTCCTTATAACAATTGGGCTTTGTCAGTGTCTATCTTTTTTTCAATAAGAAATGAAATGATGGACTCTAACTTAGACCATTTGTTGTGCCAAAATATTTGTCTTTTAATTAAATATTATTTCAACTTATTCATATATATCTTTTATTTGTATTGTTGCAAAAATCTTAATGAGTTGTACAACTTTTTCCTGCTGTGTAGTATCATTACTTTGATTTCAATTTGCCTTACAATACCAGACTAAAACTTGACTTAGATCAATTAGACTATATTTGGAAGACACAATGTTTTTATAAAAATGTAATTGAAAACAGTGGTAAATATAAAAGGACTGAACTTGCAGTCATAAACTGAACATGAAAATGTGCAGGACAATTTTTTTGAGTGATATTTAAAATGTATGTGTGAATAAAATGCTTCGCTGGGGCGCAGCTTGATACGACCGCAGAGGTCGAACCCTGAACAGTTGGGGCAAGTATGGACACAACATTCAAGCTTGATACAGCTCTGAATTTGGATTGTTATTAAATATTTGACACAGCATAGGTTTCTGACACAGAAAGAATGTGGTCTAAGAACTTGAATTTTTTTAATTTACCTATTATGGTCCAATGTCCAAAATCAAAATACATGGTTAGATTCAGCATATCAAAGAACACCATATATTCAATTTTTGTTAAAATCAAACAAAGTTTAATTTTGGACCCCAACTTGGACAAACTTGAAAACTGGGCCCATAATCAAAAATCTAAACACATGTTTAGATTCAGCATATCAAAGAACCCCAAGAATTCAATTTTTGCTGAAATCAAACTAAGTTTACTTTTGGACCCTTTGGACCTTAATGTAGACCAATTTAAAAAACGGGACTTAAAATTAAAAATCTAAATACACGGTTAGATTTGGAATATCAAAGAACCCCAATAATTCAATTTTTGATGAAATCAAACAAAGTTTAATTTTGGACCCTTTTGACCTCAATATGAACCAATTTGATAGCGGGGCCCACAAATAAAAATTCTAAATTCATGGTTAGATTCAGCATATCAAAGAACCCCATATATTCAATTTTTGTTGAAATCAAAAAAAGTTTAATTTTGGACCCCAACTTGGACCAACTTGAAAACTGGGCTCATAATCAAAAATCTAAATACATGTTTAGATTCAGCATATCAAAGAACCCCAAGAATTCAATTTTTGTTAAAATCAAACTAAGTTTAATTTTGGACCCTTTGGACCTCAATGAAGACCAATTTAAAAAACGGGACCCAAATTAAAAATCTAAAAACACGGTTAGATTTGGCATATCAAAGAACCCCAATAATTCAATTTTCGATGAAATCAAACAAAGTTTAATTTTGGACCCTTTTGACCTCAATATGAACCAATTTGATAGCGGGGCCTACAAATAAAAAATCTAAATACATGGTTAGATTCAGCATATCAAAGAACATCATATATTCAATTTTTGTTGAAATCATACAAAGTTTAATTTTGGACCCCAATTTGGACCAACTTGAAAACTGGGCCCATAATCAAAAATCTAAATACATGTTTAGATTCAGCATATCAAAGAACCTCATATATTCAATTTTTGCTAAAATCAAACAAAGTTTAATTTTGGACCCTTTGGACATTAATGTAGACCAATTTGAAAAATGGACCCAAAATTAAAAATCTAAATACACTGTTAGATTCGGCATAACAAATAAATAAATGTGATCAAAGATTTTACAAATCTAATGCGCCATACTGTGCAATTAAAGATTACTTCTTGAAATTTTTCAATATTTGAAATTTGAAAAAAAAATAATATTTGAAGAATAATTCTTTTTAATTTCTGAAATCTGAAATGAGAAAAAATTGGCCCCCCACAATTTCTTTTTATCCCCCCCCCCCTTTTTCCCCCAAAAAAATTCTTTCCCTCAAGATATGGTCATAATCTCAATTCAAATTTCCAATGGAGTTGGCAACCATAATACCCATTTAAATTTACCATAGTGCTAACTTAATCTATTTTATAATAGAATTAATAAAAATATAGTGTCAAATCTTTCATATGGATTTTTTTTGTAAAAAAAAAAGATGAAAACATTTGCAGATATTTTTACTGGTCTTCCTTTATAAATATGCATTTCTTTAAACATAATTTAAAAGCAGAGTAAGGGAAGTAACCAAAACGTTGTATTTGGATTACCTCCCTTACACTGTTTTAGATTATCTTTATTGTTCATTAACCATTACTTTATACATAATTTAAAAGCAGTGTAAGGGAGATAATTTCAATGATGTATTTGATTTATCTCCCTTACACTGCTTTAAATTATGTTTTGTACTAAAGTATTTGTCCATTAACCAGGACAACCTTGTTTTTCCCCCTTTTTTGCCCCTAATTCCTAAACGGTTTGAGCCATAACCCCCCAAAGCAAATCCTAACCATCCCTTTGTGGTATGGAAACTTGTAGTATAATTTCAGAGAGATCCATACACCGTTCCACAGTTATTGTCTGGAAACTAGAAAATGCTCATTTTTGGCCCCTTTTTGGCCCCTAATTCCTTAACTGTTGGTACCATAACCCCCAAAATCAATCCCAACCTTCCTTTTGTGGTATTTAACCTTATGGTCAAATTTCAAAAAGATCCATTCACTTAAACTAAAGTTAGAGTGCGAAAACCAATATGTATTCGGACGACGACGCCGGACGACGACGACGACGACGCCGGACGACGACGACGACGACGACGACGACGCCAACGTCATACCAATATACGACCACAAAATTTTTTTGCGGTCGTATAAAAACAAGCCAGTGAAAAACAAGCCTGTTTCACTGGTTATCTATTCATTTACAATAACCACTTGCTAGTTTTGTATCATATAATTACCTTAGAGTAGTTTTGCCAACACCTGGTAATCCTGTCAGTAACACAGGATGTTGTATCAAATAATTACCTGTATCAGAGTAGTTTTGCCAACACCTGGTAATTCTGTCAGTAACACAGGATGTTGTTGTATCAAATAATTACCTGTATCAGAGTAGTTTTACAAACACCTGGTAATCGTGTCAGTAACACAGGATGTTGTTGTCTCAAATAATTACCTGTATCAGAGTAGTTTTGCCAACACCTGGTAATCCTGTCAGTAACACAGGGTGTTGAGCATTCAGCATCAGTTCTATTAAGTAATTGTACTTCTCAACCTGCAAAGTAATTAATGTGTATACTGTTAATAAAAGTTCAAGGATGATCAAATTAAGCATTTCCTAAATTGTTACCAAATTCTAAATATCTGACAGCATTTTTTGATACCTTAATATTAGATGTATAAATCAATTTATAATTCAAAAGATATCGTCAAGATTCAAGATTTTTATCAATTTAAAGCTGTTGTGATCTCAACCTTTGAACTATTGACTAAAAATCAAGAATGGGTGTTTCAAAGTTTGGTAATGATCTAAACAGAATGTCCAGAAACCCAAATTGTTGATACCAGGATGAACAATCATCATAATAGAAGTCTGACAAAGCCACAAGAAATTTTTAAAGTATCTTACGACATTTCAAGTTAAAATATCTGTCATGGTTCTACCATATATTTTTTATTGTAAAGTGGAGTCTATATTTTGGTTGTTTTTTGCTTTTGATCCTTGGTATTAACAGCAATACACTGATCAATTTGTTTGTTAAAAATCTGGATATATTGTTTCATTAACTTACATCTGGAGTTATCATATAGCCTCCTGCTAAAATCTTAGACCGTTCTTGCTGTTTCTCTCCCCATCTCAAGAATGTGCCTGTGGTTTCATCTAAACAATAGTCAAAGACAGTCCCTGGGAAAGGGATACGAATAGGATGTGTTGCTCTGTACATAGCATCATGGGAAAACTTGCTGAATTTATCCTTGAATCTGTCATAAAAATAAATATAATTACTTTAGTAGATGAAAATATAACTATAAAAACTTTCAAAATTGTAATGTTTATATAGTAATATGGATGGCATTTTTTTTTCATTTCAAAGCAGAATAGCTTTTTAAATAAAATCCAACAAAGTTTGATACCAAACATAATTGTTATTTCAATCACCTTTCATGTATATGTCCTCCAAAGCTCCAGATGTAGGAAAATGCAAACATTCCTTTCAGAATTTCCAAATAATTTGGTAGGAGGTGCTCTATCTGGGAACTACTGGTCATACGACTGGTTGCCTGTCGTGACGGTGCCATACTGCTTGGAGTTTTACGATTATCATCTTTAAATATACAAAAGTAATACATATATACTATTTTCTAAGTGCCTCCCTTTGTTCAGGTGCAATATAGGTATAAGGCCTGCCCTTTGGAAAAGATTAATATCCATCACTTTATTATTCATTATACTTTAATCCAGTTTGAACCATCAATATCCTTGTCTGAATTATCAGTCATATGTTTGATTTGATTTGATTTTTTGGTGTTTTAACGCCACTTTTAAGCACCGCTTTTGGGCTATTTCGTGGCGGCCAGTTTTTATTGATGGAGGAAGCCAGGGTTCCTGTAGAAAACCACGATCTTCGATAGGAAAACTGACAATCCTAGTCAATTAAGATTGGAGTCGAGTGCACCTGCACGAGCTGGGTTCAAACTCACAACCTCAGTGTTGACTGGCTAGTGATTACAGTAGTAACTACTTAGAACACTCAGCCACCGAGGCCCCGTCATATGTTTGTCTGAGTTAGCAGCAATATGATTGTCTGAGTTAGCAGCAATATGTTTGTCTGAGTTAGCAGCAATATGTTTGTCTGAGTTAGCAGCAATATATTTGTCTGAGTTAGCAGCAATATATTTGCCTGAGTTAGCAGCAATATGTTTGTCTGAGTAAGCAGCAATATATTTGCCTGAGTTAGCAGCAATATGTTTGTCTGAGTTAGCAGCAATATGTTTGTCTGAGTTATCAGCAATATGTTTGTCTGAGTTAGCAGCGGCAATATGTTTGTCTGAGTTAGCAGCAGCAATATGTTTGTCTGAGTTAGCAGCAGCAATATGTTTGTCTGAGTTAGCAGCAATATGTTTGTCTGAGTTAGCAGCAATATATTTGTCTGAGTTAGCAGCAGCAATATGTTTGTCTGATTTATCAGCAATATGTTTGTCTGAGTTAGCAGCAGCAATATGTTTGTCTGAGTTAGCAGCAGCAATATGTTTGTCTGAGTTAGCAGCAATATTTTTGTCTGAGTTAGCAGCAATATGTTTGTCTGAGTTAGCAGCAATATGTTTGTCTGGGTTAGCAGCAGCAATATATTTGTCTGAGTTATCAGCAATATATTTGTCTGAGTTAGCAGCAATATGTTTGTCTGAGTTAGCAGCAGTATGTTTGTCTGAGTTAGCAGCAATATGTTTGTCTGAGTTAGCAGCAGTATGTTTGTCTGAGTTAGCAGCAATATATTTGTCTGAGTTAGCAGCATCATATTTTGTTGCTTTGTTTGTTTGCTGAAAGAACTTGGTGTATAATATTTGTTTGACTGTTGAATTTGTTTTGCTAACTTTCCAGTACTAGAGTTTGTTATAAGGTATGAACACTTGGGTGTTATTTGTGCAAACCAATCACAACATCTAAGACCATGTTAAGTTTTATACTGTTATTGAGATGTGCATTCTAAATTTTATGATTTATCAAATCCTTTGCATCACTACTGATCATCACATGCTGACCTTTACATGTTCATTTTTTTATAGTGGGTCACTGTCCACTAATATTTATTCAGTATCTTCTTTTCTCAATTCTGTATAGTAGTAGTATTGTAAAAGCAAAGAAAAGATAAAGGATAACATACCATCATGTTCCATTGACTTCTGTTTCTTTTCAAAATCATCTCTGAGAAACATCTTATCTAAGAGAACTGAGAGGATGTTGAGAAATGCAGTGATTTCCTGTATTCCTATGTTTACTTCATCTGCTACAGAACCAACATCTGTCATTAGTGCTGAACAACATTCATTCTTAAGAAATTTCAATGTTGGAGGAAATATGTCTCTGCCTAACTCTTCCCATACCTTAAATCTAAAAAAAAAATACAATCTTTATAACAAAATTTCTTTTAAAGACTTTAAATTAGCCTAGCTAACTTGATATATATTTTTTTCTCATAGACTTTTGCACTTTAAAGGTTTTTTATATAAACCATTTTGCATTTCCTATGAACTAATATTAAACAGCATATTTCAGAAAAAAAAACTAACGTAGAGTTGGTTTGTAATGTACATGGGTTGTAAGGAAATCAAGCATATATACTATCTTGGTCCAATAAATAATAAGATAATCCAAACTCTACATGCCTTGTGCTTTATGGTGGATCATGTGTATAACAAAATACAAAGAGGGATCCCCTGAAGTGTGTTATTAATAAACTTACTGTTCATTTGTATTATGTCAGAGTTATGAAGTACACAAATACTGCATTTTTGTTCATCATAAAATAGATGTATCAGTAAAACATGAATACCCCTGCAGGAGCCTTACCACTTGGTCAACAGGAATGAAACTGTTATCAAATGGAAAATTGGTATCAAATAGACTGATGACCTTAATGGCATAATTTAAATGCTTAATTTGTAGCAATTACAAAAAAAATGTGTAATGAATGACATCAATTTCTCTTTAAAATGACTATACAAAGTAAAAAAAAATGACCACCTCTGTTTTTGTTACAGATTGAAATGTATTTTGTTTAGAGAAAATCTAATGAACTATATCAGAAATTAAATTCATTGAATAAATGCATTCTAGTAACATGAAGATAAACATACGCTGCTGAGGTGAGGACCCATCTTGATTTAGCAGTTGTTCTCCAGGATTCAAATAATGAATTCCAATGCACGGTCTCAGAACCAAAATTTATAATAACACAACGAGCCAGAGTTGCTGGAGAGGCATCAGATAAATAATTAGTCTCATAAATCAGTGCTGTTGTGTCTGGAAAGAAAACCTCCATGTTATTATGTTACTTCACAAAATAATTGTTACTGTTTCATCCAGAAAAATAACTAATACATAGCAAAATGCATACAATAAGATAGGCATTGCTTTATATATTGTCCATGGAATTCAATTATTGTTTTTTTTAATATAGTTTTTGAATTTCAAATTTACCAAAATAAGATGTTATATTAATTAAAAAGTCATTTCAACACAGTAGTGTAAACTGATAAAAAAAAATACAATGTTTCATCAAAATCACTACATGTTTTTAATAAGCACGGGATTACCAAAATAAAACAGAAAATGAAGGTTAAACAAATTGATTGATAGGTTGGTGTTTGCTTTACTCCACATCAAAAAGACTATATTTCAGCTAAATCCATTTCAAAAACTTTAAAAAAGGCAGTTTTAAAAATCAGACAAAAGATCTTTTTAATATACTAAAACTTAAGTTTAAAGCTTAGTTACTTGTTCAAAAATAAAACTGAACAATAAGATAAAATGGTTAAAATAAAAATCATTTAAAGGAAATGTTTCTATTTTTAAGTTTAAACTAGATGATAATTCAAATCGTAAATACTTAAGTGCAATATATCTACAGAAAAACCAGGAAACAATGCCACATAGAAAATAAATTCTGCATTTTTTTTTTTATAACAATTTTTAGTTTCGTATTAACAAGTTAAATAAGTTGAACTGTGAGTCATTTCTCACAAATGATACCCCTGCAATAAATATTTGGTAAACAAAATAATATCTAAAAAATATTTTGTGAAACTTTAGTAAAAGTTTAATTGTAAATATTGTTTTATTGACCTAATTTGTAAGGAAGAAACTACCTGAATATTGTCTTTTCTCTTATATCTGTGTTTTTTAAATATAGCATAATTCTACATAATATACATATAATACAACTTCTAATATAACTAAAACTAAACTGAATAAAATATAAACATTATTAATTACACTTATTTCTGTGCAAACCAAGCAGCTATCAGAATCTCAGGAATTCTAGTTCCACAAAAATGTGTAAAGAAAATCCTCAAATTTTAATGGATTCAAATTAAAGAACTAAAGCAAGTAAGCTTAATTTAATTACTCTATTAGCTAAACTGAAATCTACTAAGAAGGTGTGAGTTTGAAGATTTCCCAAAAAATATTTTTTCAGCACATACTGAGAACTAAAGAAGAGTATCTCATCAGGTGATAAACATATAAGAATGAAGCTCATAAAAGATGGCTTCCTAATAGTGGCTGAAGCTAAAAATAGCATGCTATGGTTGATTTACACAATAACTAACTAGTCACTGTACCTTCCAATGGTGGCCACACACGTGCCTGCTTATGTCCATTACGTTCTAAATATAAAGTCATCTTTTTCTCAATAAATATTATATATAAAACCCTGATTCACTATGAAAGCTAGGATAAAAAATATGTGGGGTATTAAATAATGAAAAGATAGAACTTTTGCCAATGTTTTAATGGAAGTGAAACATGACAGGCTAAGCATTGTATTGCTTAGACCTAGCATTTAGATTTTATTGTTTCATCTGTATATTTCCAGATGTAGAATTAATCTCAAACTTTTGGCATCTGATCAACAGTTGCCTTCATAAATGCACAAATTTCTGTATTAACAGTTTTTATCTGATCTGAGTTGTTTAAAAATGATTGAAAGGAAAAAATGTCAAGTATGATGTAAATGAAATGGCCATTATCAGTCAAGGAATGAGACCACAGAAAACCCATGGGTTTTTTTTCAAGAGAAAAACTACTGGAATGTAGCTTATCAATATAAACTATTAGCTGAGCTGTGTAAAGTATTTGTCAAGAATGACTGGTTTTAACTCTAAAAAAATGGAGATCACAAATACCAACAGAATACCTCTGACAAGAAGGACTTTTATCCACAGAACTGTATCACTGTCTGCTGGTTTTTGTCATAGCTTATATTCTGTATATAAATCTCACCTTGTAAATCAACACTTCCCCCATTGGCCACTGATAGTTTATTTTCATCATCAAATAGAGTATTGATGCTCTCAGTCCAAACAGGGTGCATAACTCCATCCAACACAATCCAACGTACTAACACTGAAGGTAAATCCTGTCCTTTATTTTTCTTCTCCTTTAATCCACTTATGTAATTTCTTACAGCATCAGATAGAAATGAAGAGTCCTTTAAGATTTTGGGAAACAGTCCACCCTGCCATATCCCATCAGAAAATGCACCAAGGAACTACAAGTAAACATTAGTACTAAAAACACAGCTAATTTGGAGCTTTAATGTCTAAAATCCCAAATTTTCCCTAATATGTTGTATTTATATCTGAAAGGCTACAATGCTTTGTGACTTAGTGCAGCAATTATAAAGGAAGTTAATGAGCATTGAATGAATCTATTCACAAACAACAAATGATTTTAGTTCAAACAAAATCTTACAACTGAGTTACTGTCAGAAATTCAAAGTTTTTCTCAAATCTTTTAACAGGAAATACGTTGCAAAATATTCTTTTATCATGAAAAGGGTCAAAAAATTAAGTCTAGGACCATAGAATTGGACCTTAATACCTCTTATTATACAGCTTGTTCCTAGTGTGCAAATTTTTGTTTGAAATTTTATGGGTACCAAGATCAGTTACCATCACTTACGAATCTAGGATAAATATAGGAATTTCCTATTAATTAGAAAGTTATTGTCATATTTTGCTGTTTCAGGGCAAACAGAGATGGAGGTTTGTCATATTAACCAACAATACCATCATTCCGTCCATAAATGCTTAATCTCTTGGACTTTCAGTCAATCTGTACTGATCTGAAATTTATGTCACTAGAAAAAAAATAGATACACTGCATTGAAGGGGGTCATAGAAATTGATTCTAAAATTAATCAACGCCTTTATTCCTTTGAAGGAAATTTTATGTCCAAGTTAAGCTTTGCTATTACTTTATCTGAAAACGGTCAGTTTACTAAAATTGAGGGCATACTAAAGTGATGACATCATGTCCCCACATGTGTTTCCTCACACGACGTGGTGAAAGAAAAAAAATCAAGATTTCTAAGTCTTGATTGTATCAAACAAAACTAGGTTTTTCAAAATAAAACAAGAGACTTTTTATGAAGATAATAGCAGCATGCTGTATTTACGCAACATGTCCGTTATTGCAAAAAAATGCCAGGTGACAGTAACTGGTCCTCCACCAGTATAGTTACAATAACCTTTGCATTTATTTATTCATAGATCTTATTTCTTACTTCTTAAGTAATACTACAATACATTAATGTTATGGTTGTGATATGAAATTTGACTGACTATATTACTGTTTGGATATTGTCACATACCTGTCAGTGATTTGACATTGGTGAAATACAATGGTACATGTATGTCTAACAACCAAATGATTTTCTTACCTCCTGAGGAGAGAGTGCAGTTGGATTCAATGTAACAACATCAACTTTTGGATATTCTGCCACTTCCTTTGTTTTGGGAATTCCTAAATCTTGAATGGCATCCGTCACTTTTCCTAACATATTTGTCATTCTCTTAAACTTCCTAAAACTAGTCTTGTCTTGTTTGGGTTCGGGTGCTGATAAGGCTGACAAAAACTGCAGAAAATATCAATCATAATAAAAGTAACTAGCAGACTTAATAAACCTTTATTTTACCTTCATTAAATGTACATTTTAATTTTATTTATGTAATGAAGCCCCCTAAAATAGCTTAAGTTCAAAGGAAAAATAGAATAGTACTATATACACCCTAGATACTTTTCACAGTCTTACATTCCAGAAAATTATGCATTCATGAAGAATATTTTTCACACATATTAAACTAAATCAATAGATTAAAAGTTCATAAATTAGCATTAGACATCCTATTTTTGACATCTCTGATCAGATGAAAAATTATTTTAGAAATGAAAAGCTTATCAAAAAAATAATATAGCAAAACCATAATTAACTTTTACCATACAGACATTAGGATACAGTTCAACAGAAAGATCAATCAGAATAAAGATATATATTTTAATACAATACACTAGTATGAAAATAGAATATAAAGGGCAACTAGTGAAAGTAAAAAGCATCTAGCCAGAAATTCTACAGCATGTAACATTTGTATACAATTACAAAAAAGCAAAATTTCATAATACCGCTATGGGCCAACAACATTTTAAACATCGGGTGTTCTAGAATTTCATGATGTTTTTATCTGCATTTGAAAGAGATAACAAAAAGCAGATATATATAACTATATATAAGAGTCAACATCCAGTCTAGATAATTGAGCATCAGTGCGTAATACATTGAAAATTTTTGAGATCTTGCTTTTAATTATGAAAAGTTCAAAGGGCATAGACCTTATTGCTTTTGGGAAATCTGTGACACTTTAACATAGCAGATATTTTCTTTTATGCAGCAAAAAATTACAGGAATGCTATAGATATTAAAATAAGAAAATATTGTATGATTGCCAATGAGACAAAAATCACCAAAACACCAATTTAGGATAAGGACTACAGGTCACCTCACTGCCTTCAAAAATCGGCCAAAAAACCAAGCCAAGATATAAAAGGCCCTGGGATGACAGTGAAACATTTCAAAAGAGATTTCAAATAATGTCAGTAAAATAGTCTACTACAATCATTCAATGCCATAGATATCAAGAGAAAATAATGTATACCTTACAATGATCCTATTGATATTACTTATTAATATTAAGTAAAAGTAAAGTTCGCTATTGAAAATTAAACATTGATTATTGTACTATGAAATCGAGCTCTGACAAGCCATAAATGGATTATCCATCTCTATTAACATTTGAATTACAAATAATTAATGCAATTGCCACTGCTGGATTGTCTCCACTTTAAATTTCTTTAACGGTGGGAGAAGAGTACAATTTTCAGCAACTCCCATGAAATGAGAATGTAAGTTGTATTGATTGAGTACGTATAATCACTCTTAACTTAACCTTATGGAAAGGACTGGACAGGCCAAACACATGGATGGAGAAGTGGACAAAGTGATGACTAGGAGGTAATCAAAATAAATACTAAACAATAAAACAAATACCCTTTGGAAAAAAAATGTTGAAAATAAAAACAATGAAAGAATGTGGACAAAATGGTTCACTGAAGACACTACCAATCAAGATTAAAGAACATTCTCTTCATATGACAATGATTATGCTTCAAGATTTCTTAATTTATACTATATAGCTAAAAAAATAGATGTTAAAGAGTTTAAAATAGCTAGCCTAGCAGCAGGTTACAACACACATCATAAAGTTAGTATCAGAATAGATCACATGATCAGTCATGTGACAACTTACTTCCTCATCAAGTTCACCAACTTTATCTAAGGTTTCCTGTTACATATAAAATTACATTATTTTTATTCAATTGTTTAAGTGTCAAATCGTAAATATACCTACAGAATTGAATCTTACATGTATGTTTCATTTAGAGAAATTTATGTAAACTGTTGTCTTACTAGCAACAAGAACATTTGTACAGTGCATGGGTTGAATCTGAAATATTGGTTTGTTATTTTGAGATAATAAAAACAAAAAAGAAATAAAATTCAAACTGTAGAACAATGTGTAAAAAAATCAATATTCACAACTTTAAAAGAATAACTATAATTAACTTCAGCTACTGCGAGTTTTGTGACAATAATTTGTAGTGATATGTAACTCTTGTGTCAGATCACACTTATCATGTGTGTCAGATCATACTTATCACATGTGTCAGATCACACTCATCACATGTGTAAGTGAAAAAATGTAATTTTTTACAGTGAGCATGATGAATTAAGAGATTGACCCAACATATCATATTTAAACTGATTTTTTTTTTATGAAGAAGAAATTGATGTTAGGATCCAGCCAAAAAACTAAGTAAATACAATTTTTCTATTACTCCTCTTCATGTAAATCATAAAAAAAATATCAGCTTTCCAATTTATTGAAAGTATTTACAAACTTTTGACATCTATAAATGTAGAAATAAATTCAACATCTACATTGATTTTATAGACAGTAAAACTGACATAAAGATTAAGAATTTTGAGGTATATCAATATGATTCTAATTGGATCTGACATTACTATTCTTTCCTCCTAACAATTAACAAAGGAAAAAGAGTGATATTATTATAATGATATTATTCATGCAAGTGATCTGTGTATCAATTAATTTCATGCTATCAATGTTCATTACATAGAAACAGATCTGTTATATATATGTACAAAAAGGTCACATGTCAATCATGTGACAACTTACTTCATCATCCATTTCAACCTCACTACTGCTACTTTCATTTTCCTGTATGTATGTTAAAAAAATCAGTGGCAGTTTGAAAAATAATCAAAAGTGAAATGAGTAACCTGAACAAAATTTCTTCAAATGATTTAACTGTACAAATCAAAAAATCAAAAATAAATTATAGGCAAAACTAATGCATTCACTGAGTATGTGCCTGAGGTCAATATAATCTGTCAGATATTGAGAAAAATATTTTTTCTGCCCCCAATATAAGTTGTACAGGTATTAAAATTACCTTTTTTATATGGACATATTTAAAAATTCTGTATTTAGAGGGTTCCATTTTTAAATACATACTGGGAAAATTAGTATACAACAAAAATTTACACTTTCATATTTTGCTTAAGATCCACACAAGTTTTGAAGTTTCTGATTTCCCCCTATCTTTTTATTTCTAAAAGACTGATATACAAACCTTGAGCTTTTTCTTCTGATGGAAGATAAGGTCTCTGTCAGTAGCTAATTCATCTTTGGAATGATCTGGAGCAAACAGGAGATAATTGAGCCTGTTAATGGCTCGGGATAAGGTTTGAGTAGCTGTCGATTTACCACTCCCAGATGGTCCTGAAAGGATTATACCCTTTCTCATCTCTATGGCCGAGTTCATATGTAACATCTGAAATATAGGTTTTATTTAAGAAATTGCGTTATGTTTTCATGCAAATCCATTTCATTAATTGTTATGTAGAGTTCATACAAAGTAAAAGGTAAGTGCTAGGCAAAATTGAAGCAACAGTATTCATTCACAAAATAGTCTTTTCTGGAAAATAACAGTAAATGGAGATTTGAAACATTTAAAAAAAATCCATTACAAAAAAACTCTGTCATTATATAAACAATATATTACTTACCCTAGCTATCATCTCCTTAGTAAGAACCATATTATCTTCCTTGAACTGTTCCTTCAGAGATTTTACCAGTTCATGGTTATAGACGTGTTCTGATGTTCCTCGTGAACTGGCACACATTGGGAAAGTATCTCTTAAATGGTTCATAAACACAGTTCTATCATCCTCGTCCTCCAGACTCGGAGATATAACAGCTTTCAGAGAGTATACCATACAGTGTTCCTCTAAAGATTTATCAACATCACGGGAGGAATCAGAGCTAGGGGTCTCTCCAACTTCCCCTTCTGAAAAAGTTAAAAACAACATAAATTATTTTAACATTTCAAGTTTTTATGGTTAAACCTGAAATTTAGCATAAAATGGAATGAATTATACAAATATAGAACTTTGTATGATAAAATGTTGATTGTTAGGATATTAAAACATTACACTTTCTCAACAGCAAGGTTTAGTGCAGATGGAAAGTATCAGTTGTTAAAAATCAAACTAAGTTATTTAACAGACTATATATACAAAGGGCAACAATGTTTTTTTTTCATATATATGACTTAAGTCCTTACTCAAATTGAAACTGATATAGCACAGGTATGAGTAGAATGTTTGTGAACTTGTCTAGTCTGTCAACATTTCCACAGGAAAAATTGTGACAAATGCCAGTTACAGATAATTCTCCATATTATTTAGATTTTTTGAAAAAATAGTTATACCTCTCAGTTCTCCAATAAACTTTTCATCCCTCAGTTTTGCAGTAGCAACTTCTGCTAAGTTTTTGATGTCCTTCAATCCAAACTGATACTGCGTTTTTCTTGGAAGCTACAACACACAACATTCACATGCAACCATCAATAATGAATATGATTAAAGGAGATGTTGGGATGTGCAAAACCAAAACAGCAACCCAGAAACAGCAACCCAACAAAAGAAATAAACAAGAACACATGAAGTTAATCATGTGTAATAGTCATATATGGAACATTCATGTTTATGATTTATATGAGTAATAAAATCAAAAGGAGAAAGACTTTCCAATATTTTAAAAACATATTTAACAACAGAAAGGAAAAAAAAACTATTTTCCTTTTACTATTACCTGACACCTTTAAGAAAGCATACAATTTTCTGCATGAGTAGGACAGCATGAGGGTCTGCGAAACATAAGCATGTGTTTAAGAGCATGGGGGATCATATGCTATATAATCATGTGTAGGACAGCATGTGGGTCTGTGTTATATAATCATGTGTAGGACAGCATGAGGGTCTGTGTTACATAATCATGTGTAGGACAGCATGAGGGTCTGTGTTACATAATCATGTGTAGGACAGCATGAGGGTCTGTGTTAAATAATCATGTGTAGGACAGCATGAGGGTCTGTGTTACATAATCATGTGTAGGACAGCATGAGGGTCTGTGTTACATAATCATGTGTAGGACAGCATGAGGGATCATATGTTACATAATCATGTGTAGGACAGCATGAGGGTATGTGCTACATAAGCATGTATTTAAGAGCATTGGGCATCCTGTTACATAAGCATGTATTTTAGAGCATGGGGTCCTATGTTACATAATCATGTGTAGGACAGCATGAAGGTAAGTGTTACATAAGCATGTATATAAGAGCATGGGGCATGCTATGTTACATAATCATCCCTTAGAAAGCATGAGGGTATGCCTGTTGCATAGTCAAGCCTAGGAGAGTATAAGTATCCAAATCATGCATGAGAAAGCATAAGCACTCAAATCATGTCTGGGAAAGCATAAGGATCCATTTCATGCAAAGGAAAGCATAGGGTTCACATGATACATAATAATGTTGGGAGAACATAAGGGTCCATGTGATATATAATCATGCCTTGGGAACAATTAGGGTCTCAGTATCACATGATCATGCCTTACCAGCACAAGGATCCATGTGTTCCATTATTATGCCTTGGAAAGAATAAGGGTCATTACATTACATGATCATGCATTACCAGCACAAGGATCCATGTGTTCCATTATTATGCCTTGGAAAGAATAAGGGTCAGTACATTACATGATCATGCATTACCAGCACAAGGATCCATGTGTTCCATTATTATGCCTTGGAAAGAAGAAGGGTCAGTATGTTACATGATCATGCATTACCAGCATAAGGATCCATGTGTTCCATCATTATGCCTTGGAAAGAATAAGGGTCAGTATGTTACATGATCATGCATTACCAGCATAAGGATCCATGTGTTCCATTATTATGCCTTGGAAAGAATAAGGGTCAGTATGTTACATGATCATGCATTACCAGCATAAGGATCCATGTGTTCCATCATTATGCCTTGGAAAAAATAAGAGTCAGTATGTAACAGGATCATGCCTTACCAGCACAAGGATCCATGTGTTCCATAATTATGCTTTGGAAAGAATAAGGGTCAGTACATTACATGATCATGCATTACCAGCATAAGGATCCATGTGTTCCATTATTATGCATTGGAAAGAATAAGGGTCAGTATGTTACATGATCATGCATTACCAGCATAAGGATCCATGTGTTCCATCATTATGCCTTGGAAAAAATAAGTCAGTATATAACAGGATCATGCCTTACCAGCACAAGGATCCATGTGTTCCATAATTATGCTTTGGAAAGAATAAGGGTCAGTACATTACATGATCATGCATTACCAGCATAAGGATCCATGTGTTCCATTATTATGCCTTGGAAAGAATAAGGGTCAGTACATTACATGATCATGCATTATCAGCACAAGGATCCATGTGTTCCATTATTATGCTTTGGAAAGAATAAGGGTCAGTATGTTACATGATCATGCATTACCAGCATAAGGATCCATGTGTTCCATTTTTATGCCTTGGAAAGAATAAGGGTCAGTATGTTTCATGATCATGCATTACCAGCACAAGGATTCGTGTGTTCCATTATTATGCCTTGGAAAGAATAAGGGTCAGTATGTTACATGATCATGCATTACCATCTCAAGGATTCGTGTGTTCCATTATTATGCCTTGGAAAGAATAAGGGTCAGTATGTTACATGATCATGCATTACCAGCATAAGGATCCATGCTTTATATAATCAAATCTGAGAAAGCATAAAGGTATTTGTGTTGCATAGTGACGTCTATGAAATCATAAGGTTATCTAGTTTGGAATAATCGTGCCTTCAAAATTGTGTTCATTATGATATTAACCTGATTTTTCAACATCTTGAGCATAAAAGTAATTTTCCTAGCCAGTGGTTTATATTCCTGGAAACCATGACAGCACAAAGTTGTTTCTGTTATTATGTAATAATCTGGTACTATAAGAGCACAAGGTCTCAGCAGATTCTGTAATGGAAACAAACAATCATTGAAGAATATGTCACAATCTGTAACTGACTATTACACACTTGTTAACCTAACAAAAAATCATCTCAAACTTTTACCTATCAAATTATAATAACCTTAAATATATTAAAGACAAATGCGATATTTATATTGATTTGATTAACTGATAACATAAACCTTCATCCTGCTCCATTTATTCCATATAGATTCTATAAACTGTTAACACAGAGATATGTCTCGCCTATTTGTTATTTTTATAATGCAAATGTTGAAATTAAAATAGCAATAATTTAACATGTAAAGTTATGCAAATATTCAAAGTCAATGAACCATGACTGAAGGTACAGGGCTAAAAAATCTCCATGGCAATGAGATGTGCCAATGCTAATACAACTGCATACCAAATACAATTGACTTTTTATAAGTCGTTCCCTTTAAACAAACCTAAACACAAACATTAACTTGTAAACTATGTAAAAGTTTCGAAGTCAATGAACCATAATGAAGGGGTGGGGTTATATAATCTCCATGGAAATGAAATTTGCAAATGCCAATACATTTGCATACCAAATATCATTGACTTAACATTAGTGGTTCATCTTAAACTAACCTAATCACAAACTAATACATGTAAACTAAGCAAAAGTTTCAAAGTCAATAGACCATGACTGACGGGTAAGGACCAAATATTTTCCATGGAAATGAGATGTGCTAATGCTTATACAACTGCATACCAATTATCATTGACCTACCACTAACAGTTCCCCTTAAACTGACCTAATCACAAACTAACACATGAAAACTAAGCAAACGTTTCAAAGTCAATAGGCCGTGACTGAGGAGTCGGGTGCCAATATTCTTCATGGAAATGAGATATGCCAATTCTTATACAACTGCATACCAAATATTATTGAATTACCACTAGTTGTTCCCCATAAACTGACCTAATCACAAACTAATACATGTAAACTAAGCAAAGTTTCAAAGTCAATAGACCATGACTGAGGGGGCAGGGCCAAATAATCTCCATGGTAATGAGATGTGCCAATGCTAATACAACTGCATACCAAATATCATTGACCTACCACTAGTGGTTCACCATAAACTAGACCTAATCACAAACTAATACATTGTTGACGCTGCCACCGCCGCCACCGACACAGGAAACAGCATACCTATGTCTTGCTATTTGACTCCCTCAAGGCGAGACAAAAACCACACAGCAAAAGATGCATTATTTCTCCACTATACTGACTGTCAAATTTTCAAATTTCAAAATGAAAGCTTTGTCAAGCCGTTTAACATTTAAAAAATTTAATGATAAACAGTGTGTCCTAAAATTTGTAATAGACAAAAACATTGTTCTGTTGTATGAAGCCTTAACTATCATAATCACCAGACAAAGAGATATTGATTTCTAAGGTTAAGATAAGATATAATTGTGTTATTTTCTATATATCATACCTTAAACACTTCTGGTATATCCACATAACCTGGATTGCTTGTATTTATGGACATGAAACATGAAAAGTTAGCACTGGCTTGGATAAGCTTCCCATTGAACATGATGTTACCGAGCATCTGCTGCTCATATTCTGTTTCCTGGAGAAGCTTGCTATAATCTGGTGCTGTTGACCTTTTGTTTTTACTTTTAACATGTTCTGAAATAAAACAGGATCAAATATAAGTTTAGAAAAAAATAAGCAAACATGCATGACTCAAACACTAGTTAAAGAAAATAGTTGAATTTTATGAAGTCAATGCAGTTCAGAAGATAAAAAATGTTCGGTTCAGAATCATCCTTTCTAATAAACATGTATTTCTTCTGTTTACTTAAAACCTTCTTTTATGACAGAAATCCTTTCAATTGTTCTTCATCAAATGTTCAAAATCTGTTTCCAATGTTGAAGTCCATAGAAAAGGTGTATTGACTTAAGTATGAGTATTTACAGATCTATCTACAATTATAGTATTTAACTCAACATATATTTTTTTTAGAGTGAAACATTTTGGTTATAGAAACAAAATAAAACAAAACGAAATGAAAAAGACTGATCAATGAAACAATTTTAAGACAAAAATGCCACATAAGATAAAGTCAACGAAACAGCAATTAGTAAACGAAATGGACATTTACAGGTCGTTTGTTATTATATAATCTGTGCAGTTTTTAGATGTGCTTCAATAACAACAAAGGTGAAAGAAACAATTAGGTAATGATAATTCAGGGTATGTTCTTACCTAATATTTCATCTAGAAATAAATATAATTTGTTGTCAATCATTTCAAAACACAATAGTTCTTACCTAATATTTCATCTAGAAATAAGTATAACTTGTTATGAATCATTTCCAAACACAATATTTGAATGTAAATTTTAGAAATAATTGTAATATAAAATTTCATAGGATTAACAAGTGAAACTGCGAGCTACTGCTCACTGATGATACCCCCGCCCAAATACTTCGTTTAACAGGAAGTTGTTGAGTGATGAATCTGAAAACGCATCACACGGTATAGCTAACTTATATAAACCCTGAAACAACATTTCAGAAATCCTTATGATGTAGTTCCTGAGAAAGCTGCGACGAAAAATATTCATGGCTTAAGGCAATCATTGTTTTTATTGAGTGAGCTATTCTACTTTGTGTCACATCACCCATAAAAGTTTCTTTTTCATTAAAAATTATTTTTAACAACAATCAGGAGTTAAAATTTGTATGACAAGTCTCCAAGGTATAAATCTTATTCAACTTCAATTGCATAAAACTGTCTAAATAATTTTCAAACAATTCTTTTATGTAGAAACAAATCATATCAGCACAAATGTAGATGGAGTCACTACACACATGCCCAAAGCTATTGCTCATATAGTTAGGTTTGTTCTTCATTTCAGTTATAGTAAATGCAACAAAATAATTAATGTTTCTTTTGATCAAATGAAGATATTTTTAAGTATTTGGAACACACAGTGATCTCTTCCTTTTCTATCATAATGTTATATATTCCTAACATGACGGCAATATTTTTTCTATATTTTTATATTTTTTTCGTTATGTATCACGACTTTCACTGATCACTTTACATGTCCAGGTAGCTATTCACATAATAACAATATGGTATTTGAAGATCTATAACAATCAATTTAATATTGGACAGTTTAAAAAGCTATTTTAATGTCAATGAGATTCAGAGCTAGTAGTTCAGATATTAGGATCCTTCAAATCCTAAACTGATGGCAGCAACTCTTTTAATACAGTACTGTTATTCCTATTCTTATGCATTTAAAAAAAATTACATTTAACCTGGAAAATGATAAAATATCCAAAAAAAACAAAAGTACAACAAAACACTGTTTGATGACTACGGTGATATACAAAGCACACCAAAACATGTTATCATATGAATGGAAACTTTCAAACACTATTTGGTTACATGCCCACAATTTTGAAAACATCTGATTTGAAGTGTGTTTATGACAGAGGTGGTGTTTTCTTTTTATCACACTGTAGATTGAACATGTTAAGTATCGGGAAGTCAACATGTTAAATAGCAGATAGTTAAACATTTTTTTACTCAAATTACTTTTGATTAATAATAGACATCCGAGTTATAAAAACATATTATACCATAGAACAATGGAGGTGGTCTGTTATTCTTGTATAAGTCTGATTCTTTTATCTCTATTTCTTTCTCGATTGAATGTCTTCTTCTTCTATCTTTTTCTGAAACCCAGGCATCTTCAAAATATGTCACTAGACCTTTCTCCTGTTGAAAATTAAATAAAAACATCAAATGACATATTCATATGTAGAAATTGTTTTTAAATTTTTGTAACTTATATTTGTAAGAAAGAGCTAAGTAAAAAGCCTTTGAAAATGCATGAAAAACATAAATGGCACAAGCTAAGCATAAAATATAGATCATGATGATCTAAATACAATTGATTAAAAAAGTGAGTTTACAATAAAAGAATGTTGTGGTTAACATTGAAGTTGAACCAACGTCACGGTGATCCATGTGTCGTTGAATCCCATAGAGCAATAAAATATCAATGATGTAAATGGGTTTTGAGATATAGAATGAAAATTTCATGAGTCACCCAAGTGTAACATCTTTGAACTGTTATAAACCATCTCAGAGGAATATAGTACTTTATATCTTTTTAGCATTTACTCAATCTATTTAGTCTCCCATTTGAATAATTGTACAACAGTGCCTCAACTGGAGCTGACATCATATAAATGTTCTTATATTGGACTCCAAGGTACTTGAAAAACAGTATTATAATCCTTATTTTCTATGGTAGACTTCTAGGCAGGGAATGATACAGTTTTCAGTCTAATTAAATGTTAGAGGTGTAGGCATGGGAGAAAGGGTTTTTATTATGTACTTACATTGAATCCATGAGGCACAGTATTTTGTCTCTCTGTTTTCATAGAAGCTGTTGGCAGAGGATGAAGTGTTGTCAGAGAATTTCTGCGTATAACTTTGTCACCAATGCCTGCTTTCTGTAAATATTAGACAGTATGAATAAAAAATCTCAATAAATATGTGGCTATTTGAAATTAAAAAAAAAAAATCATTTAAGTTTGCCAAAAATATTAATCCATTTTATCTATTTTATCCTATACTATTATTCATTAAATTAAATCAAAACAAATATTTTTAAGAATGTTGTTATTTTGGAAAAGCAGCTATGTATCTCAGAATACATTAAAGTAAATTGTTTGGGGAAAAAGATCTTTATCTCTCAGAATCTCATAAACTATCAACAACAGTTTTATATATTGTATGTGGTAAGAGTTCATTTAAATAAATCAAACTGTCACTAAGAATTTTCTGTGCAACTTGCAAAAGATTTATTGTTGTTTTAATTCCCTACAAAAAAATGTATTAAAAATTCATCCAGTTTGAAAAGCTGTTCACTGTAAAAGCAAGCTAGCTAGCATTATGGTGATTTTTTATGCTAAATATATCATTTATCTATCAGCGCAGAAATATTTGTTACAAAATCTATGTGTGATAATCTCTCATAGCATGAATTAAACACTGCTGATATTGTCTATTTGTGAACTCAAAAATCAGTTTTTATATATCATGCATAGGGCCAATTAATATTAACATCTTTACATTCCGTTAATTGGTTTTTTACCACCCTTACTTAACTTTATATTCTTTACAACAGAAAACATTTAACTGTTCACACAACAGAAAACATTTAACTGTTCAGACAACAGAAAACATTTAACTGTTCACACAACAGAAAACATTTAACTGTTCTCACAACAGAAAACATTTAACTGTTCACACAACAGAAAACATTTAACTGTTCACACAACAGAAAACATTTAACTGTTCACACAACAGAAAACATTTAACTGTTCACACAACAGAAAACATTTAACTGTTCACACAACAGAAAACATTTAACTGTTCACACAACAGAAAACATTTAACTGTTCACACAACAGAAAACATTTAACTGTTCACACAACAGAAAACATTTAACTGTTCACACAACAGAAAACATTTAACTGTTCACACAACAGAAAACATTTAACTGTTCACCATTTTTTGCAAGTGATCAATTCTATTTAGATAGTTACAGGAACATAAAAAAAAACTGATAGCTGTTGAACATATTGAAATCAAAACTGTCAAGAACAAACATTAAGAATTCTTAGGTGTAGTTACCTCGTTGCTTTACTTTCATTCATTAATTTCAAAATTTTACAAATTTTACGACCTCTATATCTTTTTAAAAGTCATGACCACTTGCAAGAAAACAGGTCGAATGGTTTCTGGTGAAAAGTACACTGTAAGTGTAATGTAAAAACTTAGAAAATTGTAAAAATAAGCTGATCTTAATATTCCTTGGCCTAAGCAGTAAGACTCAATCTGGCTGTTCTAAATAAGGGAGATAACTGGCAATAAAGCTGATATCCTACAATAAAACACTGACATACCACTGAATACATCTGTAAATCAAATCAGTAATAAATATTATAAGGGGAGATAACAAAGGTTACTAAGTTAGTCAGTATCCATGAATATATAAGATAAAATTGGATTTATTCACAAAAATATTAAAATTGCTACAAAAAAGATTAACAAGGAAATGAAATTAGTTCAGATTATCAGACAATGGCATAAATATTTCGGAAGCAAATATAAAACTGAATTAAATAAAAAAGAAATTGTTATGCATTTCAACATGTTAAATAATTAATAGGACATAAAAAATAAGCTTAATAATATATAGTTCTTAATAATATATAGTTCTAATTACAGTAAAACTGAATCTCAATGTAATGAACATGAACAACAAATGCACAATAACCCACACTTCTTACCAGACATTAACAATTTTCAAAGTAGCTTCAAACATGGAATGACAGCCTAGCAGATCTAAAAATTGCTTTCATTATCATGATAATACAACTAAACATTATAAACTTCTTGACCAAATATCGTTCATCTTTCATATAGTAACTGAGTAATATGCTATAAAATGTACAGGTGAAAATAGGGACAGACTGAGCAGATGGACAAGGGTCTTATATCACCTATACGATGAGTGGGGTATAATTATCTTAAATTATTATTAGTTTTACATGTGTTCAAGGTTTTACTGTAATTTCTTTGTTAGTAGAAACATATTTTAACTAAGCAGTACAAGTGGATATTTTAACACTTACTTTATCAAATCTTGGTTGACCTCTTATCTTGTACTGATTTTCACTACAGACTTGTAATGTCTTCAGGGCAGTCCTGATGTAATCAAAGTGCTGAGCTGTTACAGACATCAAACCTGTAATATAAAAAATATAAATTAGCTGCTGCATATCAAATCATTGTTTGCTCTTTTGCTTGTTTGCCTTTAAAGACAAACTGCTGTTATATATCAAAACAAAATGCTCTTCATATGAATAACAATAGTATTTTCTAATTCTTTTCAGAAATTAATGACTTTCTATACACTGACCTTGTAAACCAGCTTACTATCACTATATATAGCATAATTAAAGGAAGGCCTTCATTTTGTGGACAATTAAGCCCTGTGAGCTAATTCTCACTAATTACTTTTACTGTGGAATCATAGACTTTCATGGATACCAATTTTTGTTGATTGAGGGAATACTTTGTGGATATTCTATGTCATGGTTTACCCAAAATCTACATATATACCAATAGAAAATTATTTGTACTCTGTTGTACATTTAAATTTGTGGTTTACCTATACACCAACAAATTAGAATCCAACAAATAATAATGATTCACAATCAATCTTATGTTAGTCTGTCTGTATCATCAAACAGGACACCAGTCCCTGACTGTACCATGCCTTACCTCTGGTTAGTCTGCCAGTATCATCAAACAGGACACCAGTCCCTGACTGTACCATGTCTTACCTCTGGTTAGTCTGCCAGTATCATCAAACAGGACACCAGTCCCTGACTGTACCATGCCTTACCTTTGGTTAGTCTGTCAGTATCATCAAACAGGACACCAGTCCCTGACTGTACCATGCCTTACCTCTAGTTAGTCTGTCAGTATCATCAAACAGGACACCAGTCCCTGATTGTACCATGCCTTACCTCTAGTTAGTCTGTCTGTATCATCAAACAGGACACAAGTCCCTGACTGTACCATGCCTTACCTCTGGTTAGTCTGTCAGTATCATCAAACAGGACACCAGTCCCTGACTGTACCATGTCTTACCTCTGGTTAGTCTGCCAGTATCATCAAACAGGACACCAGTCCCTGACTGTACCATGTCTTACCTCTGGTTAGTCTGCCAGTATCATCAAACAGGACACCAGTCCCTGACTGTACCATGCCTTACCTTTGGTTAGTCTGTCAGTATCATCAAACAGGACACCAGTCCCTGACTGTACCATGCCTTACCTCTAGTTAGTCTGTCAGTATCATCAAACAGGACACCAGTCCCTGACTGTACCATGCCTTACCTCTAGTTAGTCTGTCTGTATCATCAAACAGGACACAAGTCCCTGACTGTACCATGCCTTACCTCTAGTTAGTCTGTCAGTATCATCAAACAGGACACCAGTCCCTGACTGTACCATGCCTTACCTCTAGTTAGTCTGTCAGTATCATCAAACAGGACACCAGTCCCTGACTGTACCTTGCCTTACCTCTAGTAAGTCTGTATCATCAAACAGGACACCAGTCTGTGACTGAACCATGCCTTACCTCTAGTAGGTCTGTCTGTATCATCAAACAGGACACCAGTCCCTGACTGTACCATGCCTTACCTGTAGTTTGTCTGTATCCTCAAACTGGACACCAGTCCCTGACTGTACCATGCCTTACCTGTAGTTTGTCTGTATCATCAAACAGGACACCAGTTCCTGACTGTACCATGCCTTACCTCTAGTTAGTCTGTCTGTATCATCAAACAGGACACCAGTCCCTGACTGTATCATGTCTTACCTCTAGATAGTCTGTATCATCAAACAGGACACCAGTCCCTGACTGTACCTTGCCTTACCTCTAGTTAGTCTGTATCATCAAACAGGACACCAGTCCCTGACTGTACCATGCCTTACCTCTAGTTAGTCTGTCTGTATCATCAAACAGGACACCAGTCCCTGACTGTACCATGCCTTACCTCTGGTTAGTCTGTCTGTATCATTAAACAGGACACCAGTCCCTGACTGTACTATGCCTTACCTCTAGTTAGTCTGTCTGTATCATCAAACAGGACACCAGTTCCTGACTGTACCATGCCCATCATGTACTGAGTCATCATTGGCAGTGTAATGTCTTCATTACAATTGACAGTTACGAGATTTCTACCAAATAACTACAAAATATTTCAATTGACAATTTGTTATGCATGATTTTAAACATGACTAAAGACAAGAGTGCACACACTGAAATGTCTCTCCTGCTTTATTGACCATTGATTTTATGTTCTTATGATCTTAAAGATAACTGTTTTACTACAAGTATCACATAAACTTAATATTTTTAAAGATCCATGACAATGAGGTCAAGGTCAGATAAATCCTGTCAGACAGACAAGTCAGGAGCCTGTAATTCAGTGGTTGTTGTTTGTTGCTGTATATCATATTTGTTTTTTGTTCATTATTTTTTACATAAATCAGGCCATTAGTTTTCTCGTTTGAATTGTTTTACATTTGTCATTTTGGGGCCTTTTATAGCTGACTATGTGGTATGGGTTTTACTCATTGTTGAAGGTATTATGGTGACCTATAGTTGTTTATGTCTGTGTCATTTGGTCTCTTGTGAAGAGTTGTCTTATTGGCAATCATACCACATCTTATTTTTATATGTACACCTTACAATCATTCCATTCACCAAACATAACTGACCTATTGCTATAAGTATTTGAAAGAGACCTATACAGATAGGTTACACCACCACCGCATAGTAATCTCTATGTCTTGCATACTGCAAATTTCATCACAGGCGAGACAATAACTATCAACACAAGTGCACACCCTGAAATTTTTAACCTGCTCTATTGATTATGATTGAAATATAGTCCATTTATTAGTAAAATATGGATAAATAAAAAAAAAAGAGATATTTTCAAATGTTTGCTCAAGATGCAAACTCGTCTGTCCAATTAGGGGACACATCAATGATTCCAGCCATCACAGCCTTAAAAAAAATGAAGCTTATAAATCTCAATTCTGCTTAAATAGTTCAAAGTGTAATTCAGAGATTACAGATCATTAGAGCAATACAGTAAAACTTCATTAGTTATAGGCATCAAACAGCAATACAATGCACCTTTATCAGTTTTCAAGAGTTTATACACATCTAAAGGCAATAAATACCACATACTTTCATCAGTTCCTTAACTGTTTCTGATTTGCCAACACTAGCTGGTCCAATCAGGGTGGCACATTGGAAGTATTTAAGAGCCTGTGTCAAAGATAAGAAGGCTCTGTCTGTCAATGGTGTAAGAACCAGTCTCTGTATTGGACCTTGATATTCATAATCATAACTAAACTGGTTCCCTAGCTGTTGGAGATAACACAGACTAAAATGGTAATCTGTGGATACAGTTGTCTTAGTCCTGGTCAGTATTGGTGGTTCTTCTACAAAGAAAATAAACTTCTACTTCAAAATAAACTTCTACTTCAAAATACACTTCTACCTCAAAATACACTTCTACCTCAAAATACACTTCTACTTCAAAATACACTTCTACTTCAAAATACACTTCTACTTCAAAATACACTTCTATTTTAAAATTTTATGAACTTTAATATGGTGAAAATTCTATCAGTTTTATACTTGATCGGTATTTTATATGAACCTGTATTTATAATTTAAGTGTTCCATACCCGCCAACTTTTTCAAATTCTCCATGTTAGATTTTAAGCACAAGGGGACCTAATGCATCTCTTATTCATTTTCACTCCTTCGAATGTCTGTTTTGAAATACTATAAACCAACTTTTTTTCCTGATACTTTATTTTGTGTATCATCATTTCCATCGATTATTTTTTCAATAATTTAAATAATCTCTAAATTTATTCAAATTTTCAAACTTATCATATGCTCGGGGCTATAACAAAATAAGAGTGCACATGCTGAAATGTCTCGCCTTCTTTACTAATCATTGATATTATGCTGATAATCCTAAATATAAAGTTTTACTACAACTATCACTTAAACTTAACATGATCCAAGAAAATGAGGTCAAGGTCATATAAACCAAACAAGAAATACATGTACACCTTACAATCATTCAATACACTAAATATAGTTGACCTATTGCTTATAGTTTCTAAGATACAGACTTAATCATGAAAACTAAACATTGACCAATGAACCATGAAAATGAGGTCAAGGTCAGATGAACCATGCCAGGCAGACATGTACAGCTTGCAATCCTTTCATACAACAAATATAGTTGACCTATTGCTTATAGTATTAGAAAAACAGACCAAAACACAAAAACTTAACACTGAGCAATGAACCGTGAAAATGAGGTCAAGGTCAAATAAAAACCTCAAGACTGACATGTACATCATAAAATATTTCCATACACCAAATATAGTTGACCTATTGCATATAGTATTAGAAAAAAAGACCAAAACTCAAAAACTTAACTTTGACCACTGAACCATGAAAATGAGGTCAAGGTCAGAAGACACCTGCCAGCTAGACATGTACATCTTACAATCATTCCATACACCAAATATAGTAGACCTTTAGCATACAGTATAAGAAAAACAGACCAAAACACAAAAACTTAACTATAATCACTGAACAATGAAAATAAGGTCAAGGTCAGATGACACCTGCCAGTTGGATATGTACACCTTACAGTCCTTCCATACACCAAATATGCTAGACCTATTACTTCTAGTATCTGAGATATGGACTTGACCACCAAAACTTAACCTTGTTCACTGATCCATAAAACGAGGTTGAGGTCAAGTGAAAACTGTCTGACGGGCATGAGGACCTTGCAAGGTACGCACATACCAAATATAGTTATCCTATTACTCATTATAAGAGAGAAATTAACATTACAAAAAATCTTTTTTTCAAGTAGTCATTGAACCATGAAAATGAGGTCAAGGACAATGGACATGTGACAGATGGAAACTTCGTAACATAAGGCATCTATATACAAAGTATGGCGCATCCAGATCTTCCACCTTCTAAAATATAAAGCCTTTAAGAAGTTAGCTAACGCTGCCGCCGCTGCCGGATCACTATCCTATGTCAAGCTTTCTGCGACAAAAGTCGCAGGCTCAACAAAAATGGAAGTAGTAGACAGAGGGACAGACTGAAAAACAGGTGAACAGACAAGGTCATTGAAGTATACCACCACTCCATAAGTAGGGTATAATAAATTCATTTTTTTTTTTATATAAGACCAAGTTCTCCTAACATCGATATAGGTGAAATACGCATATTCAGAATTTTGCACAAAGAAATAAGGTCAGAGATAAAGCCCCATGTAAAGTGGAAACCAAAAAACACTTGAATTTAATCCTCGGTTATTAAATTTGTTTGCATAAGAGCCTTGAAGTTGAAACTACGAACGATAATGTGTATCCTGTCAACCCTTAAAAAATAATACTGTCTACTTCCGCCGGCCATGAACTGAATTTTTATCTATTGTTATAGAATATGTTAATTACAATTCTTTACTTGATTATCACTAATTAGTGTAGAACAAACCTAAGGTTGCCTCAACTCTTGGTTTGGCAAGAGTTGTCTTTCTTATTCTACTTCCTTTCCTTCCTACTTGAAATGGATGTACCTCTACATCTACAGCCTCAGTCTTAGCTCGGAGGACTGTATGGATGTCCATACGATACCGCAGACTGGCCTGCCATTCAAAGTTGTTTTCTTCTTCAGTTCCATCAGCAATCATTTCTACAACAAAATTATATATAGTATGTAAAAACAATGTGAAATGTTGGATATACATGAATGGGACAACAACCCAACAACACCAACAACCAAAGTGTCAATCAAAAAGTAAATGTACTGCAAAACTAAGCTCTTTCTTATTCACTTTTTAATTAATAATCATTTTTATGATTTGTCTGCAGGCTTGTTTTTTCTATTCTCAATGATAAAGAACTTTTAATGAAGCTGCCAAAAATGAAATATAAAATAAATTTGTATTAAAATTAAAATATAAAATACACAAATTATGTTTATAATTCTAACTAAAAATGAATACCAGTGTTATATTTAAATTTCAACATGCAGCATTCAATTGTAAGTGGATTCATTATCAATGTTTTTTCAAGTGGCCATAACCCTAATTATATACGTCAGTAAAATCTCCTAAGAGAAATCTAAGAAGATTGGTGGACAAATGATATAGTTAGACAGGTTTGTATCTTATATATACAACAACTTACTATCTAGCATATCCCTCTGATGTAGTGTCTGTTTTATTAAATTACACAATAACACACTCAATCGTTTCATGACATCTTCTGCAACATTTCCTTTCATACCATAAGTCTCTCTAAGTACTTCTACATACTGGTCTAACTTGGAGGTTGTGTTCTTCCTAGCATCACATGAAGTTACATTAAAATAACAATTTTATACACTGGTCCAACCAGGAGATAGTATTCAGCCTATTATAACACATGAAGTTACATAGAAAAAATAATTCTGGTTTCACATGGTATCAATTATAGCATAAGGTATCTTTGTTACATTCAAATGAAAATCCTGGTAATATCGTATAAATATCTTAAAACAGTGTAAGTATCATAGTTTTACTAGTGTTAATTCTTATTTGTTAACAGTATGAAAACAATAGTAGTGATGATGTAATAATAATAGAATGGATGCTATTAATGAAACAATCTTCAACAGGCTTTGACAAATGAAACTTTATACCTTTAATCTCTTTTAAACAAAACAAGTAAAGTAAAGTCTAGCAAAAGTTGTCTTCATTAAATTCAATTCTTGAATGCTTCTTTTAAAAATATTAAATAAGTAATGCGTTACCTCAAAAATTTCATTTCTTCAATGTCTGCCTTCTCAAAACATTTAGTAACTGATCTTGCCCAGAGGATAGCTTCAGACACTAGGACACACTGTACAGGGAAGCGTAGCAGCCAGTGACGGAATGTCTGTTTAATGTCGGTTGTTATCTCATGTTCTCTAGGTGTTAATGGTTTATTCAACTTGGCTAACTCTTCTAACAGATGAATTGGCTGTCGAGATCCTGAAGAGAATCATTGTTATTTGAGTACACAGACATTTTATTTATATTACTTGTTGACTCTGTTACTATTTCTGTACAAAAGATAATGTTTTTTTTTGTAATAGTTCTCTCTCTCTCTCTCTTTCTCTCTCTCTCTCTCTCTCACTAAAACTGTAAGAAGCCAAACTTCTCCATACAGTAAAATTTCTATTTCTAGAAAAAAGTTTTACGCAAGGAACTCTTCAGTACTGGAAACCTTGTCATGATTTTGATGAAACTAATTCCTCTATTATTTTTTTTTCACAGTAATTTGTAATTTTTTTCATATTTTTTTTAAATTTTATTTATCTGATTTTATAAGGTCTGAGTCCTTAATCTTGCACAAAGTATTAGTAATTACAAATGATATTAAATGTGTTTTTAATATCTATTCATATTAAGTAACTTTATGATAAACAATTTTACCCTTGGTTAGAACTATAGAAGAAACAATTTAACCCTTGGTTAAGAAACCTAAAGATATGCAATCTAACCCTTTGTTAAGAAACTAAAAGATAAAAAAATTAACCCTTGGTTAAGTTACTGTGAGATAAACAATTCAACCTTTGGGTAAGTTACTATAAGATAAACAATTCAATCCTTGGTTAAGTTACTATAAGATAAACAATTTAACCCTTGGTAAAGAAACTAAACTATAAACATTTTAACCCTTGGTTAAGTTACTATAAGATAAACAATTTCACCTTTGAGTAAGTTACTAAAAGATAAACAATTTAATCCTTGGTTAAGAAACTAAAAGATAAACAATTCAACCTCTGAGTAAGTTACTAAAAGATAAACAATTTAATCATTGGTTAAGAAATTAAAAGATAAACAATTTAACCTTTGAGTAAGTTACTATAAGATAAACAATTCAACTTTTGGTTAAGTTACTATAAGATAAACAATTTAACCCTTGGTAAAGAAACTAAACTATAAACAATTTAACCCTTGGTTAAGTTACTATAAGATAAACAATTTCACCTTTAAGTAAGTTACTAAAAGAAAAACAATTCAACCTTTGGGTAAGTTACTATAAGATAAACAATTTTTTGGACTGGGTTCCACCAAGGGTTAAATTTTACAAGAAGTAACCAGATCCTAGTGTATAAACAATCCCTATCTATCCTCCATTTTGGCTTGTACAAAGCATAGTAAAATGGTGGCTTTTACAAAAATCTACTTTAATACCTTCTTCCATCCTAGCTTGTACACAGCATTGAAGAATGATGGTCATGGTATTTTTCATGTTCTGTTCCAGACATTTAAGCCATTTGGTTGCCTTTTGATGTGCCTGTACTCTGACGAAGAATGGTACATCTTCTTCCAATAATCCCTTAACTCCTGTTAATTCCAGTTTGTCAGCTGAAATTATAACAAAAAAGCATCTGAATGAAATCTCAATTAAAATCTAATCAAAATGATTTTAATTGTATCTAAATAATCACATTTATCTTTCTAAATAAATAGACTCTTGTTTATGATCTATACTTATATCATCTAGCCTACTGAACAGAAAAATATTGTTATATTCTCATATTATGAATTTGCTGTCATAGGTTATGTGACTTGTCATAAATTATTTGTTTATTTGTAATTGTTATATCATAAACATTTTCTAATTATAGAACCAATTTAGACAAATAATCTTTACCATTTAATGCAAAATCCAAATTAGTATTCATGCTTGCTATGCCAGAAGGTAAAGCATAACTCAGATCTTGTATTCCAGGGAAAACTTTCATAGCACAGTCTTGCAAAGCTTTTGGGTTTCTAGATATACCCAGAACTTCAACCAATTCTTCATTGCTGATGAAATAAAGACGTGGAAACTCCATACGAGATAGTCCCATAAGTGTTTCAAGGTCCTTCAGGATTTCTTCCTTAGACTGAATCAAACTAAGAAATAACGTGCGGAGGTTATCTCCCTGTAAAAGTCTGTAACCTTTTTCTCCACGCTTTCTGTTGACAACGGTTAAAACTTTGGAATCATTGGAAACTACTCTCATCCAATCCTAAAAATAAAAGACAGCCATTTAAATGTTCAAAGATTTTAATCATACAATATTTTAATTACAAATTTAATGCATGAGTTTCAGTGAAAAGTCCTACAAAGACTTGTTTGAAGTCATAGATATCTAAAAATTCTAAAGTCAATGATATCTACTATGCACATTCTATAGTAAAATATAACTGATAGTAAGCATTTCAAAAAGAAAAGTACATATACAGACCTATATAATCATAATAATTATCTTTATTTCGAGAGAGTAGCTTAATTAGTACGAACACTATTCTCCTTTGAGACCCTCACAATCCACTCACAATGTATCACAAATAGTCTATGTAATCAAGACAATATTATAAATATATCAACACAGCATGCAACAATTGCAAATCTACAATTTATGGTCGCACAGTGTAAGTGTTTGTAATGCTCTACAAAGGAGTAGCCTCAAGAAAGGGTCAACACTTACCCTAAAATTCAGTAAAATTGAATTTCAGTAATTATAGTATACATTTGTTAAAAAATATATGTAAATATTGTGGTAAATATAAAGTCGACAAGCTCTGGTGCATCCAAACAATACTAATATCATTATGAAGTTATATCTTACTTTAAACTGTTTGTGAACATTCTCAAACTTTGAATTCTGTCCACCAAATTTTTTATACAAATCAGGCCTTTCAAACACTTTGAGAAGATACAGCCACTGAAAAAGAATTTATAAATCCTTAAAAGTATTGATCTAAAATGTGTTCGTATTTCAATAAGATTTGAAATATTACATTAATTCCATGTTAAATAACACAATTAAGATGTTATAATTTTTCAAAAATATTCACTTGCTTGTGAAAAAACTATAAGTATGCAAATTAAATTGAAGTATTTAAAAGCTGTTAGTCAGCAGAGAACATTAATCCCAGTTGTCAGACTGAATGGTGAGCCATAGGTCTATGCAAATTATTTCCTGCCTTTTTCTGGCAGATGATACTCACCAGGTGTGAAGTTCTTACCTTTTTTCTCCAGGTGAACTCCTGGCAAATTATTTCCTTTCTTTTTTTGACAGATATACACACCAGGGCTGATATGCATAAAACCACTTAAGTTAAGATATCCATTCGTAGTACTAATTTATCGTAGGACATGAAGAAAAATCTGTCCGTTCGGAACAAATCTTAACTTAAGTAGTTTTATGCATATCAGCCCAGGTTTATGCATATCAGCCCAGGTATGTAATTCTTATCTTTTTTCTCCAGGTGAATCATCACTTGCAAATTATTTCCTTCCTTTTTCTTACAGATAAACCACAGGCCTTTTATTGCTTTCTATTCTGACAGGTGAACCAAAGGTCTGCAATTACCTACCTTTTAAGACAGTTGAATGCAAGGCAAGACAAGTATCCACTAGAGTTCAAATAAATTGGATGTAAGCAATTATAGGCAACCACATGGCCTTCAACAATGAAAACCCCATGCCATAAAGTTGGCTATTATTTCTATCTTTTTCTGATAGGTGAACTACAGGCCAGACATTTTTCTACCATTTTCTGACAGGTGAACTACAGGCTGGTTATTTTCTACCATTTTCTGACAGAACTACAGGCCAGTTATTTTCTACCCTTTTCTGACAGGTGAACTACAGGCCTGTTATTTTCTACCATTTTCTGATAGGACTACAGGCCAGTTATTTTCTACCCTTTTGGGACAGGTGAACTATAGGCCTGTTATTCCCTACCCTTTTCTGACAGGTGAACTACCATATAAAAATAAGGAGATGTGGCATGATTGCCAAAGAGACAACTATCCACCAAAGTTCAAATGAAGCGGATGTAAACAATTATAGGCAAACATACAGCCTCCAAAAATGAGAAAACCCCAAGGTTGGCTATAAAAGGCCTGTTATTTCTACCCTTTTCTGACAGGTGAATTACAGGCTAGTTATTTTCTACCCTTTTCTGACAAAAGAACTACAAGCCAGTTATTTTCTACCCTTTTCTGACAGGTTAATTATATGTCTGAATTTCGTTCCTTTTTCTGACAGGTTAACCTTAGGTATTTTTTTCTACCTTTTCTGACAGGTGAACCTGAGGTTTATTAAGTTCTACCTTTTTATGACAGGTTAACCTTAGGTATTAATTCCAACCTTTTTCTGATAGTTGAACCCGAGGTCTATTGTGTTCTACCTTTTTCTGACAGGCTAACCTTGGGTCTATTAACTCCTACCTTTTGCTGACAGGCTAACCTTGGGTCTATTAACTCCTACCTTTTTCTGACAGGCTAACCTTGGGTCTATTAACTCCTACCCTTTTCTGACAGGCTAACCTTGGGTCTATTAACTCCTACCCTTTTCTGACAGGCTAACCTGGGGTCTATTAACTCCTACCCTTTTCTGACAGGCTAACCCTGGGTCTATTAGCTCCTACCCTTTTCTGACAGGCTAACCTTGGGTCTATTAACTCCTACCCTTTTCTGACAGGCTAACCTTGGGTCTATTAACTCCTACCCTTTTCTGACAGGCTAACCTTGGGTCTATCAACTCCTACCTTTTTCTGACAGGCTAAACTTGGGTCTATTAACTCCTACCCTTTTCTGACATATGAACTACAGGCCTATTACTTCCTACCATTTTTAAATAGGTGAACCACAGGCCGAATAGTTCTTCTACCTGCTGTAGAGAACTGTTCCAAAATTATACTGTCTCATCTCTCCCAGATAAGGTGACTAACATGTCAAGAGTAGGCCTATTGCTTCTTACCCTTTTCTGACATTTTAACCATATTTCCTACCTTTTTCTGACACAATAAACTTAGGTCTATCATTTCCTACCTTTTTCTGGCAGATGAACCACAGGTCTGTTATTTCCTACCTTTTTCTGACAGGTGAACCACAGGTCTGTTATTTCCTACCTTTTTCTGACAGGTGAATCACAGGTCTGTTATTTCCTACCTTTTTCTGGAAGGTGAACCACAGGTGTATTATTTCCTACCTTTTTCTGACAGGTGTACCACAGGTCTGTTATTTCCTACCTTTTTCTGACAGGTGAACCACAGGTGTATTATTTCCTACCTTTTTCTGACAGGTGTACCACAGGTCTGTTATTTCTTCCACCTGTTGTAGAGAACTGTTCCAAAATTCTACTGAATGTCTCATGTCACCAAGATAAGGTGATTGCATCATTCCCTTTATACTGATACGAGTATCCTACAACAAAAATAGGAATATCAATATATGCTAATTATGTGTATGTTTTTTTGCCAAGAGGTTAGAGGTTGTTATATATACATACCATCCAAGACAGGAGATTTCATTTTTTGCATAATCTATCTTCCAAGAAAACTTATGCTTAAATCAAATATTGTGGTATGAAATATTGCAAAGGTAATAATGAACATCTTAAAACGACTGCCTTGAAACCCTTTTCTTTTGTATCATACAGTAATCCAAGAGACGATCATTATTTTTTTTTAACATTTGACTATTAATTTCCTTTATACCTTTATTAATTTTTTAACATTTGACTTATAATTTCCTTTCTTTTACTAATTTTTTAACATTTGACTTTAATATCCTAACATTTTTTATTATTGTTTAACATATAACTTTAACTTTCCTTACCTGTAACTGATATTTGAGCTCATCCACTTCAATAAGTTTATAGAAATCATCTTCGGCTACATTCATTCCTTTAGGGGTTCCTACCAAAGCAGCAGCTCTTTCTTGGCGGTACTTCTCTAACTTTGTACGGCGACGTGGACTTGATGGCTTCTTGGGAGGTTCTAGAATTGAATAAATACTAATAGTAATTTGGTAGAGAGATTCAGAATGATAGTAATAACAAATCAACCAAGTAATATCAGTGTTACAAAAGAATTTAGTGGAAGTCAAAATAAAGAAGGATAAACTAGAAATGTGTAAAGTGATATAAGATGATCTTTCTTCAATAAGTTATAGATTATACAGAGAAATCAAAGCATTAATTGTGAACAACTTCGTATCTACACACTTAACTCTCTTTCATATAATCTGCAGTCACTTAAATTCTCCAAAGTTATTTCTGTTCTCTAAATGTATTTTATACTTTGTTCATAAGGTTGACTTCATATAAAATCTGATTTTTATTTTTTTAAATGTGAAAGCAAAGAAAGTTGTACTGGACTATTGGCCTGTAACTTTTCCATATTTTATGTACTTTTAAAATGGTAATGAATTATTAGCTTAAACACAAATTCATTCCAAATTTATATATATATAAAAAACCTGTTAACATACAGCATACAAAACTAATTGCTGTGAAGTAACTTTTTATATTAATGAAAAACAAATATTGAAATATATCGATTTCATTAGAATGTTTCAATTATTATTATAATTACTTGAAAACAAATACTGTGTGTACCAGTTTTGAATTTATGTTCATTTCATATTGAAATTATTGTTTAAATTTTTTTGTACCAAGAGTAACTATGTGATAAGTTACTGTAAGAAAGCTAAGTCTCTAACAGAAAAATAAACTAGTACACTATTTGCATAATAAGTTAGATTTAGATAAAACCGACAGAAAACCAAAGAATAAGTTAGATCTAGAAAAAAAACAGACAGAAAAAGGAAAACCCAGTTGATTTTAATTGTGAACTTAAAAGTGCCATAATAAATTTTATTATTTAATTTTTATTTCAACAAGTAGAAAAAAAAGAAATATTTGAGATGCTTGGTGATGGAACTACATATATAAATGGTGAAGAGTCACTTAAGAATGTATTTGTTCATTTCACAGTTGCAATTATCATCAAAATTTAAATCACCATTGACTACATTTCATGCTTGAATAACTTTGAGTGTTAAAAAATGTCCTTGCATTTGGCCAATTCTATTGAAATTGATCAAAAGTTGTTTTAAAAGATATCATATGAATTTTTGAAAACATAACTGCTCAGGTGAAATTCAGTTAAAGTCAACTAAGGAAGATGTTTCACCTCAGAAATATTGACTTCAATTCCCTAACGATTGTAAAAACATAGCTCTTGATAAAAATTCAAACTGAACTTGCCAGTTGCATGAAATATTGGTAAATTGTGTATGGTTTTGGTTGTAAAAAAGTCATTCAAGCAAGAAATATAGTTCATGGTGGCTGAAATAATGTTGAACTCTATTGAACTACACCAGAAGACTACAACTGTGTAATTAATACACACCTATCAAAATCCATTTCTTAAAAATAGACATAAAAGTAAAACCAGAAGTGCAGATGGACTAGAACAATTCAAAAGGCTCAGCCACATTTTATTTTATGACCATCAGTGATTCTATATGCCCCATACATACTCGTAAATAAGTTCATACAGAATTACTCTGGAAAAAACCAAAGTCAACATTTAAACAGCAAAACAAAAGCTTTTTTTTAGAGTTTTTTTATAAACATATACTGTTAAAACAATTGTAAAAAATTTATCATGGCACATAAGATAGAATGTTAACAAAATCTGAAACAAAACAACAATGTACATAAAATAATTCTTGTGACAACAATTAAATGACAAATGTTTAAGGGAGTATACCTACAACCTGGTAATATTAAAAGGGAGGGGGATATCACACACAATAATTACCAGCAATGGTCTGAAGGTCCAATTCACGTTCAGCTTCTGTTAGTAACAAAGTAAAACTACACTATGTACAATTAAAATTACATTATGTATCTAATACACATTCATACTTCATACTTATGATGGTCACTATTCCTGTATATCTATTTTTAAATAAAGTACCAGTCATACTGGATTTTCTTTATTGAAATATTTATCGAAATATATTAAAATCTGCATGCATCCTTCTAAAGTCTTAAATACGTGTAAATTGTTGCCTAAATTCTCTTTTTCAAAGAGACTTCAAAGACATTTTTTGTTCAGCTTTTTTAGATGAAATTTTACCAAAAAAATGATAATTTTTTTTAGTTTTCATTGGACTGCTACTCTTGTTTCTATACTAAATCAATCTACATCTACTATACTTTGTTAGTATAATAACCCACAAATCTAATATAAACTGTGCAAATGACAATACCTTTATTTACCAAACCCATGATTTTTCAAAACCCAATTGTACCAGCTACGAAAACTCTTTTCTTAAAAAATTCTACCTTAGATAAGTAACCTTAGTTTTGATATGACAGCCAGTGTCTTATTCGTGTATCTTTTTTTATCAGTTTAATATTGTACAGATTTTACCATCATCGCTGTGCTGTGTATGCACAAAGATATATCTTTTCAATCATCCTGTCATGTGATTTGCCAAAATGTATATGCTTCTTTTTTACCCTTCTTTGAGATCATTTGCGTATCTTTTTTTTCAATGTACCTGTTTTGTCTAATGTCTTGATTTCAAAAGAATGGAATTAAATTTCAATTCTTTACTTTAACCATTGCTATTGATATTAGGTGTAATTAAACAAATAATACATCATATTCAGGAGGCGTGTAAAGTCTTACATATGGAACTTTGCACTGTAAGTCTAAAATCTTGCCAAATAAACTGTTTTTATATAAACACTGTAATATAGATATACATGTATTACCAATTTGATACAACATACATGCAATGTTTGACTTAATATATACTGGTCATCACAAATGTTGTATCTATAGTCTTTAACAACATCTACACATTACTGGGGAAATCAGCAAAAATATGCACATTTTCATCAAAATTATGTTTTTATTTTTATTACAATAATTAAAATGAAAAGATGATGTACTATCTATATACAGCAGAATATCAATAACTAGAAAAATGGCAATATCTATAAAATGATTTTAGACCCTGTATTTCTCAATAATTGAAACATCCCCATAACTATTAAAGATATGAATGGTCTCAATAGTGTTCCAAGTAATGAGGTTTCTATTGTAATTCTTACTGTGAAATACATCAACTTTTGCAAATTTGCTGAAAACCCCTTCACAACTAGTATGGAAGTTTGCAGTTTTAGATTTCTGTGAGTGATATGTTATATCCTTTAAAGTAATCATTAAGTAAAACTTACTTTATATGAAGTCATTTAATTTAATTTAACTAATCATTGGAAAAAAATCATTTATTCTATTTCCTTAACCACTCTAGAAAAATCAAAAATTGTAAACTAATGTAACCTACGTGTTTCTGACAACTAAAGACAAGGTTTCCCATGCATGTTTTACCAATGGTGAAAGTACTACGTAAAGCAACTATGATATATAGAATAGCCTCCGTGTTGCTGAGTGCATGCACTTTTCTTACCTGTTGGTGGAGTTTGAGCATATCGTACAGTATCATTTTGCATTGTGTACCAGTTTGAGGACAACTCTGGTTCTATAGGTCAATTAAGAAAGGTGGTAAAATAGATAGGTAATTTATATCCAAGTAAAATGGGAAAGTGATTTAAGGATACAGGTTATAGTTAATTTTCTTTTCTTGTGTCTAAATAAGATTTGTCCAAAGGGATTTAATTCTGAATGTAGTGGGGGATACTTTAGGGTGATTATTAAAGTTCATTATTTATATGCAATGTTCACAACACAAAAATACTAAATGAATCACACTCTTAAAAAAAGTTAAAATGCTTTCTAATAACAAAGTTCAAACACAGTCTAATCATCTCAAAATAAATATACAAAATTCAATAAATTTGAAAAAGTAAACTAAAAATCCTTCACCCAGTATGATTTTCTACTAAAAACTGAAACAAGGCATAAAACGATGGTGACAGCTACAGTTTGTTTTACCTTTTGAACTCAAGACACTGTCTGGGATATGTTTGGCTAGTTTAAATTCTCTCTCTTCCCAGAATTTACTTATTTGATTGATTTTCAACTCAAGGTCATATTCTGCTATAGCTCCAAGATAGATGGAGTGTATCAACTGATCATTCTCTTCCAGGTCATAGGTCAAGAGATCACATACTGTAAACTGTTTGTCTGAGTCATATGATTCATTCATGCCAACAAATATGGCCTTCCAATGTCTTTCCTGAAAAGTAGGGGAAAATAATGTACAAAATTGGCATCTAAACATGTCAATGTGCAGAAAATAAACTATGTACACAAAAAAACCCCATTAAATATATTTTACATATTAAAATATATAATAAGAATTAATTTATTTGCTTATTCACTATTTTAAGACTACTTTATTAAGTATTGGTAGATCTATGTACCTTTAAGGCATCTTTAGCTAGTTTATTAAGTATTGGTAGATCTACGTACCTTTAAGGCATCTTTAGCTAGTTTATCAAGTATTGGTAGATCTACCTACCTTTAAGGCATCTTTAGCTAGTTTATTAAGTATTGGTAGATCTACGTACCTTTAAGGCATCTTTAGCTAGTTTATGAAGTATTGGTAGATATACATACCTTTAAGGCATCATTAGCAAGTTTATGAAGTATTGGTAGATCTTTCTTGAATTCGTTGAGTGATGTAAACCAATGACTGAGTAATTTTTCTGCCTCTGGAAGTGAAGATTTTCTATCTAGGTAAGGTTTAAGTTGAGCCGCTGCAGCTTGCCATTCAATCACTTTCTCTAAAGCCTTCTTTATATTCATCTGTAACAATCAGAATAAATCATGTAACATTATTAAAATATTTGAAGGACAAATACGTTCATTTAAATGTTTTTCAAAGTATATATAACCTGACAACATATTCTTGTGCCTGTTCAATGTTAGGAACCTTTGTCAGTAGTTGTCTTACATAATATCTTATTGGTTTTTTTGTTTGTTTGGTGTTGTTGGCTGATCTTATTGTTTAATTTTCAAAAGATTTTCAGACTCAAGATGATTAAGAGCTTGAATTATTGTTCTATTGTTGAAGACTGTATGTTGTCCTATAGATGTCTTTTGGTTACTTGTGTTGTTGGTTTTCTGCCTCACTGACATATACTTAACATCTCCTTTAACTCATATGTATCTATATGGCCAGGTGAAAAGTACTATTTATATACGATTATACCTTTCAAAGAATAAATAAGAACTTTTTAATTAATAGTATTTTTTGCTATAATAAAAATAAAACTTTCTTGAAAAAAATCCCTCAACAAAAATGATATCCCAATGCGAAAAAGTACCGCACATATCTTATGCAGAAATATTTCAACAAAACAAATCAATTATTTGAAATGCAAATTATAAAGAGAGAGAGTAAGAAAGTACCATTTCATGAATACATTCTTCTTCTAATTTAATTCCTTATTAATATCACTTTGAAAAGATCTTACCTTTTTGAAAAGCATTTGTTTCCAGTCCTTTATAGCATGTCTAGAGACTTCAATATACTTCCATAATTCCTGCAGTACATCTATATTGACAGTGATCTCGTTCAGGAAAGTCAAATCATATGGCTCGCCTACAATAGCCTCTCTCCACTTACTGGCCTGGTGTAATTGTTTCTGTACATGGTAAAATTTATCTCGGATCTGTTAACATAATCACAACAATTTTAGTTATTATCATGCCTTAAGCCATGATTTAATGAATATTATTTAGTATGAATATAAATATATGTATTTGCTATTCTAATTCATGAAAAATTCAATTCTTCTTTTTATATTGGTTCTGTCTTTGTCTTGAGTATTCTCCTCTTAGTTTCCATTTTAAGTTCCCATGTTTGTGTTCCATTGTGTAGATTACAGAAATCAATGTGATGACAATGTAGATTACAGAAATCAGTGTGATGACAATGTAGATTACAGAAATCAGTGTGATGACAATGTAGATTACAGAAATCAATGTGATGACAATGTAGACTACAGAAATCAATGTGATGACAATGTAGATAACAGAAATCAGTGTGATGACAATGTAGACTACAGAAATCAGTGTGATGACAATTTAGACTACAGAAATCAGTGTGATGACAATGTAGACTACAGAAATCAGTGTGATGACAATGTAGATAACAGAAATAAGTGTGATGACACTGTAGACTACATAAATCAGTGTGATGACAATGTAGATAACAGAAATCAATGTGATGACAATGTAGATTACAGAAATCAGTGTGATGACAATGTAGATAACAGAAATCAATGTGATGACAATGTAGATTACAGAAATCAGTGTGATGACAATGTAGACTACAGAAATCAGTGTGATGACAATGTAGACTACATAAATCAGTGTGATGACAATGTAGACTACAGAAATCAGTGTGATGACAATGTAGACTACAGAAATCAGTGTGATGACAATGTAGACTACATAAATCAGTATAACGACAATGTAGATTACATAAATCAGTGTGATGACAATATGGTCTACATATATTAAAGAAATTACATACTCTTCTCATTTCAATAAGGATCTTTGAAGCTTCAGAAGACTACGGAAATAAGTGTGATGACAATGTAGATTACATTAATCAGTGTGATGACAATATGGTCTACAGATATTAAAGAAATTACATACTCTTCTCATTTCAATAAGGATCTTTGAAGCATCAGAAGACTACGGAAATCAGTGTGATGACAATGTCGATTACAGAAATCAGTGTGATGACAATGTAGATTACAGAAATCAGTGTGATGACAATGTAGATTACAGAAATCAGTGTGATGACAATGTAGATAACAGAAATCAGTGTGATGACAATGTAGATTACATTAATCAGTGTGATGACAATATGGTCTACAGATATTAAAGAAATTACATACTCTTCTCATTTCAATAAGGATCTTTGAAGCATCAGAAGACTACGGAAATCAGTGTGATGACAATGTCGATTACAGAAATCAGTGTGATGACAATGTAGATTACAGAAATCAGTGTGATGACAATGTAGATTACAGAAATCAGTGTGATGACAATGTAGATAACAGAAATCAGTGTGATGACAATGTAGATTACAGAATTCAATTTGATGACAATGTAGATAACAGAAATCAGTGTGATGACAATGTAGATAACAGAAATCAATGTGATGACAATGTAGATTACAGAAATCAGTGTGATGGCGATGTAGATTACAGAATTCAATTTGATGACAATGTAGATAACAGAAATCAGTGTGATGACAATGTAGATAACAGAAATCAATGTGATGACAATGTAGATTACAGAAATCAGTGTGATGGCAATGTAGATTACAGAATTCAATTTGATGACAATGTAGATAACAGAAATCAGTGTGATGACAATGTAGATAACAGAAATCAATGTGATGACAATGTAGATTACAGAAATCAGTGTGATGACAATGTAGATTACAGAAATCAGTATAATGACAATGTAGATTACAGAAATCAGTGTGATGGCAATGTAGATAACAGAAATCAATGTGATGACAATGTAGATAACAGAAATCAGTGTGATGACAATGTAGATTACATAAATCAGTATGATGACAATGTAGATTACATAAATCAGTGTGATGACAATATGGTCTACAGATATTAAAGAAATTACATACTCTTCTCATTTCAATAAGGATCTTTGAAGCGTTCTGTTCTGGATCTAAGAAATGTTCTGATGTTGCCATCTTAGCTAATTCTCTTGCTTCCATATCCAGTTTCTGCAAATAAACAATAACTATAAGAGAAACAATTTTGACTGTTAATTCTTATTGTTTGCACAAAGTTCTGAATAGCTTCTGATGGTGAAATGACATAGGATATTTAGTCCAGAATTACAATCTACAATAACCCACAATAAGCATGCCATAAAAATCAGGAATAGCCCAAAAACAAATGCTTATGCACTAAATAAAACAAATTAAAATAAATAATTGCAACACATTTTCTATACCTTTTTGGAAAAAAAAATAAATTAAGTCATCATAATGCCTATTCTATAACATCTGATATTTGTTGGCATTGTAAGTTTGTATAACTAAAAAGGTTGTCCCTTTGACACATTCCCTGTTTCCATTCTCTATTCTTTTGTAATGGTTAATTCACTCAAACACATAAATCATGCTAATCAGTGACTAAATCACTATTTTAGTTAACTGACAATAAATCTAAGTTAAAGTAAAATACATCTGTTAAAGACTTCACACTCACAGAACATTTTTTTACCAAACAATGAAACAATCCAGAGCAAAATCTAAGATGGCTGAGTAGAAGTAAATTACATTGAATTTATAAGATGTCAATACGAAATCAAAGTAACTTTACCATTCTCAGTACTGTAATACAGTAAATACTTTTGGGAGTTCTGATTAATTATTCCAAAGCATAAAACAAACTTTTCAAAGTGATCACGATATCAAATTAAAATGACTTTCTTAAATAGAAGGTAATATTTACATGTTATATAAAGACAAAATATTTGTATTTTGATTTATAACTATTTACACTGAAATCAACCTTTGTGAAATTATTATGTTAACATTAACAAAACCACAAATACTTTTCATAAAACATGGTCTATTGTTTTTGTTTCTTTTTTCAGATTTAAATAATACACCACAAGGAAAGCCAGAAAATTGAAATAACCTATATAAAAATACAACGATGAAAACAATATTTATTGTACCAAAAATCTTTCTCTCATAGCACTCTACAATGTGAAAGGAGAAAAACAACAGTATTTCCTTAATTGTACAATAACAAAGATTTGAGACATGCTAAAAATAGATTAAATCTGTGACTGTTGACATCATATACATTCCATAATCTTGTACTTTTTTCATACATTCCAGTAAATTTAAAACAACAAACCACAACAAGATTTTTCACCACAAACCTCAAATGTATTAAATGAAAGGTTATTTAGCTAACTGTAAAGACAAACATATGATTATTAAAGCTGTTCTCATGTTGTCCACAATACCATATAAAGACTGGGATTTTTCAAGGCTCTCATTTTCTGTTTCAAATTCTTGGCTCTGGAAAGTCGCTGTTTAGATACATATATATTTATCATTAAAAAGAAATATTGATAATTTTCTATGTTCAGACTGATGTATCATAATTATGTTTTGTCTTTTCTTCCTTTTTACATCAAAATAAAAAGAACTTTCCTTCCATTTTGACCATATTTGTAGATTTTATAAAATAACCAGTATCAGTTGAATACCTGATGCTATCTTATATGTCTACGAAATTCAATCAATACTTCAAGATTGTTGGTACTCTATAAAACAAATAATGTGGCAGGCTCATGAAAGATATCCTGAATATTTTTTATGGACTCCAGCTACAAGATATCTAACTTTTTCTTTAAAGTCTGGAATTTTGCCTTGATAATTTCTCACTAATGTGTATTGTTTCAATGATGAATCACAAGGGGTGTATGATCATTTCTGAGTAATAAACTTATGTTTTGATGATATCTAACATTATATGCAATGTTATGAGTATGTGTATTAAGAGATTTTTAAGCTAACAGTCAATCGCCTATCATAAGTATCCTCATCAATAGATAGTTGGTCATTATTTCTGACCTTCTGAATATCAGTTGTGTTTTGTACCATATATGATGAGTCATGAGGTGTGTTTTAGTGATTTTTATGTGTGGTACATCATACCTTATGTGTATCTTCTAACTGGTGAGTCATGAGGTGTGTTTTAGTGATTTTTATGTGTGGTACATCATACCTTATGTGTATCTTCTAACTGGTGAGTCATTAGAGGTGTTTTAATGATTTTTATGTGTGGTACATCATACCTTATGTGTACCTTGTAACTGGTGAGTCATGAGAGGTGTTTTAATGATTCTATGTGTGGTACATCATACCTTATGTGTACCTTGTAACTGGTGAGTCATGAGAGGTGTTTTAATGATTTTATGTGTGGTACATCATACCTTATGTGTATCTTCTAACTGGTGAGTCATGAGTGGTGTTTTAATGTTTTTTATGTGTGGTACATCATACCTTATGTGTATCTTCTAACTGGTGAGTCATGAGAGGTGTTTTAGTGTTGACAAATACTGCAGCCTCCTGCATGGTTAACATGAATTCATCCCAGCGGGCACGGACATTACTGTCATCTCTTTCTTCTTCAGGTGTTAATTGTCTGTACGTCATTCTAACAACCTAGGAAAGTTAAATAATATACACATTTGTTATCATTTTCCAGAAAAAGCCCTCAACAAAAATTTATTTTTTTGAGACATATCAGTAACAATACTACGGATTCATTAATTTTATTTTGTTATAGGTACCAATTTTTGAGGATTGACGGAAAATTGTATATATCGTTGATACTAATAATTTCCTCTTTTTTTGTTTTAATTCCGCATATATCCTTTAAGATATTTTTACTTGGTTGAACACTTTAAATTTGTGGTTCCCTTATACTCATGAATCCACATCATGTCACTCATTTATGAGCCAAAAGTAACAAGAACTTATACATTCATCATTTAACATTTCAAAAATGAAACAAATAAATAAATTGAAAATGATCTGACAGGAAAATCAGAAAAACGTACTAATAATAAAAAAAAAAAATTCAAAGTGCAAGTAATTTTCAAGTTTATTCTAAATACCCAAACATATTGGTATGTTAACAATACCTCAAACAGCAATTTAACATATTCACATCTCTGTTGAAATATAGGACTGTTCTTCTTATACTGGTTAAAGTTTTTAGCATATGTTGCAAATGCATTGATCTCATCACTTTTATCTTTCAAACTCTGCAAAATAAAAATAGATAAACCACATTATAATTGCATTTATAACATGCAGATAAAGGTTTCTTGTTGTGAAAGCACCATGTGACTATACTAACTTACATAAATAAGCAAATATAATCTCCTGTCATGTTTCCAATAAAATAAATAAACAAGGAGCTTAGAAAATTGAGATGAAGAATTGCTTAAGAAATAGTTTTATTAAAGAATTTTATTACACCTAAAGTCTATTTCTGGAATCATTATTTTACAAAAAAATATTCTATCAATAATTATCAGGTACTTTCAACAATTCAAAATCATTTCAGACTGTAAAACCAGCATTCATATAACAGATCCAATGTTCTAAGTCGTTATGGAAATGTCTAAAAGACAAATTACTACCTTAACCCCTTCAGAGAAGATAAAAAACATAAGTCACCTCAATTGTTTCTTTCATTTCATCACAGAAGTTATTGGCGAGAGTTGTAGCTTCTTCTGCTACAAACATTCCTACTTCGGTATAGATATCATTCAGCCTTGGTATTAAATAATCATGTACAGCTAAACAATCCACATAGAATAAGCCATTCTCAGTTGTAAAATTTCTCTCAAATATCTTCACTTTCTCTGACCAACTTCTAATGTCATTCAGTTTTTGCTGCAAATAAACCAGAATCTTTTCAATTATCTAAATTCAAATATCAAACAATATTTCAGTAATTATATTGTCAACTGTGCCATAAAATTGATCAAAATAGCTTCCATGATGAGTACATTGTTATTAATCCTTACATGAGCAAGTATTAAAAAATCACAATGGAACAACAAATGTATTACCTCTATTTGGAAGGCAGGAACTCCTTTGATCTCCTTTAAAGATTTGTCACTCCATTTTTTACAGAAGTGATGTATTTCACTAAGCCAACTGTGATGTTTACAGTATTGGTCTATCTCATCTAAAGCTTCTAACATCATGTTTTCTTGGAATTGTATGGCAGCTGTATATACCTTACTGTAAAACAAACAAAATTTGTACAAAACTCTACTCAAAATATTTTAAGTATAGAAGAACAAGAACAAGTTGATTTGGTTTGTTTGTTTGTGTTTTAGGCTGTTTTTATTGACCTTGGCTATACCATAGAAGTCACTTTTTATTGACCTTGGCTATACCATAGAAGTCACTTTTTATTGGTGGAGGTAGCCACCTGTACCAAGATAGAACTACTAACCTTCAGCAGGTTGCTGTACCAAGACTGTATCCCAATTATCTGTTTTTTTAATTAATTAATATATTTTAATGTTTTCCCAGTCATGTGCTTGTATGATAAAATTCATATATAGAAATAAGGAGATGTGATATGATTGCCAATGAGACGTCTAGCCAACAAAGTCAAAAGGACAAGGACGTAAACAGCTATAGGTCACCACACAGCCTTCAACAATAAGAAAAATCATTACTGTAAACCAGGAAATTTTCGCACCATCTTCATTTCGCGATTCACCAACTACAGTCTATTTCGCCCTGTTTTGAATTCGTGATTTGTATAAGGCCTGTTCAAAATTTAGTAAAACGACATGGTTGTACATGATGTATTGTAAAGCAAGTGTTGAAAATCGATCAAAAAATATTTTAGTCTGGTCAAAGTAAACGGTTTTGGCCGGTATATTAATGTCAGGAAGATTTCAAGTTATTTGAGAATTGATTCATATTAAGTATAATTTAACTGTTATATTTGTGTCATTTCCACTCATACTGTGAAAACAGCTAAAATAAAACTGCCTCAAAAAATTTACCTGACTCCAGGACTGCATTATAAGCTTCATTTCAAAATGAACAATTTAAAGATACTGATGGTTTATCTTCTTTGATCATTCATTAAAACATAACAGAATAGATTAAATTCTCCTGATGTAACAAAAATTAATATTTTCAGAAAGAAGTTGTCTTAAGCAATAGATAATAAAAGTTTTTTATTCAAAATGACAATGTGCTTACTCTTGATGTAATTTCTCCTCTAGACTAGCCTTAGTAAGAGGACTGTACTGTCCCATAAAACCTTCTCCTCTAACTACAAGCTGTGTAGAATCATCATGAAGTACCAAGTCTGGGGTTGCAATACCTAATTCATCCTCTTCTTTAGATTTAATATCTACAAAAGAGAATCACATGAATCCTTGTCAAATCAAATATTATTTTAACAGGGGTAAAGGATTATATTTAAGAACAAGAGTGCACACGCTGAAACAAACTTAACCATGAAAACTTAACATTGACCAATGAACCAACAAAATGAGGTCAAGGTCAGATGATACCTGCCAGACCGACATATACAGCTTACAATCCTTCTATACAAAAAATATAGTTGACCTATTGCTTATAGTTTAAGAAAAACAGATCAAAACACAAAAACTTAACACTGAGCAATGAACCGTGAAAATGAGGTCAAGGTCAAATAAAGCCTGCGAGACTGACATGTGCATCATAAAATATTTCCATACACCAAATAAAGTTGACCTATTGCATATAGTATTAGAAAAATATACCAAAACTCAAAAAACTTAACTTTAACCACTGAACTATGAAAATGAGGTCAAGCAAGATCAGATGACACCTGCCAGCTGGACATGTACACCTTACAATCATTCCATACACCAAATATAGTAGACCTATTGCGTACAGTATAAGAATCAAAGAGCTGAAAGCTCTAAGTAAAAATGACGCCATTGTCTTTCATATTGGGATATTTTTGATGCAAGTCTTGATTTTTACTTAATTTACCTACTGAATCTTAGGCGACGTTTCAGTTTATGGTAGGTAGGGTGACTGATAGAATAGATATGAATTGTTTCCACAATCTATAGCGTTTTTATTTGTTTGTCAAGATATATATATATATATGTGTGTGAAGTGAAAATAACTACTAGTTGTTCTGCTGTACAAAGAAATAGCTCAAGACTACCTGAACAATCTACAATATTCAAAGTAATATGTGAATTTGTTTCCCTTATTTGTAGAATTATTTAACAAAATGATTATGAAGAGCCTGTAGTAAGAAAGCTCTTATACCCAACATAGTCCTTGTTCAAGAGATAAGTTACAGGTGACCTAGTGACATAATCACATTGTTATTTCAGGTACCTAAACATGATCAAGTTTTGTAGATTTAGACAATAGTATTGTTATACTAGTTTCACAATTACAAACAAAGTGACTCCATTTATACAACTTAATTTCATTGTGAAGAGCCTGTAGTAAGCAAGCTTACACTGAAATTTTAAAATGACAACATAAATTATTGCAAAATTATTTTTTTTCAAATGATTTAATGTTTAGTACCGTAGTCATTTATTTCAAATAATTGACCCATAATAAAATAAGGAGATGGGGTGTGATTTGCCACTGAGATAACAGTCTGATGTACTATCTACCAGAGTCCAAATAATGTGGCTGTTGGCAGTTATAAGTCACTTTCAGACCTCAACAATGTACCAAACCAGTTTATTGTTTTCAGGTACCACAGAAAAAGAGGAGTTGTGGCCAGGTGCTGCCAGGATTTAAAACTATTAGAATTACACAGTTTTGTCTGCATTCAGAGAAAATTTCATGGTGTAAACACAGTCATTTTTGTTGGTGTATATTAGATGAACCTTAAAGGTGGATTATCAGATTATTGGTCACAGGAATATTAAAGTGATTATTGACTTTTCAAATATAAAAATATGCACAAAGAAGGAAATATATCTGATTCCTTGCGAAAATTAAAAGATAGAACATTGTACTTTAAGTTTAATTGATTTGGTAATTCAATTTCAAGAATGACAACATGTATGATCTGTTACCATAAGTGTAAAATTTGTCCATTAGCTACTGTTTATTGAGGGGCCTGATGGGTTATTTTCGTTCTTCGTGATTGGCGCATTTTCGCTATCGTGATCCGTTTTTCTACAGATTTATTTTTTTTTATATTTTCGTGATCCGTGATCATGGAAATTTATTTTCTGTGAATCATGATTGACAAAAAAATCAACTCGTGAATCGTGATGAGACCCCCCCATCAGGTCCCTTTATTCTGTTAATGGTTGAACAGTATCTTTGAACTTTGTCAATCAGTCATGATTTACTTCTTAAGCTGTGTAAGAACCTTCTTGTAATTGAAAATTGGTCTGCCATGTTCACGATTTCTATAAAATTCTGAGTTCCTAACAAGTTCAAAATTTAGCACATTTGCAGTTTACAATACCCAAAGATCAGGAGAAACAACGATTTTGATTGGCTGATCACAGTTGTCTCCCTTGGGAAAAGTTTGAGGAAAGTTCGAAATTGGGAACAGTAGAATTTAACAAAATCGTGGTTTAGAGGTTTTTACACGATCACAATCGTGCAATCGTGACATGAGGTCAAAATTGAGTATTTCACGCCTGAATCGTGCAAGTTGGCAGGTATGACAGGTTAAGAAATTAAAGCATGAAAATTACAAATTTAATTCTGTTCCAGTTGTATTTCCAACAATATGATTGAAAATTGTCCGACGGTCACGAAGGTTAATGACCGCCATTTTGTACACAAGATATATTGAAGGGAGACAACACCATCTGTTATTTTAAAATGTACATTTGCAACACTGTAATTTTCTTTCTTTTACCAATGTATGAGCATACTAAAATTCACTTTAAGTATGTAAAATACGGAACCGAGTTCGGAATGCGGGTTGGAAGTCTGGTCAATGGTAAAAGAAAATTGGCTGCGTCATTTTCTAATCAAAGCGCGAAAGCGCTGTAAAGGCAGTTAATTACAGGTTGTGTGTATTTTTAGTCCAGTTATATCATTATCTTGCATAGTACATTGTACTTATCAGAGGTGGCTTTCAGTATTTAAGATTTAGAGTTCTCTAATGATATTGAACAAGTTTTATGAATGTCATATTCTGAGCACTATATGAAGGCGATTGTTCTCACTTGTTTATGAACTAGTGCATTATGTCCAGTTTGTACCTTTTTTATCTATGTTTATAGTCAAATACTGTTTAAAATAGTTTGGCATTTTCTTTTAAGTAATAAGTAAATGTTATCAACTGTATTTTATTCAACTTTGCAAATGTGGTTTGTTACTGGTAAGTACAATGTATGGATGATAGTTGTTTCATTGGCAATCATAACACATCTCCTTATTTATATAATGATCTATATTCAACGACCTCAGGTACAAAAAAAATGTATGTAACTAAACTATGATGGGAAACCTTTGACTTCTTTCTTTAATATAAACTTTTGATTTGGTACCATAGAACTATGTAGAATAAATGTACATTGCAACATGTCAACTCTTTCAATGACAATACTTTTTTTAGAAACTATAACTCCAAGCAAAATTATATTTGCAAGTATAAAGTAATTTATGAATGAAACAAGAGTGCACACGCTGAAATGTCTCGCCTTCTTTACTAGTCATTGATATTATGTTGATAGTCCTAAATATAAAGCTTTATTACAACTGTCACATAAACTTAACATTAACCAAGTAAACTAAACATTGACCAATGAACCAAGAAAATGAGGTCAAGGTCAGATGAACCATGCTAGGCAGGCATGTACAGCTAACAATTCTTCCATACAACAAATATAGTTGACCTATTGCTTATAGTTTAAGAAAAACAGACCAAAACACAAAAACTTAAAACTGAGCAATGAACCTTGAAAATGAGGTCAAGGTAAAAAAATACCTGCGTGACTAACATATAGATCATAAAATATTTCCATACACCAAATATAGTTGAACTATTGCATATAGTATTAGAAAAAAAGACAAAACTCAAAAACTTAACTTTGACCACTGAACCGTGAAAATGAGGTCAAGGTCAGATGACACCTGCCAGCTAGACATGTACACCTTACAATCATTCCATACACCAAATATAGTAGACCTATTGCATACAGTATAAGAAAAACAGACCAAAACTTAACCTTGTTCACTGATCCATGAAATGAGGTCGAGGTTAAGTGAAAACTGTCTGACGGGCATGAGGACCTTACAAGGTATGCACATACCAAATATAGTTATCCTATTACTTATAATAAGAGAGAATTCAACATTACAAAAAATCTTAACTTTTTTTTCAAGTAGTCACTGAACCATGAAAATGAGGTCAAGGACATTGGACATGTGACTGACGGAAACTTCGTAACATGAGGCATCCAAATACAAAGTATGAAGCATCCAGACCTTCCACCTTCTAAAATATAAAGCTTTTAAGAAGTTAGCTAACGCTGCCGCTGGATCACTATCCCTATGTCGAGCTTTCTGCGACAAAAGTCGCAGGCTCAACAAAAAGGAGTTCTTAATTAAGTAATAAACTGATTCGCTGAGCGCAGCTGGATACACCCACAGAGGTCCAACCCTGAACAGTTGGGGCAAAAATGGACACAATATTCAAGCTTGATACAGGTCTGAATTTGGATTGTAATTAAATATTTGACATATTATAGTTTCTGAATAAATGTAGTCAAAGAACTTGAAATCGGTTATATGAATTGAATTTATATTCAATTAAAGATTTCTTGCTGTTGTGCAATACACTGTGCTGTTGCGCAATACTTAATAAATCTGTTGCCAGACTATAAACAAATAAAGTTCAATTTCTTCTCAATGTCATATTTGAAATTTATGAAAATCAATAGGGAGATTACATCAATAGCTATAAATAATTCACCAAAGTTTCATGCGAACTGCTTAAAGCATTTTTGAGATGTTGTCCAAAAACTGGAAAATCCCCCCCTTTTTAATGAATAAAAGCCCATAACTCAATAATGTAAAATCTAAAATTTATAAAATTCTAAAGGGAGCTTACGGATTGATAATTTAGTCTTAGATGCAAGATTTTTTTATCAGTTGTTTGTGGCTTTGAACTAGCTGTCAGTAAATGCGAGTACTCTCAGATCTGTACTTAGTGTCTTTTTGTTGTTTGGATGTACAACTACCCGGCCACGTCCACTTGTATTTGTATTTATCCATCTGATGAGTTAAGCCTCTTTCAACTGATTTTTATAGTTCGCTCTTATATTGTACTGTTACACCACTGTCCCAGGTTAGGGGGTGGGTTGGGATCCCGAGAACATGTTTAACCCCGCCACATTCTGTATGTACATGTATGTGCCTGTCCCAAGTCAGGAGCCTGTAATTCAGTGGTTGTCGTTTGTTTATGTGTTGCATATTTGTTATTCGTTCATTTTTTGTTCATAAATTAGGCCGTTAGTTTTCTTGTTTGAATTGTTTTACATTGTCATTTCGGGGCCTTTTATAGCTCACTGTGCGGTATGTGCTTTGCTCATTGTTGAAGGCCGTACTGTGACCTATAGCTGTTAATTTCTGTGTCATTTGGTCTCTTGTGGAGAGTTGTCTCATTGGCAATCATACCACATCTTCTTTTTTATATTTACATCAACAGATATAAACAATTCACCAAAGTCAAGGTGAGACAACAAAACTTAGTTGTAAGATCTCTGAAATTTTTTACATGGTACAAGTTTTTCTAATTGTTGGAGATTGTATGGTGACAGTAACACCTGTAACTGCTTAACCCATTTCTTATGCACTTTGGTTCGATAAACTCACTGAATATCATACCACATCTCCTTATTTTTATATGCATTACAATTTACATGTGCATGTAATTGTAAATAATATTTATATATATATATCAGAACAAACTTCATTGCATCACTTTTATTTATGCATCCTTTGGCACAATACAAGTTCTAAAATTACACAACATATAACAACTAAATGTTATTTCAGATGAAAGTTTTGTTTCAGTTCCATTCATAGGATTTATTAGAATTTTGTATGTTTTGCCAAGTCCAATAATTAGCTCTATGTGCATGTGTTAATTGGAGACTTTTCTATCCCGTATAAGAGTTTTGGAACTAATTCTGTTTCTTTTTTTGAAAAAAGTGAGCAAACAAATCTTGCACATTTAAACTTTTGTCTGCCATCACACTGTCACCTGGATCACATAATTGAACTATTCTACATCTTTCAACTATTTCACAGTCACTGGTACAACCAACATATGCATTAGAGACATAGTTGACTAAACCACCAGGTGTCGAACATACAAGTATTTTCAGTGTTTCTGTTTTTATATGATGAAAGGTTGCCTGAGCTCTAGGAGCTTTAGGTTTTATCACGGGATATTCTGTGCTGTCAATAATAATCCAAGTTGTAGGAAACTTTAATTCTAAGTTGGATGGCGAAAAATACCTGACTAAACCACTAAATGGCCAAGTGTTAGCCTCACGCCACTGTTTAGACATAAAAACAATCCATGTTTACACAATATTCTTAACACTAGTTTCAATCTAGAATCTAGACAGTTCAAAGTTGGTTGTATAATGCATCAATTTCATCAAAGTCATAAAAAAACTGATTTTCAAATGACACCCTATCAATTTGAAAATATATGTATCTCAAACAATGTGCTGTTGGACCAAGTGTGGTCAAAACAAATAAAAATTTAGTATACAACTCTAAACCGGTATAAAAATGCATGGCTGTGTCACGTGTCTTCATTTCAAAATTCTCTGCTGAAAATATAGGCATTGATGGTGTTTGCGTACTTCCATCTGTGAAGCTCAACATTAGCTCGGCAGTTGGTGGTGGACAGTCATAAATCCTGTCTGCAGTATGAATTCCTTCTTCAGGAAAACCAACTTTACAATCAAAACTTTCCTCTAGATTTCTGCTACAATATTCATCAAGTTTAGTTCTTTTGTTTTCACAGGAAACTGCCCTGATTTTTCTTTTTGCGGACGATTCAGTCTCTTGCTTGGTCCAGGAAAATAGGCTGGGATTGGCAGTAGACTTAAGTCTCTGTATGGTGGGTTTGTGCCCTGAAAAAGGTTATAAAACATTAGTTTTTTGATAATTAAATGAACTTCCATTAGCAATGCATACTTTGTACAGAAGCAAGTTAACTCGTACCATTGTAAACTCGTACCACGTAAACTCGTACCAACGTAAACTCGTACCACTGGGAAGTCGTACCAATCAGAACTCGTACCACTGCAAACTCGTACCATTAAAAATATATTCAAAAATACAAAAGTTTTATGATTTTTTTTTTGGTAAACTAAATAAAAAAAGTTGAATTACTTGAATTTTATACTAGATTTTAATGAAAACTTAAACAAAAATACGGATGTTTTATGATTATTTTTTTTTTTAAGCTTTATACAAAAAATTAAAATATCTTTGAAATTTATACCAGATTTTAATGAAAACTTAGACAAAAATACAAATGTAATTTCTTAATTACCATGCTAATAAATATATTAAATTCCTTTGATTGTGTGATTATTGGTTGATTATTAACTAATCAACTTGGTTTTTTTTATCTTTAACTAATCAACTTGTATAATCATATAAGCATGGTCATATTCTGCTGAAATGTGCTGAATATTGTATAAAAATAAATTTCATACTTTCTAACTGTTGGTCATAAACAATTTTAAACCTTTAAAACACAATCAATAAATTCTTTCATTAAACAAAATTCCTTTTAGAAACGATAGAAAAATACCCAAATCTATTCAATGTTACTGATTTGGAATGATTAAAAATTAAATCAAATAGTTGTCAGTAAAAGTTTAAAAAAGAGTCTATTCAAGGGAGACAACAAAGCCAATCTGCCACGGTTTTCTCTATCCAATTAGGCAAGGAAAATTAGCTACAAATTGGTTATTGTAATTTCAAATTATATACATTTTACAGACTTGAGAGGTATTGAGTGAAATTAAAGTATATATTCATCATTAAACACCATTTGAATGCATTTAAATAAGTTGGTACGAGTTTACAATGGTATGAATTTACCGTGGTACGAGTTTGCATTGGAACGAGTTTTTGTTTAGTGGTACGAGTTGACATTGGTACGAGTTACAATGGTACGAGATAACTATAATTCCTTTGTACTCGTAACCTGGCAAAATATTAACTAGATTTATTCATTACAATCTGGATAAAACTATGTTAGCCTGATTCAATGTACATCAAAATGTATGTTATGAAAATCCAAAGGACAAACAATGAGAGACGTATGCAACAAACATACATTGTTTGTACCTAAATAACTATAATATAGATGAGAGCATGTCATTGTTTTGTTCCTGTTAACATTGTCATTGATATTTTTCAAGAAAGTCTATGAGGCATAGCTTATGCATTCCTGTCATTACTACATAAGCATAATTACTGCTAAAATAATTCTCAGTATGATATACCTCTTGTAAGAAATCATTATAATTGTAGCAAGCACCAAAAAATCTCAAACAGATCACATTGAATCGTAATCCAAAAAATTATGACGTCTTGAATTAACCACCCCCTTTTATTCTAAAACGATAATTGCGGTTGTAAACTGACTTTGGTTTATTCGCATGGCGATTACATATATAACTATATATTTTAAAAAGAAAATAGAGTTTTACCATGAATAGTTTCCTGCACGTAGTCTTTTTCAGTAAAATGTGCCTTGCAAACAACAGCTGATTGAGATGGACTCCACGATTTCATCGTGTTCTCGTCCAATCTGCGTATGGGCCATGGCGTTGATCCAACTTTTCCTTCTTTTTAAGTCATTTGGAAATGCATGTCCTCCTCTTAAATGACATCCAGGTACACAACAACAAGTACTTGGCATCGTTAATTAAAAATGCAACTGTAATAGTTGCACAGTGCAGAAACCGGAAATTGAAGTGCGGGATCTGCTACCACGGCGCCACCTATTCAGGAACGATAATTTGCTACTTTATATAACTGCGAAATAACAATAACGTTAAACGGGTTCGCGTGCATAAACAGAAATGCGCTTTAAATTGTATAATATAATTCATGTTCAGTCGACCTTTAATTATTATATCAACGACTGAAATGATTTATAAACATCTAGATTGCAGATAACACTCGAAATTAACCCGACCTCTTTCCACACGGAATTCAAATAATTCTAGTTTGTCAATCGGTTGACTGCTTATAGTGTAAAATACAAATATATCAAAAGTTTTTAAAACTAACAAAACACAATGATCGTTTCTCTATTTCCCAATGTAAATGAAATGAGACAAAAAACATTTTATACCACAATAAGAAGAGGAGAGAATCAACATTTTCCGGATCTACTTGGAGCTAAATGACCCCCCACGTAGATAAGTTGGATATCGCGGAAAGAAATATTAACACGGCAACTAGAAAGGCATTAAAGCACTGCCTTTAAAAACAGACCAAAACACAAAAACTTAACTATAACCACTGAACCATGAAAATGAGGTCAAGGTCAAATGACACCTGCCAGTTGGACATGTTTACCTTACAATATTTCCATACACCAAATATACTAGACCTATTGCTTATAGTATCTGAGATATGGACTTGACCATGAAAACTTAACCTTGTTCACTGATCCATGAAATGAGGTCGAGGTCAAGTGAAAACTGTCTGACGGGCATGAGGACCTTGCAAGGCACGCACATACCGAATAAACATATCCTATTACTCATAATAAGAGAGAAATTAACATTACAAAAAATCTTAACTTTTTTTTTAAGTAGTCACTGAACCATGAAAATGAGGTCAAGGACAATGGACATGTGACAGACGGAAACTCAGTAACATAAGGCATCTATATGCAAAATATGAAGCATCCAGGTCTTCCACCTTCTAAAATATAAAGCTTTTAAGAAGTTAGTTACCGCCACCGGATCATTATCCCTATGTTGAGCTTTCTGCAACAAAAGTCGCAGGCTCGACAAAAAGTAGGAATTTGTATCCTAATAAGTCAACAACAAACATGCTGTACAGGCTTTTCCCTTTATCTAATTCCTTCCCATAGGGACACTATCACATATGCAATATTAACATTGACTGTTAGACTCTCTCAACTACTCATCTGGCAGATCATATACATATTGATATACCTGGTTATAATTTAACATGAGCTCAGGTAGTTCAAATCAAGCCATCTTATTTTGGTATTTACCACGAGTGAGCATGATGCACATGAATTTAATATCTTAGATAAGTCCACTTACCTGGATGAGGTAAATCAGGTACACCAATACCCTCATCATCTCCTCCTGCTATAGATTTGGTAACCTGATTCTCCTCTTCTATAATGGTATCACCTGCTACCGTTTCCCCTGCCTGTGACTGAGATGTGTCTGCTGTTGGTAACACACTGTCCCTTCTTTGTGAACTTACTGTTAAAGTAGTTAAACTCTCTCGTCTTAAAGAAGCAAGAGTTGCAGCAGCTGTACTCTTTCTTCTCTCCATCCTATAGTATAAAACAAAGAATTTGCACTAAGTATTTAATTCAACTGACATTAAAACCAAACAATATTAAATCAAACTCACAACAGTCTGTTGTATATACTTCTTAAAATAAACTCACTAGGTATTGTTAATATACTATGTGGTATTTCTGAAACCAAAGACATAATTCAAAAAATAAACACAGATTATTGGATCATGAAAATACTTGTCAGCTAAGTTTATAATTCACAACAAAATTACATACCAAATATTGATGACATATGCAAAGTTAAATGGAAACAGACATAACCTGGCTATTGGAGAGCTATTATGAGCAGGGCCTTATAACAGACATGTGGCTGATAGACATATATAAGCATCACAACAAAAGAGTTGACACACTAAAATATCTCTTCTGCTGTTAAATGAAACTTTCATAAAAAGGGCCATCGATCTTATAAATGAAATGAAATCACATACAAAAATGATATTGAACTTAGTCTGTATAACTTGTGATTTATATGCCTGATAAAACTTTACATTACCAGTGGAGTATGCAAATTCTATCAACGCAAAATGTAAAATATTATATGATCACTGGAGTTTGAAATTGAGGTCAAGGTCATATAACATATGTCAGACGTTTATATACGTCTCACAATCAATCCACATTACACATATTGCCGACCTTTTATATATAGTAACTGAGGTATAGACCTCATCCTGAAAACTTAACCTGAGAACTAAAGCATGAAAATTAGGACAACATCAAGTGATAATGACTACCTAATAAGGTGTATCATGGATACCAAATATTGTTGACCTGTAATGCACAGCTACAGAGAAACAGACCACATCCTAAAATATTAACCTCACATGGAATGAGGTCTAGAATGGGTAACAAGGTCTCAGCATTAACATTATTATTATTAATCATTTGAAATTGTTAATGACCAAGTAAATTCCTTCCAAAACTGTGTTAGAAGGAGAAAAAAAACAATTTTCAACTATTGTACAATTAAAAAAAAAAATAGATAGCTTGTCACAAATGTAAAATACAAAAACATATATCATGATACACATATCTTGCTTACAAAAGAAAACACAATAAAATAAACTACTGGATTAATCAGGTCCTCACTTACTTTTCAGCAGCTTCAGACTTAGTATGATCTGTTTCCTCGGAGTGATAATCAGGCAGGGAACCATCAATAGGAATTGCATTAGAACACAGCACCTTAGGAATGCCTTTCAGAGTACTAGATAATGCTTTTATTAATTTGTCCTTACTTGGTGACAGTCCAAGCATATCTAAAAAAATATATTATTTATATAAATTTTCGAACAAGGCAAGATTTTATGCACTTTTAAAGGTTGTATAGATATCTTAACTACAAATATTTCCATATATTATTCCTCAAAGTATAAGTATATTTTTTTCTGCTAGTCTGTTATTCAAGTTAAGAATGTTCAGACACCTGTCTAATGTTGAAGACTATATATTGACCTCTAAATGTCTTTTCTTGCGTTGCTGCCTCATGATATATCATATCATACATCTTTTATTTATATGCATATGAGTTTGATCCAAAACTTCAGAACCCCTTATAAGATAACATGTTTAAGATAAAATGTCGGATGTCAATACTATAAATTTAGACACCATTTTATCAGATTTTCCAAATCCTGTGATATTCTTACCATCAAACCCAGTGACATCACCAGTTTATCAACAAAAGGAATCAAATATAATATAATACTATCTGTTTACTGACCTTGCTTTGTGAAAACCAGGAAAACTTTGAAGAATCCTTCTGTTTCTGAATGGTTTTTTAACACTTCATTAACAAACTGTATAACTTGTGTCTTACAAATCTCATACATATGTTCTACTATCAGCTGATCTGTTAACTTGACAAAGTTACCAAGACGACTGTAACAAAATACAGAATTTTATAAAGTTACCAAGATATCGATAAGGTTGGAATACCAAAAACTTTTAAAAATACTTAAAATTGAAAAATAATATTTTCCTTACTCTGCTGATATCTCAATTAATTGGAAAATTATAAATATGTGAAAAGTGAGAACAGACATAATCTCCATGACTTTAAAATGTTCAGCAAAATTATTCCAATAAATTTTATATTAGGGATATCTTCTGCTTCATGGCAATCTATTAAAGTCATAATTAAGTATACATTTGTAATGGTTATGTATCGCAATGTAAACAGCCAATACTTTAAGTCTGGAAATTATTAAAAGGAAGTCACATACCCTGTTTCATTCCTGGCTTTAATAAGATTAACTTGTCTTTGTTCATGCTTTATCCTCTGCAGGTGAAGGGAGTCTTTAGAACTGGAAAATAAAATCTCATTAATATGAAACCAAAGCATCAGGAATCTGATGGACTCTCTTTAGTTTGATATAAATTTTTTAGTTTAAATATCTACTGAAAATTTCCCTGGTTATTGCCTTGGTACTAAATGTTATACAATGCTCCATAGATGCCCTGAATTATTGTCTTAACATTTATGCTTATGTTTAACAAAGAGCCATCCTACTATTAGTTTTAATAAATACATTTACCCATACCTGCCAACCTCTAAACCTTCAAAGAGGGAGATCTCCCTCTCAGCTATGACAGCTGAGGGGGAGATTTTGCGCGAACGACATTTTCAAGTGAAATATATGACGTGTTTATTTATTCATCTACGAAACACATATAAGAGTTAATAGATATACTTTGTTTCTTTAAATATGGCTATATCCTACAGAAGGTGTGTTGTTTGTTTCTTTCCTATTTCATTAACTTTGACATTTGAATCCCTTCCGGACAATTTTCACCCCAGATACCTCATGTTGTTACAGGTGCATTTAGTGTGTGCACATATTTATTTCAATAAATTTGGTTCAATACATATCTTATAAATTTCAATATAAACATTGAATAGAAGTATAGATCTTTTAAGTGATTTTTAAAATATAATTATTTTTTTTGTCTTAAGGCATACAAAATCTTTTAATTGCCATCCTTTTATGATTCTTTGTTTAATTTGTATTTAGTTTATATTGTTTTATCAATTCACATTATTTTAAGAAGGGTAACTGAAAACAGGATTAAACAGGGGAAGTAACCCGAAATTTCTTTGAAGTGTTTTGCTTGAAGCAAAAGTCGTTAATGATTGTAAATCATGAATAAGTACTATGTTTGACACACAAGCTGTGAAGTGAAGCCATTTAATTTCACATGGTCTGTGATTTACAGGTAAAAACAACCCTCATCAGTAAGACAAAAACATAATTAATGTTGACTTGTCATTCAAGGTTAAAATATCCCAAAGCGGGAGATTCTATACTCCCGCGCGGGAGGATACCGGCAAGCGGGAGATTTCCCGAATTTCGCCATTTGAGCGGGAGTCTCCCGCTCAAAACGGGAGGGTTGGCAGGTATGCATTTACCATTGTGAAGAACAATAACTTGGAGAGTATATTTGTAATCTAAGAATAATATGGTTACACCTGTAGATCATTTTATGTTAATAGGTTACTTACAATACAGCTTTCTTTTTGACTTGTTCTTCACAGTGATGTAGTTTCTTGAATGATGCTTCAGCAGTAACATCCACCATCATCTTACAATATCTGTAATTGTAATACATTCTATTTAGGCTTTCTACAATATTAGTTTTTGGGGAGGGATTTACGTTCTTTAAATTTTAACAATTTCCAAAAGATTCTTTTGGTGGTGAAAACTGAGTTACAGGAAGTAAACCACTGGTCTTCTGGTATTAACTGATAAAAACTATCAAACACTGGTAGATTGAGAACACCTTACCATTGTATGGGAGCGTACTGGTAATATGTTGATGTGATATAAACAGGTTACTGCAAAGATTTAAAACTGCAACAAAGATCATAGTCCATTTTAACAAAAGTTATCTCCTACATTGATTTCATAAACTGACATGTATCACCTAAAGTCTGCAGAAATAAAAAGATGATTACCGCTAAAATGCTACAAAGACTCATTATCCAGATGGGGATCCAAGATTTTGAAAAAAGAGGGGAGAAACTAGACAATGTTAGGAGTAAAACTTGTAAAAAGTCTATGCATTAACCATATATGTAGCTCCTTAAGGAGGGGGGAAGAGGGGGGGGGGGGGGGGGCGACCCCTGGCTTATCTAAATCCACCCCTGTTTTCTTATGACACCAGAATTCTCACAGTAAAAACCTCTACTCTTCAATCCATAAAGTACATCATTTTCTACTTACCCAAAGAACTTTTCTATGACTTTCTCTGCTTGCATATTCTTGTAGTTGACTTCACTCTCAAATTCTGGTAATAAGTATAATTTACTGAAAGACAAAAACGTTGTTTAATACAAAAATCTTGAAAGAAATTGATTTAAGGATATTTGATGCTGAAACTAGAATAAACAGCATTTCCATGATTGGAGTCTTTGTTTTCAATAGAGAATGTGCAACACCTCAAAGGTATGGAAAACAATAATAGGTCTGTGATTATTTTTGAGATACTAACATTTAATAAACTAGAATTTCTAGATTGAAAATGCTGTCTCTGAATTTTCATATAAAATGTAAGGGCAGAAATGAATGTCAAACTGTATGATAAAAGTCCTAAAAATAACAATAATTTATCAATATTTTGTCTGAAGGGTATCTAAGATATTTGGGTAACAGAATATAATCAATAAGCTGACAATGTGATTATCCTCAATATTCATCTTATATCAGTATCAATTATCAGCTGCCATATAAATGATGTGAGAATTTATAAGATGATTTATCTCCTGAGACTGACTTATCCTGGTATATAAAAGTTAACCATAAATAGTACATTGTTAATTGGTTTTTAGTTCTTTTCACATTTTATTTGTCAAAAATATAAAATGACTGTATTGTTCAGGAATTCCTATATAAATTGACCATGTGAACTTTTATATATATATATATATAAAACCAGGATTTGTGATTTTTTAAACTTCTGATATTCACATCATAGACTGATAAAAGCATATGATATATTTATGTTGATGGAATCTAATATTGCTAAAATAATCAATATATTGTAAATATAGGAACAAGTATTCAGATACTGTTCTATTGGGACCTAGTTTTCCTTTAATCATATTTTAATCAAAGAAAATATGCAAGTACATGATACATGTATATAAATCATATGTGAGTAGACTACATTCCTCCTCCTATTCAATATTGGGATTTTGTACTTACTCTTTTTCAATGGGTAAAAATTTAACAGTGACAAGTTCTTTCAGTAATCTGTAAAAAAAAATATGAAACGTTATAATCTCAACTAAACAGCACGACATGTATTACCATATCCTTAATGCTGACATTTACAATGGTAAAATTAAAGTCACAAATTTACTGAAGAATTATAACACCACTCCTGATGTAGAAATACCAATACACAAATATGCTAAAACCAAAACGCCAAATAACAGATATGTCAAAGTAATTCAGTCAGGCTTATTATTATTTTGTAATTTTTAATTAAAATCTTTATCCATCTGAGTGTTTAACAGTAGACCTGAAGAGTAAATATTCACATAATTTTTCATTCTTGAAAAAATAAAAAATTAAATAGCTGCATCTTTTTTTTATGAATACAGGCAGTGGGTTTTTTTTAACTATCAATATTTATATAAATTTATATGAATAAAGCTGATTATTGAAAATTTCTTTTTTAACTTGACTGATATCCATTTGTTCAAGGACTTGTTAATTGTAATTGTTTCTGTAGAAGATGTGAAAGTAAAATAGATTTTTATATTGTTTTTTTTTTCTATTAGGGTCTACATGGAAATATCAGGTTACTATCTCTAATTTATAGAATGACACCCCTCAATTACCTTGAAACCTGTATGAGAGCAGCACCAAAGGCAGGCACAGCTTGCAACAATCTATTATTCAGTTTTTCTCTTTTCCTCATAAAATCTAAAGTATTTCTGTTGTATCTCCATCTACAAACAAAACATCTTATATCAGCACAAAAATCTTATTGCGTTCAAAATAATAATAACTTTTAACAGATTTATATTAAAAAATATGAGCACAATCCACAAATATCATGAAAATTGATAGCAGTTTTATCGTGATAATTATAAGGAATGCATTAATATGTTTCAGAACACAGCTTAAACTTTCTTACCAACATTTGAAAAATCTTAAGAAGATCGACCTACATAGTAAAAAATTATTCTAGACAGTATATCAATTTTTGTACCAATCTAAGTATTATTTATTACATTCATTGTGAAGTTACATGGAAACCGGTACAGAAAAAAGTTATAGATGCTTCTTTTTACTAATTATTTCATTCTTTTTTTTTCTTAATCTAAGATGAAAAACCTACTTTTGAAACATCTTCATGACAAGAAAATTTTTGAAGAATGGTATTTTTGAAACAGCGTTCCACAGGACTGCTTCTCTTTGCCAATCAGATAAACTCATAGTTTCTGAAGGTTGATCCGGGTACACATGTAAGACTCCAAACGTTGAGAATACATAATGTTCTGTATTGACCTATAAAATGTCAACATAAAATACATTATGTGTCTGATATTCTAAAATAGCAGAGTTTAACTTCTAAGAGAATCATTGTTTGTTAGTCAGAACTGTTTCCAGAACATTTATTATTATATATTTATTTTTAATGAATGTTTGCATATAATTAAGTTCATCATGACTTGTCATATTTTCATCTGATAAAGACACATTTTTTATCTTTAGACATCTTTTTAGTTGTTATTCTTTCTCCTAACTCACACATATTCCTTTAAAGACAAAATTATCTCCCCTGGGGACTCTAAGTGGTTGCCTAGAACGCCTATATTCACAAATGTAAAGGAGGCTAAAACTTAATTGAAAAACACTTCTACTAAGAATTTTTTTTAAAGCTCTGAAAGTCAGTTTGAAATCACTGTTATAAGAAATGTTCCTATTAAATGTACATGGTTCTGAGGTAATGTTCTTCATTAAAGTCATTTTTCATGCATTTTCAGTTGAATACAGAAGTTATAGACACCCAAATATAGAAGTAAATGCTGAGGCACATCCTTGTGTATATAGCAAGCTTATAAAAATTGTACGTTTATTGTTCGGGTTGAACAGTATTTCATCTAACTTCATCATAATTAGATTTAAAAATGTCAGTATAGTAAGTCAGATTATATAAAAATGTATGATTTTTAATATGTAGATCAAAGCAGCCTGTCATTTGAGACTAGTTGGTGTGTTGTCTACCAGCTGCCAAGTCAAGTCAGATCTTTCTTTCTCCTAATGATGTTAATTATTTTAATGTGATAACATTTACACGAAACCTTTCACTGTTATAGGTAACAGAGAAACCTAAAGGATAAATAAATGATTTTTACACTTTAATTAAAAAATTTTGAGATGTGTTGTTGGACTGATTTTTACCTTGTTTTTCTGTACAGATATCAGATCATAAGGATTATAATGTCTATGTGGTACTATGTTAAAATGAATTGATTCTATTTTTCCAATATGATGAAGTTTGGCAAAATATTCTACAGCTTCTCGTCCAGTCATCACAAGTACTTTCTCTTCCTGTAATAAAAACAAATATTGTTAATATATATCAATAATTTAATTTTGGATGTAACACGTCTTCCGATTGGCTGACGTTGTTTTGTTTATCAGCTCATAGACATAATTTTGTCATGTGACCTTGACGTCATCAACGTTTTTTCATGATTTACACCGGTTTAAAATGGAATTAAGAATTAAATTATAAGAAATGACTGTAATATTTTTTCTGTCTATTCGAAATAACATAAAAAATGTGGTGCACCACATTTTTGATGTTATTTCTTCATAGACAGAAAAAATATTACAGTCATTCCTTAAGTATAAAATAATTATTACCCTTAGAAAATGAATATAACTGTAAGTATAAGGCTATTCAAATTCATTTTGAAAAATGCGTCAATCAGGGTCTTTAAAACTCAACTCATGTTAAAATGTGAAAGATTTTATCAATAACTTATGTCTGAATGTAAAAGGTTTTCCTTAAAAAACATAATTAAACACAAATCTGTTATTGCTGATTTTGAAATTTCATAAGAATAGTTATGATTGAAACAGCAACCCATAAACATTACATAATAGAACAACTATGCATTATAAAGTTTTGATGTGGCCTAATTTCTCCATAATTTTAATAATTTAACATAATTTTAATAATTTAACATAATTTTATCTTATTTTGGTTAGATTGTGGAAATCTAAGATTTTTGTTGTTTTGTTTTAATTTATATAAGACTTATCACTGAAATAGGCTAAATTTAATTAAAATTCGGTAAAAATTAATAAACACAAACAAAATGATCCTAATTATGTTAAAAATGATAGTGTTGTATAGTCTGACAATTACAGAAAATTCTAGTTTATTAAATAACAAATCTCTCATGATCTCGTGATATTTTTCTGTGTGAGTCATTCCTACTAACCTCAATTCTAGGAGTCTTTTTCTCTTTCTTTCCATACAGAGACGTCAGTGAACTCCTGGGTGTAGAAGCTTTTGATACTGGTTCCTTTACAGGTTTTTCCTACAAAATTTATAAAATCTCAATCAGATGATATTAAATGATCTTCTGTTTTCACAATTTGTACGCAAAAAATACAATTTTGGTAAAATTATTAAAATGACATGCAAGTTAACATTTTCGTGATTGATAATCATCTACATTCAATCTGAGACAAATGCTGGCTTATTTATATAACCTATTTTCCATGTAATGTCACACTTGAAATAAAAAGTATAACAAAGTTTAGTCCAACATAAGACTTCAAGAATAATGTTGACCCTTACATTAATCCTCAAAAATTTCTAAAATAATTTCACTTTTCTAATATAATTAAATACCATTATTTGATCCCTTGACCTTTAATGTAGTGTAGTCTTATACTTATAATACTAACTTCATCATCTTCTGGAATTTCTGTCCGTAATGCCTGTGTTACTGTTCCATAATGCTGACTCCAAATAGACTCTCCTATTTCAAAATAAAAATTACAATTCTTTTTCATATGGTCTCATATATTGGGAAACATCAAATTTATTTCATTTTCTGAAACTGTTATAAAAAAAAAATTCAAAGCAGACACTTATGTAAAGAAGAGAGTATATCTAAAACATAGTAACTTAATTACAATACACAAATAATAACTACAAATGTACAAGAAATGCCATTTAAACCTATTTAAAATATCTAAAATATAAGTAAAAGAAGATGAAGGGTATACATTCTGGATACAGCATCTGAAAGACACAGAAAACCAAGACAGTATCTTAAAGCCCCAAGTCATCACACAAAACAAGAAAGTGATTTCAAAATACAAAACAAAATTGTCAAATGAATAGGTTTGTTAATTACACATTAAACAAGACCAAAACAAGGTCAGGACCTGCGTCACTGCATGCAATTGATTGAGGTAACGTGTATACTGAAGCATAACTGATCATATCCTTTCATTAAAGACAAAGAAAATGTGACAAAAACAACGATAGTACAATTGCAATGAGTATTGTAAAATTTCAAACTATCGCAAACAGGAAGTAAATGCACAGCTACCATAAAAATTGCCTACTTGCTACAACTCAACATTATTAAGCTCAAGATCAAATATTTAACTATTCCCTTTGATAGAAGCCAAGAAAAGTTTGACAAAATTATCCTTGTACAATGAGTGTTTCAAAATTTCAAACAAACTGCAAACAGGAAGTGGCTGCATGGCAGCTGTAAGAATTGCTTACTACATACAATTCAACATTTTCAAGCTGCAGACCAAATATCAAATCATTCCCTTTCATAGAAGCCAAGAAAACTTTGACGAAAGTTTGCTACCTAGGTCGTTCAGATGGACAGACAGACGGAGTCAAGCAGTTACTAGACATGCTTTCACCTACAGTGATGCAGGTAAAAAAGTAAAATGTTGAATGATATTCCTCAAGCAATATGAGATTGAGTACTTACGAGCAGCCAACTCTGCGGCTACATCTGCAATTGATCTGCTCATATCTCTTATTGTTAATGGTTTAGTCAGCATGTATTTATCTTCTCTGTGCTGAAAATATGCAATGTAAATTTTTATTTCTCTGCATGTTGAATGTCTACTTCACTTTGATGAATATAATATTGATAATAAATAAACTGCTTCGCTGAGCGCAGCTGGATACGCCCGCAGAGGTCTAACCCTGAACAGTTGGGGCAAAAATGGACACAATATTCAAGCTTGATACAGGTCTGAATTTGGATTGTAATTAAATATTTGACATACATCTATTATAGGTTTCTGAATAAATGTAGTCAAAGAACTTGAAGTTGGTTATATGAATTGAATTTATATTCAATTAAAGATTTCTTGCTGTTGTGCAATACACTGTGCTGTTGCGCAATACTTAGTAAATCTGTTGTCAGACTATAAACAAATAAAATTTATAAAATTCTAAAGGGAGCTTACATCAATAGATATAAACAGTTCACCAAAGTTTCATGAGAACTGCTGAAAGCATTTTTGAGTTATTGTCCGAAAACTGGAAAATCCCCCTTTTTATACGCCCGTTTATTTTATGAATAAAACCCCATAACTCAAAAACGTAAAATCTAAAATTTATAAAAATCCAAAGGGAGCTCATGTCAATAAATATAAACAATTAACCAAAATTTCTTGCAAGTTGGTGAAAGCATTCTTGAGTTATTGTCCGAAAACTGGAAAATCCCCCTTTTTTTAATGAATAAAACCCCATAACTCGGAAACGTAAAATCTAAAATTTATAAAAAATGAAAGGGAGCTCACGTCAATAGATATAAACAATTCACCAAAGTTTTAAGCAAATTGGTTAAAGCGTTTTTGAGTTAATGTCCGACATGTTGACGACGGACGGACGGACGGACGGACAGATGGAGGTACAACGGTATACCATAATACGTCCCGTAAATGGGCGTATAAAAACAGTAAACTTTATATGTTTTATAAAATTAAGATCACAATGGAAAGAAAAACATCTGGACACTTTGGACAAACAAAATTTACACATTGTTTTTTTTTCCATATACTACCTAGGTTGATACCCCTGCTGGTGGACCGTTAGTCCCTGAGAGTATCATCATCTCAGTAGTCAGTGCTTCAGTACTGACATGATTTATAACATACTTATCTAAATTCTGTCCATAAATAAAAAAATTAATACTTAATTTAAGTTCCAACTCCCTTAGCATGACTTTTGATCAATTTGGCAATCCTTTTTACGTCCTATTGGTCATATAGCTCTTCACTTGTTTTTGGTATTTTTACATCCCTTCCTTTCAAATGCTTGGGTTCAACAGCTTCTGATGAAGGTGAACAAGAAAAGCACTTCTGACACAAATATTATACAAAGTAGATACAAAACATAGGACAACATACCGTAACATGAGTTTTATACGGATTTGTTCCATCAGGAAGCTGGAAATATGCCCTGGGTGATTGCATGGACTTTTTGGGAGAACCTGCACTAATCTTGACAACTGGAGCTGGTGGTGCAGCACAATAATTCCTGGCAGGAAATGCTCCAATTTGTCGGATCTTATCTACTTCCTAAAAATTAAAGAATATAAAAAAATTACTTAAAAAGTATCAAATTACAAAGAAATTGAATATACTGAAATCACTTTTATATGCATTAATAACAGTGTGATGATGGTATTATTTTTCTCTGTCTGTAAAGATGTTTTGAACATTGATTCCAAACTTTTTATTATCAAACTTCTATTTTTTTTTTACAAAATGTTCAACAACTTGGTCTCTGGAAAATAGTTGATACAGACATCTCCTTATCTCTATACTAATTGTATATTTCTTTTTAATGATATTTTAATAAATATCTTTGACAAGGTATTGCAGCTTAGACAGATTAGTGTCCTTATAGAATATTTTTGACAAGAAACTTATTCAAACAGATAAGTTACCTGTGGAAATATTGTGACATGAAATCAGCTCAGACAGATATTAAATTTACCTGTGAGAATATTACTGAGAAGATATCAGCTCAGATAGATAATTTACCTGTGAGAATATTATTGACAAGGGATCAGCTCAGACAGATAAATTACCTATGAGAATATTACTGACAAGGAATCAGCTCAGACAGATAAATTACCTATGAGAATATTACTGACAAGGATCCAGCTCAGATAGATAAATTACCTATGAGAATATTACTGACAAGAAATCAGCTCAGATAGATAAGTTACCTATGAGACTATTACTGACAAGAAATCAGCTCAGACAGATAAGTTACCTGTGAAAATATTACTGACAAGGATCCAGCTCAGACAGATAATTTACCTATGAGAATATTACTGACAAGGGATCAGCTCAGATAGATAATTTACTTGCGAGAATATCACTGACAAGGTATCAGCTCAGACACATAAGTAACCTATGAGAATATTACTGACAAGGAATCAGCTCAGATAGATAAGTTACCTATGAGAATATTACTGACAAGAAATCAGCTCAGACAGATAAGTTACCTGTGAGAATATTACTGACAAGGATCCAGCTCAGATAGATAAGTTACCTATGAGAATATTAATGACAAGAGATCAGCTCAGACAGATAAGTTACCTATGAGAATATTACTGACAAGGAATCAGCTCAGATAGATAAGTTACCTATGAGAATATTACTGACAAGAAATCAGCTCAGACAGATAAGTTACCTGTGAGAATATTACTGACAAGGATCCAGCTCAGATAGATAAGTTACCTATGGGAATATTACTGACAAGGCATCAGCTCAGATAGATAATTTACCTATGAGAATATTACTGACAAGGAATCAGCTCAGATAAGTTACCTGCGAGATTATTATTGACAAGGTATCAGCTCAAATAGATAAGTTACCTATGAGAATATTTTTGACAAGGGATCAGCTCAGATAGATAAATTACCTGTGGAAATATTTTTGTCAACTAATGAGCTGAGACAAATAAGTTACCTTTCAGAACATAACTGACAAGGAATCAGCCCAGACAGAAGCCACCAAGGGTGGCTGGGGAACAGAAATATGGTCACTCTTAGTATTCTTCCGACAGGCAGTAAAACCCTTGCCAAAGTGGGCGTCTGTTTGGCTGTGCAGAATGTGTAAGTACATAGTCATGTCTTGTCAGAATGGGGACGTTAAATCTGATGCATCGTGTAGAGAGAGTGCCATGCTCTCTGCTTGTTAAGAACCCTTGCAACAACTCATTAAGGGGTCCATAGGGTCCAATATACCCTCATTTTCCAGTGGCAGTCCAAATTTCCCCTACTTTCATCCTGTGCAGCCTCTATTACAGGAACTTTGTATTGTATTTATTGTTAATTTGTTCTCGTCCTGAACATGCATGTAATATTTGCTGCTGCACATTAAGCAACCAACTATCAATGAATCAGCTCAAAAAGATAAAATACCTTTGAGAATATCTTTGACAATGAATCTGCTAACTGTAGATCAAAAAGTTTTTCTTTGTTGTTGTCAGCATGGTAAATCAGTCTCTCTATGTAATGGTACATCTGAAATAAAATATTAAACATTCTAACAAAATCATGAAAATGGTTGAATTAGATGGTACTGATCTATTGTTCTGTTGACTGTTCTTTCAATTCCCATTTCCTTATGACAATGGTATTAAATTGGTGCTTTTCTACATCTTAGTCCTTTCATCAAATTAACTTGTTACCTATGGATTCAGAACGCTGGCACTGTTGTACCATTATATTCTGCTCTACTTCATCATCGTTGTATTTAATTGTACGTTTTTCACTTCCGGATAAACTTTCATATTCTGCTTTGAAATTATACAGTAATGGTTGCTTGGACCAAAATTTATCTAATCTCATTGGCCAAAAAAAAAAAAAAACACAAAAAAAAAATATCAAGAAATGAATGAGGTGTAACCATAGCAGCATAATAATCTTTCACAGTCTCTCACTAATCACCATCAAGAATGATTTTCAATAAATCATACTGTGTTATGGAAATGATAGAAAGATTATGACTCCATTTATTTGTTATATCTACCAACCATATAAAATACAACTTACTTCTGTTTTAAGGTCAAACTTCTCCAGGTATACTTTATAAGGTTCTACTATTCCTAAAACTTCATGGAGATAAACCCAGGAATCTCGACTACAACAAAAAATATTGTATTAACACTGTGTTAATAATAAAACATGATTTCACACTAAAAATCGCTTGAAAACATATTTAAGAAAATACTATGTCATTTTAATTTTTTCTTATTAAAGTCATACTTAGTAGTAAAATTCAAAAGCAAATATACTTTCCTTGAAGTAATCACTTTGTGTATCTGTAAAGTCATAATCAATGCTAATGCTTCCTGTCCCTTTTTTACACATTAAAATCATTGTCAATAAAACGCTGACCTATTGGACAAGGGGTACCAGTACAATATACATATATATAGCAAAGCTTCCAAAACGGTCATATATGCCGGACATTTGTATAATGTCCGGTAAAAGTCCGGCTTGGAAAAGCATGAAACGGTCATCTACTTTTTAGTTTTCAAGACTTTCTTAAGAGACGGTCATTTTAACATAATTCGCGATCTTTTTGACCCAACATTTTGCCTTTAACAGCCACACATTTCCGGTCATAAAAGTGACATGATCATTAAGTACTATCAAAACAACCCCTACTTTAATACCTTCTCATTTTAATCAAGGCTAATTAGTTGTCGAACAGCTGAAATTTACCTGTTCAGGTGACAGGTAAACTATTTTGAACCGGACATTGATCGGTCTATTCAAAGTTATTTTCTTACATTTCAGCGGTTTGCATCTAATTAATTTAGTCGAAAAGATTTAAATTATCAGAAATACGTTTACAAATATGATTTGATGAAAAAATTAAAAAGTTGAAAATGAAAAATCATCATATAACCACGTTGTTTGAACCAGAGACATGTCTCTGTTTGAACTAGTACACGTGTGCGCATATGCGCAGGTGTGACATTTAATTATGCATCCTAATTTCTTCAAAAAATGCTTAAATTGTCATTGATACCTTTATCTCACGTTTATTTCGAATATATTCTAGAAAGAAATAACGTAGAAAGATTTCATACTTTGCAAACGTACACGGAATTTACGTATCCGTCTCTGATCCATGTTTTACCATTGTCAAGATAACATCCGGTATTACTTCAAAAAACGAAAGTAAAGTTTTTGACAACGTTAATTTGCACAAATAAAGAGTCTAAGGCAGATATAAGTACGCTGATGTTGCACACTTCGAATGATGCACTGCCAATTTAACAGTTTACGTCAGAACTTCAAATTTGAATCAAAGAAAGTTTAATATCGTTTTTTTTAATGTCAATCATTGGGATGGCCAACTCGGCAACTGATTACCATAATTGCCTTTTGTTTATTTTGTCTTAAGGGATTAAAATCGGGATAAAATATAAAATGTCCGGCTGGCTAAAAATAATTTTGGAAGCCCTGATATATAGGTCAGAGTTTTCAAGGTTGTATAAACATTACCTGTCTTGTTGTAAAGCAGTTATGAAAACTGCCACAAGATCTTTCTTTAACAATGAAACGTCTTCTTTCTTCACTTCATTAGCCTCCATACACTTGTTGATTCTAATAAAAAAAAATAAGTGCATAATACTCTAAGGCCGTTTCATATCTCAATTGTGACTCCAATTTTACAACAAAGACAAGATATAATGAAAATTTAAATAAGATTCTACATCTATCTGTAATCACATTTTTAAAAAGAAGTGAAAACAAGTGTTTCCAATCCCATGTAGCTTGGTCCTGGAATTATGAGAACCCCTATTATCCACTTACATGTATTTTGGTTTATTTTCATTAACTATTTACATGAACCTTAACATACTGGCCTAGGAATCAATAGGGATCTACCTCTCAGTATATGTGACCATATATCTTTATAACTTGTATTCCAATCACAAGTAAGGTTATAGTGTTAGGATCAGTTAACTCCTTTCCATTATAAATTTCTTTCTATTCTTAGTAACTATGACTTTGACCTTAGACGTTGTGACCTCAAAATCAATAGTGATCTTCTGCCCATTATATGTGACAATATATCAAATTAAGGTTGAAATCCAATTTAAAGTACTTTGTAACATAGAGTTTAATATTTTATGACTAGTTGTATAATGTTTGATTTAAAAAGAAACTTGATCTTTTCCAACAAACCTGTGCCTTGTTTCCAGTGCCCATTGTGATGCTTTCTGTCTAGGTGTGACTGATTGGGGACCATGCAGGGGTGCTATCAAGCTGCTTTGTCCTTCCCTCAAAGCAGGAAGAGAAGGGGTTGTCCCTTTTTCTAAGGACAAGTCCACCTTAGATGTCATGGCTACCTGTTAAGTCCTGCAAATAAAAAATAGTTATATATTAGTCACTAGTGGTATGCTAGAAACAATTAAGCATCATCATAAATACAAGTTTATGAAATTAATTTAAGAGAACAAAGTAAAAACCCATTTAATACTGTACTTACATGTAAGCAAAAACCCATTTTATACTGTACTTATTCATGTACTACCAGCATGTATTTCTAAGAAATTTTACAACAGGAGCTTCTGTTAATGCCTTCATATAAAGTATTCCAATCAGTTTTAAATCAGTAAGCTGTTTTGTTCATCTGGATTTATGCTATTCTTATACAATATAAAATTAAAATCAGTTGGAAATGGCTTGACTCCTTAGATCAGAACTAAGCACAAGTAAGCGTAACTCATTCATAAAAAGGAAAATTAAAATTGGTCTATATTTATATTTTGGCATGGGCAAGGTCGCAAGGTCATGTTTTTCTCAGACTGCTTCTGAGGTCTTTACACTAAATCTGTTGAAGGTGTACTGATTGACATTTAAGTCTGATTTATTTATTAGTTGAAATTGGACTTTTAACTAGCTGTCAGACACAGTAATGGTAAGTGCTTTTGTCTAGTGTCTTTTTGCTTTTTATTTATCTATGTGCTTATCTGTTGTGAAGTCTGGTCACCGTACATTTGTTCTCTTGTTAAATTTAGAGTTATCTTTGCTTTGTCAGCATCACTTTGTTTACACTTTGTTTGGGGCAAATTGTGGCCTACTACAGTGTAAGTTTGTTTATTTTAATTTTGAAACATCGTTTTTATGAAAACATTCAGTAGAATTTAAATTGTTCCATTAGTTGAATGATACATCGCAAGTTTAATTAATGCTGAAACTGGTAGGAATGCGAACATGAGGTCACTGACCTAGATAAAGCACACACTTTCTCACACATGTTATCGATCTTTATATTTACTTAATTACTACATGAAAATTGTTTTAAGTATACTTTCTTTCACGAATTTAGCTATTGCAGAGTATATCGGTCATGGGGAAATTATTGAAAATGTTTTATTAGAACACAACTCTGCAGAAAATTTAAATCTATGGAAAGCAGTTCGTGCCATTTCTTGCATGATTGTATTTTGTCATTGTAACGTTAAACAGTTATTTTTATATTCTAAAGTCATTCTTTTGTATCTTACAGCTTTTTACCACTAAGTCAATAAATATTGAATGGTTTAACTGTTGTCTTTATGGGGCAGAACATCTGTCGTTCCTATCTGAGAAATCCAGCTGTTTCGGACAGATTTTTGTTTACATTACATTCTTGTGTTGTTACACCACTCAAAGGAATTATAAATAGTAGAAAGGTCAATTTTGGTTTATATACTATGGCAATGAAAAATTTTCAACTACACGTTGGAAATTAAAATTCTCCATGGAGTGTTCATGAAACATCATAAAAAAGCATCTTATTTCCAGCAAATTTTTAACTTATACACCATGTTGCAATTTTACTGCTGATGATGGGGGTTATTAATGACCTTGACTGACTATAAAGCCCTCACACGGTCAGTGATTTTTCTGCCATTTCCTGACATCACAGATATTCCTGTAAAATTCTGACGTCACATAGGAAAAGCGATTGATGTAAAAATGTATGACGTCAATAGTTCAAGTGTTGTAGATTCCCAAATATCAAAAATGTTTATTTCACCAGAAGGAGCATAAAAAACACAAATTTGTATAGATTATATCCCATAGCCAAAAAGTAACATTGCAAACTCATATATATCACCAACGGATAAACTTGTACCAATGTTAACTCGTACCACTGCAAACTTGCACTATCAAAAAATTACAATATTCAAATGTTTAAATTGTTTTTGAAAATCTTTATAAATAATAGAAGAATGTGTCTGAGGATACAAGAACCCCCGCTCAAGCTTAAAAAGGGGCATAACTCTAGAACAGTAAATGACTCACTGTTCAAAATCGAACTTTGTCTGCGTGTTGTGGTTCTTAGCATTGTGTATGAGTTTCATTAAATTTGGATGAAGAAAACTTTATTTAACATCAACATTTTACGGGAAACTTTGGAATGTCCAGCTCTGGCAGACAAATAGCGATAAGGTGTATTCAGTGGATAGTACTCCACTAGATGCTTTCAAGCAGGGGGTACTGAGCTGCAGCATCCCTTATTCGCACCATCAGACTGTTTTGAACTTGTACCTCTGTTGTCACACCCAACATGGGCAATAGTGAGATAATACTCCACTAGAAGAACTGCACTGTATTGGAAGAAGATCCCCTACTAAACGTCTAAAGACTAAAGTGTCAATGGCAGGTGCTTGTCACTGTCAGATTTGAGAAAATTTACTCTACAATACACCAGAAATTATGTTTCATGTGGGGGTCATTTCATTTCATTAATTAATTCGTACCCAAACATAGAACAAGGTAAATCGGCCTATCAATATCGTCCTTGTTGTTAAATTTTCGCGTCTGTTGTCAGGTCGCCATGTTTAAATTTTTAATTTACAGGGTAGCACTGAATAATATTTTTTCGATATATGGTAGATTCGTTAAAATTTCTCTGAATGTATTGAAACGCATTAATTTAAGACATTAATTTCGTTATAATTTTTCTTAATTCTGAGTATTATTTCTAAATTTGATCCAATTAGACGCTGCGAAATAGCACTTCCTGTTTTCCTAGCGCCAGATGAAATCTGAGTTTTGACTTGCGAAGTATATAGAAAGGCAGAAGATAATTTCTTTACACGTTGAAAAAGCAGAGATTTTAAATCAAATTTTCTCTCAACAACCGAAAATAGGTAGCCAAAATTTAGCACTTGATTCAGTTCAGAGAATACCCAGAATGAACCGCTCATTGCAGATTGCAGTTCTCTAACTCTATTATAATGAGTATATTCTAAAATTCATCAAATCAAAATAATTTATGATTTCTTGGCAGGGCTATCTTAGCTTTTGGCTTTGCCATTTTCCAGGGAACGATCAACTGCGAGGCAGGTGTTAATTGTGAGACAGGATTGCTTCCCTTAGTTTATGTAGTAAATACAGCGACTGAGCTAGGGTCTAGTAGGGAAGTACTCAGTCGGTTAAAGCGCTGCCTTGTAACACAGAGGTCCCAGGTTTGAGTCCTGGAGAAGACAGTCTTTGCGCTCATCCACAGGCCCACCAGCCCAGGCATGTAAAACTTCTGTTGGGCCTGTAAAAATCATCTCCACAATATAATCTAACTAAAATTTTCTTAAAATTCAGCTTCGGGCCTTTAGATTCAAAAGTCTTTTGTGAAGACTGAGAAGACAATGTGATTTTATAAGAAGAATCATGCTTTCTGGTTACATTTGACGCCCAATTAAAAAACCAACAACCAACAAAAGAAAATCATGCTGTCAGTAGGCCACTTCAAGGTTATTGCAGGCATATAGACCTTATCGCTATTTATTATTTTGGAATCTGTGACACTTGACCCGAGAATCTGCGACACTTGAACTATTGGCGTCATACAACAAGCACTTTTCCTTTGTGGCGTCAGACATTTTCTATTATGACGTCAAAATTTTACGGGAACCTTTGTGATGTCCAGTAATGATTGACAAATAGCGTTAAGGTGTATTGAATAGGGGGAGATTTTTTGGATGAAGGTGGAAATAGTAAAAACGTTAGGGAAAACCTATGAATGTTTCCAATAGTAAAAACGTTAGGGAAAACCTATGAATGTTTCCAAGCAACTGTTCTGTTTCAATGATGTTTTCCCATGTTTTTTAAAGCATTTTTACCTCCATTATGAAAATCTGCCCCTTTTCAATATGGCTGCCATAACTGTCAAAGGGCCTATTGACGGTGCAATCATGTCCTGTAAACAATTCCAATCATTATGATCCAATTACAGATTTTTTTTAAAGTCTGATTTCAGTATCAACATATTATTTTGACTGGTCCCGACATCAATTTATAATCCGATTAAAGAAATAAGTAGAATAGGCACTGTCAAAGTTGACTTCCGGGAATCAGTAACTGCACGATCAATCATATAAAGCACAGTTCATACCTACATGCTTGTAATATTTCTCTTCAACACATTATATCATTTGTATATTACAATGTCAGTCAGTCAGTCATGCATCATCCGACCAAAATCAGTTGTCGGTAAAATCTGGAAATCTAAAGTTTTCACTGAAACCAGTTCTAATTAAGACTTGGTATCTGATAGTTTGAGCATGCTTGGTAAAAATAACACAAACTCATTTAATGTTTTCAAAGAATTCTGTAGTTTTCTACATAATGAATTATGAATTTATAAAGAAAAAGTCAGCGGGTACAATATATAAGGTGTAAACATAATAATGAGGACAAAAACATCATATCTAAATCTTTTAATATGAATTTGGCTCCAGACATATGGGCTTGTGAGTTGCCTATATTTGTCTACCCAGCATAATTGCTGGACTAGTCCAATGGTCCTGCACATTTTGGAAAGCCTTCAGTGCAGGTATCTTTGCATGCATGTGTTCTATTCCATTATGATCATCTTTTGCATTATCAGACAAAAAAGAAGTCATGGATTTACATTATTCATTGAAAGATATAAGAAGATGTGGTATGAGTGCCAATGAGACAACTCTCCATCCAAGTCAAAATTTATAAAAGTAAACCATTATAGGTCAAAGTACGGTCTTCAACACAGAGCCTTGGTTCACACCGAACAGCAAGCTATAAAGGGCCCCAAAAATTACTAGTACATGTTTGTTAAATGTATGTGGTTTCATATTAGTGTCATTTTATTGCAATTCAATATCTATGGAAGAATTCCATTTGTATATAAAGTAGGGATGTCCATACACAGCTTAACATAACATCCTTCTGTTGTCAGTCATAGCTGAAAAACAGATTCTAAAATATTTGTCTAAAGTTAGTAAAAAAAGGCAAGATGTCTAAAATTATTTTCATTAAAATTTTTATAAGTGCAAATAAAATTGAAATGATTTAAAATATTAATATTCTTATTAAATATATATACATGTATATAATTTGAGACAAATTATATATATATTATGGTGTTAGCCCTGTATAACCATGTGTTATCCAATGGAGACTCTCTGTCATAAAGTTGTCACATGTCTAGACGTGTATAATAGAATAAAAAATTTGATGTGGTGGCATGGTAAGTAACATTATCATCCTTAAAAAAAGCATAAAACATGGTTTTTTTTGTAAAAGTACATTGCAATACCAAGTTCATATTTATATATTATATGAAATCTGTCTGTCATCCATGAAAAAAATACTAAAATTTCAAATCTAAAACTTTGCTGCACAAATTTGCTGGAAATTGTATGCTCTTTAATAAGATGTGACAGGGGTTCAAATTAGCGGTGGTCCGAGGTCCGCGACCTTCCACTTTTGCAATCGGACTTTCGACTTGGTTACTAGCTACGCCCGACGGACCTTCGACTTGAAAGAAAATAAAAAAATAACTTTGAAAACCTTTTTACCAAAGTCCCCAAATAAACGATCTCAAAACGTATTTTCATCTTTATTATTCATGACAGCGATGTTAAGTTTGTTCAACCGCTAGCTTTAAACAGAAAATCGCCGACCAGTAAGTTCAAGTAAGGTGTAAATTTGAGTAAAATCGTATCTGACTTGACAAAAACAACATTGAAAAACAATGGATGCCATGAAGTTCAGTTTCTTGTTTCTTGTATATTCCTCCATTAATTGTGGAGCACTACCCATAGGGTATAATTGTAGCAACTATATACACCTTAGAACATAAGGAAACATTTAATTATGTACAGATGATTGAATTTAGGCAATAATAATTACTAAATAATTAATATTATAACCAATTCATAGAATTGTCATCATAAAATTTTAAAAATAATATTCATAATGTGCCGAGTGTAAGAATAAGTCAAGTAAGAACTGGATATATTTACAAATAAGAATTTAGAATTTAAGTGGTCTTAAATTAAACTTTCTTATAATTGTTAGTTAAAGGTGCTATACGTACATCAGAATTTATAATGAGAAGGTTATTTTATAAGGCTTATGTAAATGGGTTGGGGTTTAGAACAATTCATCATATATACATAAGTTTTCCTTCATAGTTAAAAATTACCTTATTTCGGATCTTATCATTATTCTTTAAAGGTAACTGGATATCTTAAAACTTTGCCAAAATTTTTATTTAATTTAGGTCCTAATAAGTCATAAAATAGTAAGATGGTAAAGTAGGGAACTATTTTATTTTAAAAAAGTTTACTTATACTTATACTGTACTTGTGTTCAAGTTTTTTTTATCCTTTTTGTGCACAGCATGTGCATCTCGTAGCACATATTTCTAGCCAGAGTTTCAATGTTTTCATACACAGTTGATGAGTAACAGTTTATGTCCTTGCTAGTACAGTCCATTATGAGCTGCAGTAAATTCCATTCTTGTATGATCTTCTTGTATGTTGAGGTATCAATTTCATCCATTGTCTGTTCGATTTTTGAGCAATATTAAGATCTTATTTGCTCCAATTCTTTGCAGCGTAGAATAAAATGTTCTAGATCTTCAGAAAATATTTTATACAGAAACTCAAAATTACTTTTTGGCAAATTTTAATGTCAAAATCCAATACAATGTGACAGTATAAGTTTTCTTTATCAGTGATAAATGTTGATAATGCATGTATATGTTTTTAAAGTGTAAACATATTACTGCAATTTCAAGGGGTAATTTTTTTTCAATTTAAATTTTGAAGGGCCTGTTAAAATAGCTGGAAGTTTCTTACTTTATTTTCACAAATAGTACAACTAGATATGATAACTGAATGTAAGCAAAGCAGCATAAGCTCTAGTGGACTTTTAAAATCGAGCTGAAATATGTGTGAGTCCTGAGATAATCATGGCATAATTAGCAATTTAATAGCAATCGTTGAGACAACACACCCATCCACAGTGACACCCTCCCCAATACCAAAAAAAAAAAGATTACTTGAATTAATTATATACAAGACAATTACATTTATCGTGAAAAACCGTGAAACTGACAATGAAATAAGCTAACCTCATACCAAAAGCACATTAATTTTGTATCTAACTGAGTTATGAAATATTTTAAGTAAAAGTAGGACCTGGAATTTAGGTTGTGGACCTTTCAGTTTGGAGAGTCAAAGGTCCTGGACCTTCCAGTACCAAATGTTAATTTGAACCCCTGTGTGAATATTGTAAAGAATGTAATCATCGACATGTTTTTGCAATCATGATGATGATGTTCTCAGTATCATAATGGTATAGACCCAAATCATCCCTTCTACCTTTGGGGAATAATAATTTTGATTCTTACTATTAAGGTCATATTTACATACATGCAGTGTAATAACACAATCTCATTTTTGTTGAACCTGCGACATATAAGCTGCGGAAGCAAGACATACCAGTAGCAATCATACATTAAGATGTTGTTGGCAGCATAAACATTTAGGTTCAGTCTGTGGTTAAAGTTTTTTTTTAGACAAAAAAACTTTGTCAAAACTTTATGGAATTTTATGAAATTTGAAAAGAAGCTTTTTAACGACCAAAAGACAATATCTAGAGCAAAATTTAAAAAATTTTTCTTTCAATTTTTGTTATTTTTCTGATTTTATTTTACCTTTAAAGGGAAACTTCGCAAAAAAATGAAAAATTGATATTATGTCCATTCTGTATAAAAAAGCTCAAATTCATATATATTAAAGTTTTATTCTGCTAGATAAGAGATCACCATCGATTTTAAATTTAGAGTATCAATTCTCTGCGTGCGGCCATTTTGACATCTTCTCGGTTTAGACACCACGATATATCTATAAACCACAAAGGACCAAAACCAACAGTAACCTAATGTAGTCGTAATTGCGTGTCGATATCTTGTCAATTGTACGGTTGTTTTATCCGACTAACAAACTTGATACGGAAAATGTAATTATTTTTTAAATAACCATGGTCTGTCGTTTTTAAAATGTTTATATGGGAATTAGTTAAAAAGTCAAAGTTCAAAGTCATAAATAAGTGTTCCGTGTAAAATTGTTTTCGAAAATCTAATTTGTTCATAACTTTTTTATGTAATAAACTTATTTAAATAAATTTTGGACCTTCCCTTATCTGATCACCAGCATGGCTAAAGGTATTACTCCCAAAGGTATTGTGAGGTGACACGTCCAGGTATTCAAGCGATTTCCTGTCGGGCTTGCAAGTTCATGCATCATTTCACTTCTGAGGGTATTGATCAGTGTACACGGCCGATAACTTGTAACTTTCCATTTTGAACTATCAGGTGTATAATATACATCTCTGTCTTGCGTGTCCGATAGTGATATACTAGTCATTACTAAACTCATACGCTTATTTATAAATAACATTTCTGGTGTAAAGAATATTATTTATGAAAATCTAAATAATTCCAAAAAAAGATTTGATAAAATAAAAATCTATTTACATATTTTTTCCAAGGGTAAATTGGGGAAAATGTAAGCATATACTCGTTGTCAATAATGAAGGACATTTTGAAACATACAAGAAATATTGATTTAACAAAAATGTACGCACTTGTCGATCATTGGTTTATACACCTGGATAGAAAGTTACGGAACTATAGATAGTCGCAATTTAAAATATATACATGTATATTGAATATAAGAAAGAAACATACATTTTGTTTAAATTGGGGTAAAAAATTTGTAAATAGTCCACGTATGCAAACAGTATGTAATCATCGGATGTCGATGGAATATTGTATACCAAAAGAAGAAGAAGAATCAATTAGATTGTTCTCGAACAGTTGAAGAAATTCGTCATCATCACAATTGTTGGGTATAATGTATAATAATGTGAACATGGTTCTGAAAGTACCTTATGCCAAATTTCCTGTTCCGACATGCATGTAATATATATGCCACTGGACGTGCACTAATGATCCCCAAAAAGTCTATTTGAAGAAATAAAGAAACTTCACTTCGGATAGACTGATAGTAGTTGTACAAAAATGTATTAACGAATATCGTATTAACGTCTGATCAGCTAGAGGGTTGATTAATTTATTACGTTAGATTGTTGGTGAATAAGCCATTCCCAAATAGTGCACTTATGCATAAAATATTAAATAAGAGTAACATGAGAAAAAATATAAATACGAAAAGTCGCATATCTGGTAAAAAAAAGTCTCACTATCTATAGGATTTCACGTACAATTGTCATTCTTAATAGAAATAACGGACAGTCATTATAATACATGAATGACGGTACGCGGCTTTGATAAAAAGGGGTGCCGCATATTATTCATCATCAATCTATTTTTTTCAAGTTTATACTTTCCTGTTATTCTTATCAATTAACGCAGAGACATGTCACTATGCATCTCTCGTTAACAACATCAACTATATAAATATCTGAATCTGATGTGACTTACCGTTCATCTCTTGCTTTTTTTTCCCTCTTTTTTTTGATTTGGGCATGCAGGAACATTAACATTGTTAGATATACTTATGGTACCCAGGTTGTTGTTTTTTTTTTTGGGGGCGGGGGGGGGGGGAGGTGGCGTGTTGGAGGTCAAGTCTATCGAAAGTTACAAAATAAGAGCGTTATATTTATAAGAATTTACAAGACGAATTATGTTCTTTGACGTAGGTTTTTTTTTTTTAGTTCAGTGATTTGAATTGAGAAAATATCTAGTCAGAATTTAAATCGTTCCGGCAATCCACCATGTAAGACTCCTCTAAAATCGTGAATTGTCATGCTTCACAATCATCAGAATTTTCTTTGCATTGGTACATTCTGTATCGGTAGTGATTAACCATGACATTTCCGGATATAACAGAGCTACTTGTATATTACCTGCATGTGGTTAGGTGTCGTCCTATGAGGTCTTACGTATACAGTTTCACATTTATAGTGGTTTCTGATATAACAAGGTTTTATGACATTAATTCACACTTCTGCATGTTCAGTATACCACATTTTTATCTTATTTTCAGACCGAAAGGGGATGTGAATATTTTTCAGGAAAAATATTCAGTATCAAAGTATCAAATTAATTTCGGGATTTTTTTTCTTTCTTGGTATTAAATAACAGAAATTTAAAGAATAAACTGCTTGTCCGATTTAGGGGTATTCTTGCCAGTTAAAACAGACTAATAATTATATGTGTATATATGTCTCTGGTATAGACATGGTTTATGAATGAATTATAAGTCTTGCAAAGGTACAAGATATAAAGCACATTGAAAATTTATTCCGCCGGTCTGTCTCCATTCAAAAATAGGGAAAGTTGACATTAAATTGGTTCTGTCTTTTTTTTAAACATCGTTGGTCAAATAGCTTAAGTATTATAAGTTGTGAGACTTAGAATATTTTAATAAGGACATTCCCGATTATGTATAATTTTTTTTTATGTTTTTCACACCTGAAAAGAATATTTGTTCGTAATTATTCGAATCCATTCCAAGAAGGACCTTAAATTTCCTGTCAAATTTTTAAACATCTTTTTTTTCAAATAGCTGAAGTATTTATGAGTTGTGAGATTTAAAATATTTTGATGAGAACATTAATTCCTGAATATGTAAATAAAGATCGCTTTGGATGGACCAAATTATATAATTGCAATTGGTAATGATCTATTTCAAATATTCAAGGTTACCGATTCTAATTTGAAATAGTACAATTTTTAGTTCATACACTCGTGTTTAGAGGGCTCTTATTATTTAAAAATTTATTCAATTAAATTAATTCAGTATTTCATGGTTACAAAAATAGTCAGCGGTCATAATTCATTTACAACTGAGCTTAGGCAAAATATAAAAATATACGACGGCTATCCAGTTATTGTGCTACCTTATTACTCCCCTAAATTAATTTTAATTCTTTTTTATATTTTCTGTGTCTAAAACTATCACTCCCGTTTATCATTCATACGAAATGTTGTTCACACCTGGAACGGTGAACCGTGACGGCTAAAATTCACTGAGTGAAGATCAAAAGATTAGAATTCCAGAATGCTAATCTTTTAATTACCTTGAGTTTAACCACGCATTCAACATTCACTAAGTGTCACAGAACAATACACATAGTATTTACACAGTACAAGCAGGAAATGTTTGCTAGACTGAAGCAAAAAGGTCAGAATACAAACATGTATTTTTAATACACTATCAATCATGTCAGTTTCATATGTTTGTTTAAGGTATTTGTCGGAAAAAAATCATAAAAACTTTCTATTGTATGATTTACTTTTATTACTAAAATTCGTATCAAAAATCCTTAAAACATAAATCCTACAATTTAATTTTAAAAGTTGCACGGCTATCACTTTACTTTCTTTATTTTTAGTTGGTTAATAGCTACACCAAAAATCGTCGATGCGCTTTAAATCGCGTTATTAGATGGTTAACGAACAAGACTTAAATGAGATTAATTCAACTCCCGGCATGCAAAAAGACTTAAACTACGTCACAGAAGTCAGGAAGTTTGAATAGATAAAATTAATAATTCCCAATTTTCTTCTTTATTAGTTTTCATATCCAAATAAATCTTGGTGAATATGTTTTTTATGGTATTATGAACATAATAAGATGATAAGTGAAAAATCGCGAATTTTCCCTTTAACAACTAGATACAATCGAAGGTTAAAGTTTTTCAATCATTAATAACTTTGTCAAAGATACAAGGATACATTGTACATTGTACTTACTTTCTACAGTCAACCTTACACTTTTATACGGACAGCAGCAAATGCTGGCGAAACAAATGGTTCTGCCAAATTTTGTTTACATTCTATCAATAAGTTATTATTTCCCTGAGTTCAATATGCTTTTCCTTATGGATTCTTTGTGTTTAATATTGGTAAAAAACTTTACTTTTTGTTAAAAAACAACACAAACATCTGTATATAAGTACATGTATAATCCTTTCCAAATTGATTCCCCATGTCAGAAATTTGATTAGAAATTCACAAATTTGAAAAAAAACAGCTGTTTTTGCTAGGAGTTCAATGCAGGTGTAATGTGCTATTCTGAATTGATTCTAGGTGTTGACTACAGGCCAAAATCTTACTTTTTTTTTGAAAAAAATCACAAATTTTGAAAACATCTATTTGTGTTTGGTTTGCAAAGAACATGGATATATTAGTATAATTCTTACCAAATTGATTTCCCATGTCACAAATGTGATTAGAAATTCACAAATTTGGAAAAAAACAGCTGTTTTTGTTTGGATTTCAATGAAGGTATAATTTTCTATTCCGAATTATTTCCCTGTGTCAAAAATTATTTGGTTGCCCACCTTACAAAATAACTGCCAAAATATGCAGTGCTTTCATTTTAATAAAACTGTATATTTATAGAGAACACACCCTGACTTAATTCCTGGTATAAAAATTGAATAAAATTCAAACCTCATGAACCTGAATTGCTTTGCTTGCATGAGTGTTGGTTATTTGTTTCTGTGCTTCATAAAAATATATGCAAGTGGATTCCTTGCTGAAAAGTCATTTTCCTAGTTTTCTTTTTTTCAGATTACAACTTAGCAGGATGAGTTTAAGGCCTCGTCCAGTCACTGCCACAGTTACAAAACCAAAATGGATGGAGCCTCAGGTCATAAGGCCTAGATCTAGGTCATTAGAATCCAATGGATCTACTGCATCTTTGACTTCAGTACTTGATCATGACAGTTATGAAAGTGTGGGAGAAAGTGAAGATGAATTACATACAGAGGAAGGGGATCAATATACAAGAAGTGATATAGATAATAGATTACATGAAGATGTTAAAAATAAATGGTAATACCTTGCAATAATTTCTTCAAATATATGTTCATCATTGGTTCAGATTTATATTATATTATATAATGTTTGTGTTAGTTTTTTTAGCTCATTCTACCTATAAGAGGACCATAGAGAAACAATTAAATTAGTCTTGGCTTTGGGCAATTTAGGGATTTTGAAATGAATTGTTTACTTTGCTGAAATTCTTTACTTATAATTGAAAAATTGACAAAAATGGGAAATTACCAATGACAAAAGGTACTGTTGTGAACACCCAAGCAACATGATATAGCTTTTTGCAGAAAAGAAAAGGGAAGTGACAGACAGGAAATCAACTTCTTTGCCCTAGTGGTCCAGTAGCCTGATCCCTGTTTCAATATTTTTTAACCTGTATTTTTATATCCCAGACTGAAGTAGCAGTGATATGTAGTTTTTGACCCGTATGTCTGTCTGTCTCAGTAATTTTCTTTTCTGGATCTTTACTCCAATACTTATATAGAATTGCAACCATACTTCAAAAGTGGTCACACATAATGAGAATAAAAATCCCAACTGATTTTGAGGTCAATTTGTCCAAGGTCAAGGTCAGAGTTACTAAAAATAGACTAAAATTTATGCAGAAAATAGGTTTCAGGATGCTTAATCGAATACCACTTATGGAATTGCAACCTTTCTCTGGTATCCTGTCACATTTAATTAGAGAAAAACCCTTTTGATTTATAGGTCACTATGTCCAAGATCAAGGTCATAGTTTATAAAAATAGACTGAAATTGAACAGAAAAGTGGTTTCCAGATGCAAAATAAAAAACTACATCATATATATGTGGGATTCCAACCTTACTTGCACACATGTAATAAGAGGAACATCCCTAATAAATTTCTAGTCACTAGGTTTAAGGTCAAGGTCATCATCATCAATCTGTATTTATGAATAAACATTGTATTTTTATTGCAACTTTATTCAACCAATCATATTTATAGTTATCAAACCTCTTATGTTAGTTTGACAATGTGTAGCATGTTGCTACTTTGTGTCCATGTTTCAGGTATTCTACAATAGTTTGCCTAATGCTGTCTTTTTCTGTTTTCAAGTGTCATATGCTTAATTTGTCTATGGGAAAGGTGTCTATTACATTTGTACTTTCAAAAGTTATTAATTTCATTTTAGACACAATGGAAAAAGCTTCAATTAAACAGCAATGTATTACCCTTTTAAGCTCACTTTGCCTGAAGAGCCAAGTGAGCTATTCTCATCACTTGGTGTCTATATTTGTTATCATTTGTTAAATTTTACAAAAATCTTCTCTGAGATTCTGGGCCAAATTAAACCAAACTTGGCCACAATCATCATTGGGGTATCTAGTTTAAAAAATGTGTCATATCACCCAGTCTGTCAACCAACATGGCTGACATGGCTAAAAATATAACATAGGGGTAAGCTTTGTCTATTATCTTGGAAAACGCTAGATTGAGAAAATCTGACAAGGGCAGAATTGTTCAGAATATTGAGATCTTCTTACTGTCAATTTTTACACCAAAACTGCCAGACGACTTCTATGAGAGTTATTGTCCTTAAATGATGAGTTTTACCATTTTTTTTATGTTTGCATATTAACATGAAAACTATAATACATTGTCAGAAACCTTGAATACCAAAAAAGAACAGGAAGTCAAGATCTACAAATAAGTCAAACATTGCCAAAATCATCAGTTAACTCCTGAAATGATGATTTTTACCAATTTTGTGTGTTTTTGCCCATTATTATAAAAAACAAATATGATCAGCAAAACAAGATCTGCAAATAGGTCAGCAAAGGCAAAATTGTCAGTTGTCTTCTTATAAGAGTTATTGCCCTTAAATGACATTAATTTTTTAATCTTTTTGGGATTTGGGCAAAAAAGATAGAAGATAATACAGAAAATAATCAGCAATACTAGATCAACAAAAAAGATTTTAGTTATGAATTATATTCTAGTTTACAACCTTGTAAAGTGCCCATTTTTGAAGATGCACATAGACTTAAGTGAGTGATGCAGGCTTTTGAGAGTCTCTAGTTTATAATTGCAATTATTTTCATTACAATTACTTAAGATATTTTAAAGTAATAATTACATCACAAATTACATTTCCAAATTCATTGAAAAAAACTTAACAAACTAACATTATATTGGATATTATATAGAACATAAATTAATTCAAATTATTTTAAGTTGTGAAAATAACACTGTTTTTCCATTGAACTTAAAAGTAAAAGTTTACACTGTTAATTAAGGTCCAACAGGAGAAAGTTAGAAAATTGGAAGAGAAAAAGATAATTGTATGAACATGGATAAATGATTTTCTTGTCCTTTTCAGCATTATATCAGAATCTTCATCACAATACACAGAACAAAAGGAACCTCAGTTGTCATCATGGGAAAAATGGTTGATTCAAAAAAGTAAAAGTGAAAGGAAAAAACAAAGAGAAATTAGGAGAGCAAAAAAACAAGAAAAAACACAAAAAGAAAAGGAAAAACAGGAAAAGGAAATGAAAGAAAAGAAAGCAGAGGAGAGGAGGAAAGAATGGTTAGAACAAAAAAGTTATGAAGAAAAATTACGTAAAAAGAATGATAGACAGAGAAAAAGATTAGAAAAAGACTTAAAGGAAAATGAAAAGAGACGTATAGCTGTTAAAGCTGAGGGTAATTATGATGAGTGGATGGAAAGAAAAAAGAAAGAAGAAAAAGATTTGAAAAAAGAACAGAAACGAAGACAACAAGAGATAGAACATGCAAAGAAAAAACAACAAATAGACGCACAACATAAATATGAAGAATGGTTACACAGGTCCAAGAACCGACCTAAATCTGTTCCAAATAGTTTTGGTTATACTTCTGGAAAATTAACAGGTATGTGATATCAATGTTGGTTTTTAAAGAAATTGCTTTTATGCTATAGCGTATAGCCATCTTTGTGACCCAGATCAGAGACTCTGCCCAGATCAAGCCAAAGTTTTTTTAATAGCAGATTCCTGGTCTGTCATTCTAAAACTCCTATATGTATGTTTTCTAATGCAATACATGAATTGAACCAGTTGAAAAACATTAGTGGGTTTGAGAAGTTTCAACATATGTTCTTGTAGATGTATTTTTGTATTTAAGTGGACAACCGTTTGACTATCAAAGAACATAGATGTCCGAGTGAAAAAAGTGCATTTTTATACCTGCAATTTCGTTCTTGAGTATTTCAACAAAATATTGAATCATGTCAGTTGTTGATTTAATATTGAAAAATTTTACTGAATTATCTCTTATACGGTTTTATGTTGTTTAATTCGTGTTTATTTTTGAAAGAGGTCAAGTTGCTCTTGTTCATTCATAAAATTATCGTAAAATCACTAAACACGTTATAGTAATGTAATCTTATCTCGCAATATTAGTTTTAAATTAAAAGTAGCACAGTTTACGCATTCCAATTACTCTTACCATGTTTTTAATACTTCCATGAAATAACGGGGCCTGTTATTTATTAAGGGTTTTGCTGTTGATACTGATAGACTCCACTCTGTAAAAAAATGATATAATGACAGTGTCAAATGTCATAATAACCCTAATGATTACCTGTACGTATCTAAAAATAGACCATAACTGATAGTTATGTTAAATATAGTTCCCTGTAATTTTCATGCCTATGTACATATGCACTTATATGAACTGTGAAAAATTTGTTTATATCTTTGGAGCAGTTCATTCAAGTATGTATGTCTTTAGTTTTGTCAACTTACAGGCTAGGTCTGTCATTTTAATTACCGGTAGGTAAGAGTAATGATACGTTACCAGCATGATTGACAACTGCCATGATCACCAAACAATCAGAGACAATGGGCCTTAATTAGAATGTCCAACCTCCTTAAATGCCAATCATATTGACCAAATTACTAATCAATGTCAGTCTTACATAATTAAGCAGATCCTTTATTATACATCTCAATACACAAATACTTGACCTCATTATTGAATACACAAATGTATATATTACATGTTTGATATATAGAAATGATAGATTTATTCATTGCCTATTACTACATAAAATTAAATGATTCTATAAATTATGTGTCTGAAAGATAAATGATTCAGAATAAACAAGATTTTTTTTTCAAAAGAAAAGACAAAATATTAAATAAAGATATAAAAAAGAGATATTCAAATAAGGTCTATATTTTACATGATTAATTTGTGCAATACATGTAATCATATGTAATGAAACAATAATTTAAGTTAAACAAAAGTGATTTGCTCAAAACAGTAATCAAATTTCAAAACTCTTAACTTAGTAAACCCTAGCAATATACTTTTTTTTAGTTTATTCTCCATCAAATTTCTTTGAACAATATTAGTCATTTGAATACAGGAAGTGTATTTTTGCAATGAAGAATGAATCCCTATTTCAATAAAATAAGTTTTTTTAATTTATTTATGTTGAAAAAGTACATTTTCAATGCCCTTTTTTGGAAAATATTAAAACAAAAATTGAATTTAAATGCATCCTACACCTTTTAATCTTCATAGTCATATAATTATGATAATTGTTTTCAAAATCAATAAGCAGTTCTTAGAAGAGAAAAATATTATACCTATGTTTCAAGTTACAAAATGTCCCAAAACAACAATTTTTATTTTAATTTTTGGAAAAAATCAAGTCTGTCTGTTTGTCCCATGTCCTACAAGGATAACTAATAAACTTTATTAGAAGAATCTTTATTTGGTAGTTTCTTCTGTTTTTAAAGATAAACTGTAAACGGTGAAACATGTAACAGGGAACATTTTTTGGTTAAGATTAATTGCAATTTAAACTAAATTGGTGACCCACTCTCATCGATTCATATTTAGCTCATTTGCAATAGTGCTTCATGTATATTAATGTTCTTTTTTGTCCACAACATACTTAAATATAATTTGAAATTATTCAAACTACTCTTCCAAACTTTCCATGAGTGATTTCCATCACTTTGATTGTAAGAAAGCTGTCAATTAATAAAAAAATAGTAGATTTTTGCCTAAATGTCATGCTTGTTTTGAAAGCCAAAAATGTATGATTATATAGCTAAGAAAAACAGCAAAGGAATTCTTGTTAAGGCCTGAACAGATTTCCTGATCATGATTTTGTGTCTGGATGCGCCATTTCATGAACCCATGCGTCTGGGGTAAGTGTCCTGATTTGATGGATAATCTTGGTGATTACAGAACTCATACAATTACTAGACCTTGGTACCAGTATATATATATATATATATAATACATGTATGTATCCTCGGGGAGGAAGTAAAGAAACAGATCTACTCTAACATCGTTAGGTTGATTTTCAAGGCACTTTATACATATTCTAACGCCTGGTATTTCTTAATCATAAGAAATCCGATGGACAAGGTATAATTTGCAGTTGTCACTACACATAGGCAGACATATACATATATTAATTTACAGTGATTGTATGATTCTAAAAATAGATTAGCATCCTGTAATTATACTGAAGAGATGAGTAGATGATCATTTCTGTACACTAAAAAAATACTTTGTGTATTGTATCAGATATCCTTGTTTAATTCCTACGAGAAGGTAACACCTCCCAAAACGAAAGCTGATTTTTATCAGCTATAGTTAGAGGAGGGGATAAGGTGTCTGGGCAATGCTAGGCGTTGTTGTCGTAGAAGTTAGAAATAAAAAGTACAGGTTCCAGCCCCGCTCGGGGAGGAAGTAAAGAAACAGATCTACTCTAAAATCGTTAGGTTGATTTTCTAGGCACTTTATACATATTCTAACGCCTGGTATTTCTTAATCATAAGAAATCAGATGGACAAGGTATAATTTGCAGTTGTCACTACACATAGGCAGACATAATACATGTATGTAATATAAGTAAAATGATTGACAGCTTGAACTAATATTAGACACTGATCACATTTCTATTTATCCATGGCGGCTCCCACAAGTCAGTATTGCATTTGACTTACAAGGTGGTCAGAACGTATACAATTACTATACCTTAGCTGAGAAAAATCAATAAAAGATGAAAGAATCATTAAAATTATAATTAAACTGGTAAAGTTATATAATAAGATTAAGATCAACCTCATCTGATAGCATTCAATGTCAGGTTATGATTTTGATTGTACCATAGGTTCAGTGTTCATGTCTTATCCTGATTTTGATTGTACCATAGGTTCAGTGTTCATGTCTTATCCTGATTTTGATTGTACCATAGGTTCAGTGTTCATGTCTTATCCTGATTTTGATTGTACCATAGGTTCAGTGTTCATGTCTTATCCTGATTTTGATTGTACCATAGGTTCAGAGTTCATGTCTTATTCTGATTTTGATTGTACCATAGATTCAGTGTTCATGTCTTATCCTGATTTTGATTGTACCACAGGTTCAGTGTTCATGTCTTATTCTGATTTTGTTTGTGCCATCGGTTCAGTCATAGAAATTGGGGTTTGGCATTTACAGGACCGAATTGATGATTCTTCAAATTTTTCTTAGGAATGAATTATAAAATTAACAAAAATCGACAGGACCAAATATATTTTTACAGGACATGTCCTGTGGGTCCTGTGCTAATTTTGAGGACTGCCAGTTTAATGATCATCAACTTCATGTCTGATTGTACTCCATGTTCAGTGTTCATGTCTGATTCTGATTTTGATTGTACCACAGGTTCAGTGTTCATGTCTGATTCTGATTGTGTTTGTACCGTAGGTTCAGTGTTCATGTCACAATCTGATTTTGATTGTACCACAAGTCCAGTGTTCATGTCTGATTCTGTTTTGATTGTACCACAGATTCAGTGTTCATGTTATATAATGATTTTGATTATATCACAGGTTCAGTGTTCATGTCAGTTCTGTTTTTGTTGTACCACAGGTTTATTGTTCATGACAGATTATGATTTTGATGGTACCACAGGTTCAGTGTTCATGTCTGATTCTGATTTTGTTTTACCACAGGTTCAGTGTTCATGTCAGAATCTGTATACATGGCATATTTATACAATGTTCAGATTTTGAAAACACACTTACTGTTGGTGTGAAATACATGACAGTATTTATTTGTAGGTAACTAAGAAGAAATTTCCACATCTCATAGTAATCATAATCTTCATTTGAAATGAAAGTCAGAGATTTTCTTAATAATTCTTTAATTTTATTAAAAAAAAGAAATAAATAGCTATAACATCAATATAAAGAAAAATCTAAAAGGCTTTATAAAAGTGAACTACAACAGGTACAAAATGTATATAAGTAACAAAGAGTATACATAACAATAAGAAACCATTTAAAAATATTGCAGTAGTTAAGATAAGTATATGAAATTTCAAACTACAAGTTAATATATATATTAATCTTATCATTGCACTTCACTTTGTTGTAGTTTATAGTATGTATGTGTATACATATATATGTGCATTTGTGACATACATGTATTCAATAATATATAAATATAAAAACTTTAGATGAAAATTACATTTTAAAAATAATAACAAACATCAATATGTAGAATAGATTTGAGTTAAGTTAAAGCTCATTTATCTCAGGATAAGAAATAGTTCAAACTTGAACAGTTTTCGATTTCCGTTCTGTCTTGGTTGTGTATGACAACCCTAAATATAGTTTTAATGTATATAATATACCCTTCTACTTTATGCTAGAACACAATTAGTTGTATTAAATGCAAAGCATTAAACAAAGTTATGTTCAAATTATAATATCGTTGTAAGTATGTTTTGTATGATTGAAGTTTTATGATTCAACAGACTGTTGTGTTGGTTGTTGTTCTTGTTGAGTAGTCTCCCCTCCCTGTACTTCCTGTTGTGTAGAGAGTTCTTGTTGCTGAGTTTCCTCTTTTCCATCAGATTCCTGTTGAACTGATGGTGGTGATAACTTATCTTTCATATCCTTAATGACATCAGAATGATCACGATAATCTGAAGGTGTTCTTTTTAACTAAAAAAAAACCCAGAATAAAACAAATTTGAGCAATCTTCAAAACAAGGATTTGTACAGTGAGACAAATCCTTGTCCAAAATGACTTCTTAATATTTTACTTGAAAGTAATAATTTGAACTTTTTGTATATATCTAATAGACAATTTTATTTCTACAAAGAATTGAAATACTTGTGTAACTGAAAGTAATTGGTAACTTAATTTATATACATACATGTTAATAAGATAAGAGATTTAGGTGTTTAATAAGCTCCTCTTTCCCTGACATCATAGAATGAGACTTATTACAGAATTAATACTTGCAATGAGTAACCCAACGAGTGCCACTGGTGAAGCAGGAACTGTTTACCAATTGGGAGCACCTGATTTCAATCCCAGTTAAGGTTGGGGTTACATGCTCAATCTTTATTTTTGTGTATAGTGAGTTGTTGATTTGTGGCCATGTTGTTGTATGTTTTTTTTTACTCAAGGTTTTTGATTGCCTCCTCTCTATCTTCTCCCTCCTTTTAACATGCCTGATCGTTTGATTACAGAGACGATTTTATTACTCCATAAGCCATTAATATCATAATTGTAATTATTTTTAGGATAACAATAATCATTTTAATAATGTTAAATAATTTGTGATTTTGTGTTAAGAAAAAGATAAGAAAATCCCATACAAGTGCATGGCTTAAAAATAATTTGTTACTACATATATAACTTATTAGTTTTAACCAGTTCAGTACAGTCAATAAGTTTGAACAAACATTTCTGATCATGTTAATTCTACATACCACATCTTTAACTGTTGTATCAGCATCATTGGCCAGTAGTAATGTTACTAAATCTTCATTGTTTAATCCCATAGCATAATGTAAGGGTGTTCTGTTCATCTGGAGAAAAATAAAAACCGCAATTTATAAAAAGTATAATTATGGTAGGACAGTTTAGTTGTAATAGTGTAATATTCATTAAATGGCCATATGTCTTGTCCATATTACTGGAATTAACTTAATGTGAGAAAAATATGGTCTGTAGCAGAGACAGATTTCAGCTTTTTTGTTCACATTATATCAGTGTTGATTGTAATTTGACTATTAAAATGTAAAGTTAGAGGTACAGTACAATTTTTTCACCTCTTATGTAAGTAAGGAAATTTTTGATGAAAACGGACTTGTTTGACTCATAGATGATAGTCTTTCCATGCGACTTACATTAATAAGAATGACTTACATGATCTTTACATTTGACTGTAGCTGGGAAAGACTTTGCTATATAGTCTACAACCTCATTATTTTCTGTCAGCACTGCTATATGTAACGGACATCGACCCATGTTGTCCCTAGCTGTAGCTAATTTTTTACGTTCTAAGGTTTGTTGAACATCTCGTAAAACACCCTTTTGTACCACTGTGAAAACTTCTTGTATTTTTTTCTAAAAAATGACAACACATATTTCAATATTTACATGTACTGTAAATTTATAGATAGCTTTAAGGGCAGTCCTCTTCTCTCTTTTTCACAAAAATCACTATATACATGTAGTAAAAGTAAATTTGATAAAAACAGTTTAGGTTACCTCTGACATTATTTTTTCCTTTTAGCATTTCTCATTGTGAATTTTAAAAAGACTGTCTGGTGGGAATTATTTTTAGTTTTCGACCTAAGCAAAATTAAAGCAGAAACTATTTCAGATAAAATGATGTGTACTAAATAAATATCTGGCTGGATAATGAAACCTTTTTTTCAAACTTTTGTAGGAGATTATATAATTGAAGGTAAGGTATCTGCATAGCTAGGATATAGATATAGTCACAATTCCTTTAGCTAGACATAATTTACCACAATGTTATAAAGATTGAAGTGTATGCACAATTTTTGTTTATCTCAATTTTAAAAAGAAATTTTTTTCGAGATGTCTTTTCATGAGGCAGGCAGTATGATCAATGATAAATTTGAAATAAACAGAATTTTCCTGCCCATTAAACTCACCATATAGTCTGGTATAGAAGAAGTAAATTGTTTTAAGTCCTCTGATTGGTCAGTGATAGACTCCAGAATAGATTCCAGTTTGTCATATCCTTCCAACACTAATTGTTCTAATTCATCAACATTCTCTTCCTTTAACAAATCTCTAACATAATTATCTACAATATACAATTAAATAGAATTATATCTGTGCATTCATATATCACCAATAACATTTCAGTTATTAAATAACCTACAAACTATCAAAATTTTACTTAACAATCTGTTTTCACTGTGATTCCAATGAAGGATTGGCTAATAAAAAGGATTATAAGTTCAGTGATTAATCAGAGTATCCAAATAACATTTGAAAAAATGGTTTTCTGGTTTGGTGGAAGTGCAATATTTTCATAAATAATATGATTGTAAATGTATACAAATCTACCAACCTATAGCCTGTACATTGTCTGAGATTCCAGCAACCTCAGCTAAATCCCTAGCTGTCCTTTGATCAGCATCACGCTCAGCAATACTATATCCCATATTAATCAATGTTCTCATGTCAGCACCTAGTACAAATAAATGTTTATAACATCAAGTGATGCAGTATAAATTTTCATATTACTATAATTTTTTTTTTTCAATCCTATAGCTGAAGATTTTTCAGTTAAATTGTTTGGTCATTTGGAGCAATTTTGCATGTTTTAAATATAGAGTGAAATAACAGTGTAATCAGTTTATTTACTTAGCTGTGCAGTATGGGTTTCACTCATTGCTGAAGGCAGTATGGTGACCTATAGTTGCTAACATTTAAGTTGTTTGGTCTCTGGTGGATAATTGATACCACATCTCATTATTTTATATTACAGCACAAAGCATGTATAATGTAATATAGGAAATCATACATCATGTGACTCCTTTTTCTGATATTTATTACCAGCTGTGATTTTAGTTGCTTCTGCATTGGTTATGTGATATATGATACATTACTGTGAAAATTTTGTGAATTTGGATTTGATGTATCATTCATGATTGAAAAAAAAACCAGACTGGTACCCTGCATTGTGTAAACTTCTTTGAGAATATATGTTTGTCCAGGTCACACTTTTATTGGGAGAAGTGTTCTTCATGTTTGTAACCAGATGGCTGTAAATAATGTCCTCTTATAACATTATTTGCAGGACAATGTAAGAAAAAGTGAGATATTCAATATTATCAAGGGAGATAATTTTACCTTCCTGTGCTGCCAATCTGTGTAACTCAGTCTGTCCTTTACTGTCTTTTTCTTTACTTGGAGTTTCTTCCTCTCCTTCTTCTGTCACAGTCTCAAGATTTGGTCTTTGTGCCAAAGCTGCCTCTTTAGCTCTGTGTTGTTAAAAATTGACTTGACGAGATATTAACTAACATATGCAACATAAAAGTACTGGTAAATGAAACTCTACTACAACTGATTATACATGAAAATCTTTGCATGATTTTCTTACCCCCTCCCCCCCCCCCCCCCCCCCCCCCCCCCCCCCCCCCCCAAAAAAACAAAAAACATACAAAAAAACAAAAAAACCTATATTTCCATTTCTTCAAAAATATTTCTTTCCCAAAAAAATCATTTCTGTCTGCAGCAAAGTAAATCTACAGATAAATGAAGAGAATTAATACTCAATATTTCAATTAATACAACAAAACATCCCATCCTCTAATAACTACAATCACAATACTTACTTTCTTTGGAGTTCCTCTTGTTCCTTCTTCTTTCTCTCTTCTTCCTCTTTTATTTTTCTTTGTCTTTCTTCTTCTTCTAGTTGTTTCTGTTCAGTCTTTATCCTCTCTTTCCTTTCTGCCTCCAAGACTTTCTCTTCCTCTGCTTGTTTCAGATTTTCAATCAGAGCTTCTTGCTGAAATACAAGATATGTTTGTAATACAACACAAATAAGTCAAAATTAACATTGAAGTTAAAGATATGTTTGTAAAAACTAATATAGGGTAAAAAAAACGAAAATAACCACTAAGATTTGCTGCTAAGAAAGGGAATTTTAAAAAGTTCATGGTAATGTAGTAGATAATGTATGTTTTGCGATGATTTTTTTCAGTTTTACCTGCATGTTATGGTCCATATTCTCTCTGTATTTATATAGCCACTTTGACAAATACTCAATGGGGTCTTTTGGTCGTTTTTCAGCCAATTCAGCCAAAGCAAATGTTAATGCTGATCCTAAATGCTCTGCTACATATTTTCCATCAATTGTTGTTGGTTTGGTGCCAGTACGAGGCCTGGTATCTTGAGAAACATATATACGACGATAACTTCTAGCACTGCCACTACTTTTATCTGAGACTTCTGGTTTTTCCTCTGTTGTAACAACAGCACTATCCAATATTTCTTTGAATTTTTCCTTTAAACCTACAACTCCAATTTTCATTGGATCATCATAGTAATCTTTTGGTGTGCATCCATTCTGAAATTACAAAACAAATAATCAGTTTCAGTCTTTGAATTGTAAGAAGACACTTGGAAATAGTCTATTTTTATCTTGAATTTTGCAAAAACTATTAAGAAATTTACTGCATTTTTTCCACTTTGAAAGTATGACAGATTTGGGGGCAGTTTATCATAATGATCATCACAAGAAACAATGGAAAGGATACATGATGTTACTGGTTGAATGGGACATTGATTTAATGGTGTATACACACTTTAAACTTACAATATCTTTAATACTTTCATCACCTCCAGCCTCCTTTAGAAGTTCATACATATGTCCTCCATCCTGTTTCCCTCCAGCATAATGAAATGGTGTTCTTCCCATCTGTTAATATAATCACAAATCTATCAGTCATCATAATTAATGATTCAAATCAAACTTTGAAAACATCTTTATATATTATATTATTGTTATTTATGTGCTATTACATTATAAGTCACTAAGCCTAAGCAATCATCTCCCATGCTAAAGCATGACACTATAGAATTTTAAGATTTTGATATATTTAAGCCAAATACTTACCCCATCTTGGAAATTTATTGCTTCTTTGAATTCTTTGACCATTTCATGTACTACATCCATTTGAGACAAAACAACAGCTTTCTGGAAGGGAGGTAATCCAGTTTTGTCTGCAGCCTCTAGTAATTTCTTTCGATCAAGTAAATTTTTTAGCTCTCTAACTTTTTCCTGTTCAACAGCCTCATGTACTTGCTTTATCTTTGTCTGAAATTTGAAGGTCTCTCATGATTCTTGTTAGAAGTGAATACAAGTTGAAGATTTATATGTTGTTACTTATTCAAAGATATTTATTGTATGAATTCAAAACACAATTTATTCTATGTGAACTAGGTAATATTTACTATTTTTGACTTTAAATAAGTCTTTAAGAAAATTGTTTGTACAGATATAAATAAGATTGCAGGGGACATATTTACCTGAAATTCAGGCAGTTTAGACATAAAACCTTCTAGATCTTCTGACACAGCTTTAGCCTGTTCAATAGTAACAGGCCAGATTTCCCATCCAGATAAACACAGCTTTTCCAGTTGATCCATATCACCTTTCATGATAAGTTCCTTAATGTGAAGATTCAGGGCTGTCTCAGCTTCATCTGGATAGTTACATTTGGATATAAGATCAGCTACTGTCTGGCCATCACTTCTTCGAATTGAAATATCTACTTTCTCTAACAGGAGTTTGAAAATGTCAACTGGTGCTCCTAATTGGACAGCTGCATGGAGATAGGTTGTTCCGTCTGTATTTCTGACTAATGGGCTCTCTCCCTTGTTTAATAGTTCTTTCACATCGTTGATATTTTTATCCTTTATGGCTTGATAAAGTTTATTTGTTTCAAAGTCTGCCATTTCTGAAAATTGTTATAAAATTCATAAGAATAGCCTTTTGACCAGTATTTAATTATGAACCTTTAGACAAAATATTTCAGACTATAAAAAGTTGGACATATAATTGTAAAAGTATATACTGTATTATTACTTTATGGAGTTTTAACATTAAAATTGTTAGCAGATGTTTCCTTTACATAAATAGTATGGTATAAAGTCAAATCTAGTATCTAACTTTAAAGACAGTCCTTTCAAGCATCAGAATTTGATCAACCAATATATAACTTATATGCAGTTTTTGTTGGTTTTTGTTTTGTTTATTTGTTTGTTTTGTTTTTGTTTTTGTTTGTTTTTGTTGTTGTTGGAATTTTGGATGAAGGGGCATTTGGGGTGTCTGTAAGGGAAAACCACTTTTTTTAAGTAATAGAAAAGATTGAAAAAAAGCATTATTCATTTTAAAAACTCCTTTCATTCCCATCTTTTGGTCTACTCCCCTTTTACAGGTATAAATGTATATTGAAAGATTTGATATATAATCCTAGTCCATTCATATCTCATTGAAACATAAGTTACATAACCCAGTGATTTCTAATTAATTCAAAATTGTTGTTGTATGTTTTCAGAACCTATAAATTTCACTTAATGAAGAGGAATCATTGTCTAGAAATATATATCATCTAGCTACAGATGAACTATAAATTATGTATAAACTGTCTGTTGAATTATTCATAATTATTCAAAACTCCCCCCTATTATTGCCTATTTATATTAAAGCCCGCTCATGTTTCCAAAATGAAATATATATGCATTACCCTCATAATAAATCACCCATAAAGATCAAGTATAATCTATGATTACCTGTTATAAACAATAGGTGTTTAGTATAAATCCAATGTTCATCAACAGTTTACCTGATCAGACAGGTGTAAGGTTGTCAGGTAGATTGTTTACCTTGGTGATCAGTGGGGCCACAGTGGGAGATTTAAGTCATTTAAAAGCTTTTTAAATTTACCTGTAAATACGTATTTATTTTAATTGAATGTGAAAAAGCCTGTAAGTCTCTGAATAGACATTTTAACATAATACATGATATTAATAATTCCACTTAATAATGGGATATGTATTGAAAAATTTCAAAATTTATGATTAATCTTGAGAACATTATACAAAATAGTTCTTAGAGTCTATTTTATGCAATGTATTGTGTTAGTATATTACAGCAAATATGAAAGCATTTCATTAGATGTTTATTGTTTATTTTAAATATTGTAAGTAGTGATAAAAAATATAAATACTTTGCTGTTAAAAAATATTAATTGCAATAACCAAATTGTAAGATTCAACAGAATCTAGAAAAATGAACCCAAATTTGAACAGTCTTTTTTACATTTGATCATATTTCTACTTTGAACAGTCTATTTTTAAATTTACATTTGATCGTATTTCTACTTTGAATGTAACACTCACACATAGACAATTTTAATTACTTTCTTGTTAGTATTTACTAAACGTTTCTACTTGTAAGTTCAGTAAGTAATACAGGATACTCTGACTGGCACTGTAATCTGAGTCTTTGTTATAACAGCTAAAGTGCAATTAAGGATAAAAATAAGAAAGTTCAGAATTAAATATTTTTTTCAAACAAATGTATTTTAGTTAAGTTTTCAAAATGAAAGAGTAAATCTCAAATGGTGGGAATGTGATAATAAGTGAAAGCTGTGGGAAAATGAATGAAACATAATAATCAATAAGACTTTTAATTATGAATAGATAAAACAGTGTGAAAAAGGACTGTGTTCTGTTATTAAATGGATTTAGTTGCCTTAGTGAAAATAATTTTGGCTAGTGCCTTTCCTGATAAAATCTTACAATTTGGTTATTGCAATTAATATTTTTTAACAGCAAAGTATTTATATTTTTTATCACTACTTACAATATTTAAAATAAACAATAAACATCTAATGAAATCTTGAATTTTTCTCCCCCAGTTTTCCTTAGACTGACTCACTGAAAAGCTGTGTACATGGAGTAGTATATTTTGGTATGATTAAAGTTTAGGTAAAATGGAAGTAGAGTACAGTTACATTGTGAATTGTGAAACCCTTGAAGAAGAAAGAAAGAAACTATAATTATTGTTGGTCAGATCCTTATATCAACTATTAACTCAACAAATATTGTTATATTATAAAAATCATATAAATTTATCAAAGTCATAAATGTGAAAGTCAGTCCTTCAAGTTAGTTTGAATTGTGTTGTTCACAAATGTATGCAATTACTTTACCCAATAGTTATGTTTAGATGTATGTAAATTAAAAATAAGGAGATGTGGTATGATTGGCAATGAGACAACTAACCACCAGCAACCAAAGGACGGGATATTAACAACTATAGGGCACTGTACAGCCTTCAACAATTAGCAAAACCCATACTGTGTAGTAAGCTATAAAATGCATGAAAAAATGTGAAAGAATTCAAAAGAGAAAACCAATGGCCTGATTTCTGTAAAGCAAATAAGGCAGACGGCAACCAATGAAAACCACTGCGTTTCAGGTTCCTGGTTTTGGACAGGCACATAAAGAATGTGGGTTAAACTTGTTTGTGAGCGATCAACCCTCCCCTAACCTAGGTCAGTGGTGTTACAGCACAACATAAGAACAAATTTGTTTTCTATAACTATGAAAAAGCAGTTTTATGAGAAGTAAAGTAATTGTAAACACTTACTGTGCTTGTTGTATATTTAACAGTAGTTATCCTCTTCCCAGGTGACCTTTATATCTGTTTGTTTGCAAAGAACATTTGCAGTTAGTCAATAGATGTAAATATCAGACCATTTTATATATATTAAACTAATGATATATTATGATTTCAGGTTACCATGACACTAATGCATATCCAGTGCCAACATTCTACAATCCTTTACCATGGCAACCAATACCTATTCCAAGACAGAAACAAGAGAAAAAAGTCAGACCCAAAACAAAACGATATGTGTGGAAGCCTGAAAAATATTTGTAACTGTTAATTGATGTTTAGTATTGTAAACTAGTATTTTTTATACGACCGCAAAAATTAAAAATTTTTTGGTCGTATATTGGTATGACGTTGGCGTTGGCGTCGTCCGGCGTCGTCCGGCGTCGTCCGAAGACACATTGGTTTTCGCACTCTAACTTTAGTTTAAGTGAATGGATCTCCATGAAATTTTACCATAAGGTTCAATACCACGAAAGGAAGGTAGGGATTGATTTTGGGGGTTATGGTACCAACAGTTAAGGAATTAGGGGCCAAAAAGTGGCCAAAAATAAGCATTTTTGTAACTTCCAGACAATAACTTGTGTGTAAGTGTATGGATCTCTCTGACATTGTACCACAAGGTTCCATATCACAAAGGGAAGGCTGTAATTGATTTTGGGGGTAATTGCCTCAAAATTGTAGGAATTAGGGGCCAAAAAAGGGGCAAAAAACAAGCATTTTTCTAGTTTCATGACAATAACTTGTGTGTAAGTGTTTGGATATTTCTGAAATTGTACTACAAGGTTCCATATCACAAAGGGAAAGCTGGAATTGAGTTTGGGGGTAATTGCCTGAAACGTTTAGGAATTGGGGGCCAAAAAGGGGCCAAAAATAAGCATTTTTCTAGTTTCCACACAATAACTTGTGTTCAAGTGTATGGATCTCTCTGAAATTGTACTGCAAGGTACCATACCACAAAGGGAAGGCTGGGATTGAGTTTGGGGGTGATGAATCATAAGGGGGTTCAAAGAATTTGGGGGGGGGGGGGATTTTTTTTTTTTTCTTTTTTTTTCTTTTTTTCCTTTTTTTTTTCTTTTAAAATTTTCCATTTTAAGTTGGTTATTTCTGATTTATATTTAAAAGCAAATTATAATGATATGGTAGGAGATACACACCAAACAGGATGTGTAAATTATTATATAATAAGTATTGTGCAATAGCTAGAAATTTTCAATTGCACAGTATTGCACAATAGCAAGAAATCTTCAATTGCACAGTATTGCGCAATAGCAAGAAATCTTCAATTGCACAGTATTGCGCAATAGCAAGAAATATTCAATAGCACAATATTGCGCAATAGCAAGAAATTGTCAATTGTACAGTATTGCGCAATAGCAAGAAATATTCAATTGCACAGTATTGTGCAAAAGAAGATACTTCATATAAATTGCTTATTTCTTGATCAATTTCAATGGGGTTTTATTCTTGAATTCTTGGGGTCTTTAATATGCTGAATCTAACTGTGTACTAAGTTTTTGGATTTTGGGCCCCGTTTTTAAATTGGTCCACATTGAGGTCCAAAGGGTCCAAAATTTAACTTTGTTTGATTTCATCAAAAATTGAATTATTGGGGTTCTTTGATATGCCGAATCTAACAGTGTATTTAGATTCTTAATTTTTGGTTCCGTTTTCAAATTGGTCTACATTAAGGTCCAAAGGGTCCAAAATTAAACTTAGTTTGATTTTAACAAAAATTGAATTTTTAGGGTTCTTTGAAATGCTGAATCTAAACATGTATTTAGATTTTTGATTATGGGCCCAGTTTTCAAGTTGGTCCAAATCGGGGTCCAAAATTAAACTTTGTTTGATTTCAACAAAAATTGAATATATGGGGTTCTTTGATATGCTGAATCTAACCATGTATTTAGATTTTTGATTTTTGGGCCTCGTTATCAACTTTGTCCACATTGAGGTCAAAAGGGTCCAAAATTAAACTTTGTTTGATTTCATCAAAAATTGAATTCTTGGGGTTCTTTGATATGCTGAATCTAACCATGTATTTAGATTTTGGATATTGGACCATAATAGGTGAATGTCCAATTTAAAATTTTTAAGTTCTTAGACCACATTCATTCTGTGTCAGAAACCTATGCTGTGTCAAATATTTAATCACAATCCAAATTCAGAGCTGTATCAAGCTTGAATGTTGTGTCCATACTTGCCCCAACTGTTCAGGGTTCGACCTCTGCGGTCGTATCAAGCTGCGCCCTGCGGAGCATTTTATTATTTATTGTTCCAGCATTTTCATGTCACATCTAGGACATACACTGAAGTATTTTTGAATTCTTTGAAGGCATATCCCATTTTCATATGGCTAGGAGTTCAACTATACTCCTAATATTGTTTCTCTTTAGAAGGTAATGACTTTTAGATTTTCCTTGTAAATCTGGGAAATTGAAATCTTCATTAAGACACAGTTGCTGAAGATATCTATATGAAGATGATGATCTGATTTATGTGATACTTTTCACCATTATAATGGGTTTTATTAGTATACAATATAACATAGTACATACAAATGTGGGCAATATATTAGTTTTAATTTTAATTTTAAAAGAGAATTTGTAGTTATGTGATTCCATTTTGTATGTGATAACTACTTTCTAACAAATAGGATTCTGGTCCAACATACTTCTTTCTAAAGATTAAATGAAATTTTTATTGTATAAGATTTATTCAGAAAATTAACCAAGACAGTATGAGCAAGATAGTGTAGCAAGTAAAATATTGATTTTCCTGGTTCAAAGGTTACTGATATTACAGTGTAGTATTGGCCTTTTAAAAATAAGGAGATGTGGTATGATTGCCAAAGAGACAACTATCCACTAGAGTTCAAAAGAGGTGAATTAAAGCAAATAAACGGTCATGACAAAAATGTTATACAATTAAAATAAGAAAACCAAAAGTCTATTAATTGTTTGAAATATAAAAGGTTCGTAATTATTTTATTATCTCATTAATTAGAATAATATTATTACAATGTATTATTGAAATTAAAATTACAACACAATTGTGCACATCAAAATCTATATAAAGAGTTGAAGCATTTATACCATAAAGATGAAGGATAAAGTGATAGCTAAAATGACCAGGATGAATATATAGAATGTGTTGCTGGTAAACATTACATATACAAAGTTTCACATAGTTGAAGGCCATAAGGTGACCGGGGGCCTCGGTGGCCGAGTGGTCTAAGTAGTAACTACTGTAATCACTAGCCAGTCAACACTGAGGTTGTGAGTTCGATCCCCGCTCGTGCGGGTGCACTTGACTCCAATCTTAATTGACTAGGATTGTCAGTTTTCCTATCAAAGGCCGGTGGTTTTCTCCGGGTTCTCCAGCTTCCTCCACCAATAAAAATTGGCCGCCACGAAATAGTCCAAAAGCGGTGCTTAAAAGTGGCGTTAAAACACCAAAAATCAAATCAAATCATAAGGTGACCTGTAGTTGCTCACACAATACATAATTTGGTCTCTGGTGAGAAGTTTTCACATAGGCAATGATACCACATCTTCTTATTTTATATTTATTTGTGTTACTTATTTAAATGTAATGACTTAAGGAAACTAATTATGTTATGAATAAAAGGAGGAAAGAATGTCAGATTGTGTTCAAGGGTTTGTTAATTTTTAAAGCTGCCAAATTCATGTCCAAAATCTCAAATTTGATTTACTGCATATTGTTTCAGAATTTCAAAAAATCTTTAAGACTCAATAAACTGTGCATGGAATCTTAAAAAAAATATGAACATTTGGGACTGGATGCCATCTTATTAACCATATATATGGCCCAATAAGATTGCTGATGGCCATGTGACCATGATATAAATATTATTAGATAATACAAACAGATTAATATAAAATTATTCAATATTCCGTTCCTGTACATGTTTGAAAAAACAACTTCATATTTTTCACCTTCATAGCTTATGGCACTTTATGTAACTGTAGACTTGGTCTCATAGAATGACCAGTTGTATAATTGTATCAGAAATGAGTTTTCCTGTATTGAGTGCAAATTTTTCAGCTATCCTGTTAAATAAGTCTATATTGTTCTTTGTTTATCATCTGTTTGCATGCTTTTTTCATATTTATTGACCTTGAAGTACATGTCCATTGTGTGGAACAAGTTCCTTATAGTTTTGATAAGTTATTTCATTTACTTAGTATCATTCATGTTATTTCCTTTGTAAATGAGACATAATAAGTTGTTTTATGTCAAAATAGAGATGATTTACAAACCTGTAGTATAAATGATTGACTGAATAAAAGGTAGTGATAGTTGTTGATAGTTATTAGATAATTTGTGTTATTATATTTTTTATTTTCGCTAACTCTGTGATATTTAGGCAATAAAATTGTACTTACCACCAGTTTGTTTATTTTTATCACCTAAAAGTTATAGTTAACATGGTTATTCATATTTTTGTTTAGTCTAACATACCATAGTTTTACTTACTTTGTCTTGTGTTATGGTCATACCTCATATTTTTGTTTGGCCTAACATACCAGAGTTTTATTATCTTTGTCTTGTGTCATAGTCATACCTCATATTTTTGTTTGGCCTAACATATACAAGAGTTTTATTATCCTTGTCTTGTGTCATAGTCATACCTCATATTTTTGTTTGGCCTAACATACCAGAGTTTTATTATCCTTGTCTTGTGTCATAGTCATACCTCATATTTTTGTTTGGCCTAACATACCAGAGTTTTATCATCTTTGACTTGTGCCATGGCCATAACTCATATTTTTTTTTTGGCCTAACATACCAGAGTTTTATCATCTTTGTCTTGTGTCATAGTCATAGCCCCTATTTTTGTTTGGCCTAACATACAAATTTTTTTTTTAATTTGGTTTTTTAAGTCATGGCCATACCCCATATTTTTGTTTGGCCTAATATACCAGAGTTCTATTATTTTTGTCTTGTGTCATGGTCATACTCAACCTTCTTGTTTGGCCTTATTTACCAGAGTTGAAGAGCTGACATAGTGTGGTTTGTGTCATGGTCATACTCAACCTTCTTGTTTGGCCTTATTTACCAGAGTTGAAGAGCTGACATAGTGTGGTTTGTGTCATGGTCATACTCCATCTTTAAGTTTGGCCTTATTTAACAGAATTGAGAGTTGACATAGTGTGTTTTGCGTCATCTTCATACTCCAACTTTTAGTTTGCCCTTATTTGAGAAAGTTGTAGAGCTGCCATAGTTTGTCGTATGTTGTTGCCATACTCAACCTTTCAGTTCCACATTTTGTAACAGAGTTGTAGACTTGACATATTGTGTCTTTTGTCATGGCCATACTCAACATTTAAGTATGGCCTGATGTAACAGATTTGTAGACTTGACATAGTGTGTTTTATGTCATGGTCAAACCACCTTAAAGTTTGGCCTTGTGTAGCAGATTTGTAGACTTGACATAGTGTGTTTTATGTCATGGTCAAAAAACCTTTTAGTTTGGCCTGATGTAACAGAGTTGTAAACTTGGCATAGTGTGTTTTATGTCATGGTCAAACCACCTTTTAGTTTGTCCTGATGTAACAGAGTTGTAGACTTGGCATAGTGTGTTTTGTGTCATGGTCAAACCACCTTTTAGTTTGGCCTGATGTAACAGAGTTGTAGACTTGACATAGTGTGTTTTATGTCATGGTCAAACCACCTTTTAGTTTGGCCTGATGTAACAGAGTTGTAGACTTGAAATAATGTATTTGATGTCATGGTCAAACTTCACCTTTAAATTGAGCCTGATGAAATAGATTTGTAGACTTGACATAGTGTGTTTTGTGTCATGGTCAAACCACCTTATAGTTTGGCCTTGTGTAGCAGATTTGTAGACTTGACATAGTTTGTTTTATGTCATGGTCAAACCACCTTTTAGTCTGGCCTGATGTAACAGAGTTGTAGACTTGGCATAGTGTGTTTTATGTCATGGTCTAACCACCTTTTAGTTTGTCCTTGTGTAACAGAGTTGTAGACTTGGCATAGTGTGTTTTATTTAATGGTCAAACCACCGTTTAGTTGGCCTGATGTAACAGAGTTGTACACTTGGCATAGTGTGTTTTATGTCATGGTCTAACCACCTTTTAGTTTGTCCTTACGTAACAGAGTTGTAGACTTGACATAGTGTGTTTTATGTCATGGTCAAACCACCTTATAGTTTGGCCTTGTGTAGCAGATTTGTAGACTTGACATAGTTTGTTTTATGTCATGGTCAAACCACCTTTTAGTCTGGCCTGATGTAACAGAGTTGTAGACTTGGCATAGTGTGTTTTATGTCATGGTCTAACCACCTTTTAGTTTGTCCTTGTGTAACAGAGTTGTAGACTTGGCATAGTGTGTTTTATTTAATGGTCAAACCACCGTTTAGTTGGCCTAATGTAACAGAGTTGTAGACTTGGCATAGTGTGTTTTATGTCATGGTCAAACCACCTTTTAGTTTGTCCTTATCTAACAGAGTTGTAGACTTGACATAGTGTGTTTTATTTAATGGTCAAACCACCTTTTAGTTGGCCTTATGTAACAGAGTTGTAGACTTGGCATAGTGTGTTTTATGTCATGGTCTAACCACCTTTTAGTTTGTCCTGAAGTAACAGAGTTGTAGACTTGGCATAGTGTGTTTTGTGTAATGGTCAAACCACCTTTTAGTTTGGCCTGATGTAACAGAGTTGTAGACTTGACATAGTGTGTTTTATGTCATGGTCAAACCACCTTTTAGTTGGCCTTATGTAACAGAGTTGTAGACTTGACATAGTGTTTTATTTAATGGTCAAACCACCTTTTAGTTGGCCTAATGTAACAGAGTTGTAGACTTTGCATAGTGTGTTTTATGTCATGGTCAAACCACCTTTTAGTTTGTCCTTATGTAACAAAGTTGTAGACTTGACATAGTGTGTTTTATGTCATGGTCTAATCACCTTTTAGTTTGTCCTGATGTAACAGAGTTGTAGACTTGGCATAGTGTGTTTTGTGTAATGGTCAAACCACCTTTTAGTTTGGCCTGATGTAACAGAGTTGTAGACTTGACATAGTGTGTTTTGTGTCATGGTCAAACCAACTTTTAGTCTGGCCTGATGTAACAGAGTTGTAGACTTGGCATAGTGTGTTTTATGTCATGGTCTAACCACCTTTTAGTTTGTCCTTGTGTAACAGAGTTGTAGACTTGGCATAGTGTGTTTTATTTAATGGTCAAACCACCGTTTAGTTGGCCTGATGTAACAGAGTTGTACACTTGGCATAGTGTGTTTTATGTCATGGTCTAACCACCTTTTAGTTTGTCCTTACGTAACAGAGTTGTAGACTTGACATAGTGTGTTTTATGTCATGGTCTAACCACCTTTTAGTTGGCCTTATGTAACAGAGTTGTAGACTTGACATAGTGTGTTTTATGTCATGGTCAAACCACCTTTTAGTTGGCCTTATGTAACAGAGTTGTAGACTTGACATAGTGTTTTATTTAATGGTCAAACCACCTTTTAGTTGGCCTAATGTAACAGAGTTGTAGACTTGGCATAGTGTGTTTTATGTCATGGTCAAACCACCTTTTAGTTTGTCCTTATGTAACAGAGTTGTAATATTGACATAGTGTGTTTTATGTCATGGTCAAACCACCTTTTAGTTTGGCCTGATGTAACAGAGTTGTAGACTTGAAATAATGTATTTGATGTCATGGTCAAACTTCACCTTTTAATTGAACCTGATGAAATAGATTTGTAGACTTGACATAGTGTGTTTTGTGTCATGGTCAAACTACCTTATAGTTTGGCCTTGTGTAGCAGATTTGTAGACTTGACATAGTGTGTTTTGTGTCATGGTCAAACCACCTTTTAGTCTGGCCTGATGTAACAGAGTTGTAGACTTGACATAGTGTGTTTTGTGTCATGGTCAAACCACCTTTTAGTTTGGACTGATGTAACAGATTGATAGACTTGACATAGTGTGTTTTATGTCATGGTCAAACCACCTTTTAGTTGGCCTTATGTAACATAGTTGTATACTTGACATAGTGTGTTTTATTTAATGGTTAAACCACCTTTTAGTTGGCCTTATGTATCAGAGTTGTAGACTTGGCATAGTGTGTTTTATGTCATGGTCTAACCACCTTTTAGTTTGTCCTGATGTAACAGAGTTGTAGACTTGGCATAGTGTGTTTTGTGTAATGGTCAAACCACCTTTTAGTTTGGCCTGATGTAACAGAGTTGTAGACTTGACATAGTGTGTTTTGTGTCATGGTCAAACCAACTTTTAGTTTGGCCTGATGTAACAGATTTATAGACTTGACATAGTGTGTTTTATGTCATGGTCTAACCACCTTTTAGTTGGCCTTATGTAACAGAGTTGTAGACTTGACATAGTGTGTTTTATGTCATGGTCAAACCACCTTTTAGTTGACCTTATGTAACAGAGTTGTAGACTTGACATAGTGTTTTATTTAATGGTCAAACCACCTTTTAGTTGGCCTAATGTAACAGAGTTGTAGACTTGGCATAGTGTGTTTTATGTCATGGTCAAACCACCTTTTAGTTTGTCCTTATGTAACAGAGTTGTAGACTTGACATAGTGTGTTTTATGTCATGGTCAAACCACCTTTTAGTTTGGCCTGATGTAACAGAGTTGTAGACTTGAAATAATGTATTTGATGTCATGGTCAAACTTCACCTTTTAATTGAGCCTGATGAAATAGATTTGTAGACTTGACATAGTGTGTTTTGTGTCATGGTCAAACCACCTTATAGTTTGGCCTTGTGTAGCAGATTTGTAGACTTGACATAGTTTGTTTTATGTCATGGTCAAACCACCTTTTAGTCTGGCCTGATGAAACAGAGTTGTAGACTTGGCATAGTATGTTTTATGTCATGGTCTTACCACCTTTTAGTTTGTCCTGATGTAACAGAGTTGTAGACTTGACATAGTGTGTTTTGTGTCATGGTTAAACCACCTTTTAGTTTGGCCTAATGTAACAGAGTTGTAGACTTGACATAGTGTGTTTTGTGTCATGGTCAAACCACCTTTTAATTTGGCCTGATGAAACAGATTTATAGACTTGACATAGTGTGTTTTATGTCATGGTCAAACCACCTTTTAGTTGGCCTTATGTGGCAGAGTTGTAGACTTGACATAGTGTGTTTTATTTAATGGTCAAACCACCTTTTAGTTGGCCTTATGTAACAGAGTTGTAGACTTGACATAGTGTTTTTAATTTAATGGTCAAACCACCTTTTAGTTGGCTTAATGTAACAGAGTTGTAGACTTGACATAGTGTGTTTTATTTAATGGTCAAACCACCTTTTAGTTGTCCTTATGTAACAGAGTTGTAGACTTGACATAGTGAGTTTTATTAAATGGTCAAACCACCTTTTAGTTGGCCTAATGTAACAG